CTGGAAAAGGTGCAAAGACATGCCACCAAGTGGCTTCCAGAACTGAAGGACAAGAGCTACGAGAAGATCTCGAATGTAGGTTCGAATCCTCGTCACGGCCCTTGTGGATTTGTTTACGAGGAGAGGTTAGAGGCATTAAATATACCAAAACTAAAAGATAGAAGAAAAAAGACAATATGATAACTACGTACAATATAGTAATGGGAATCGATAAAATTGATAAGGAAGAATTCCTGAGACATGGAACTTCAAGAACAAGATGTCATAGATTTAAACTAACGAAACAAAGCAGCCGGAGAAATATAAGAACATTCACTTTCGCAAGCAGAGTGGTAGACGGTTGGAACAAGTTATGTGAGAAGGTGGTGGAGGCCAAAACTGTCAGTAATTTCAAAGAGTTATATGACAGAGTGCTGGGAAGATGGGACACCATGAACATAGTTCTCATCCTGTAGCTTCGCTTAGGTAATTACTCTCAAGTAATTACTGTTTGCAAAAGTGAACTTTCTAATATTTTAGCAGCATCTCTGCTTCCTTTGCTTGAATCTTGAAGTTGCAGTTTTCAAGAATTTCTCTGTCAATTCCTGTTAATATTTTATATGTAGTAACTATATTTCCTCTTTTTCTTCTATCTTTCAGCTTTGGCAAATTTAACACCTCTTAGTTCTTGTTTTTCATTTCCAGAAGCCATTTAGTAGTACTCCATGTCTTTACACCTTACCCAGTTCGTTGATGTGCTTCTTTGAGATATGGGCACCATACAACTGCTGCATATTCCAGTTTCTGTCTCACAAAAGGCAATGCCTGGGTTATCTAGTCAAATCAAACCCAAATAGGTTGCACCACCTAAGTTTTGGCTGGCCCCAGAATTCAAATCTGCCATCAGAATGTGCATTTTGCACATCAATATCTGTAATAGTAGTCAGAGGTGTCTGGGTAGACCTGGTCATTGATCTAAAATAATGCTCCATTTAAGTGTTGGGAGCCTCCAAATTATAAATTGTCATCAGAACATACATTTTGCATGGCATTGTTATGAAAAACTGGACTCCAAAAATTTTGTTTATACTTCATGAGGTAAACAATGGAAGCTGACTGCAACTCGCCCGTAACAGTCTCCTTTAACCCACAAGTCACCCTACAAAGTTGAGTGAGGCTAAACCCAAGCCTTTAATCTCTAACCTTGGACAGACAGATTTTCTTGTATGTACTGTATGTAGATGTCAATGCAAAATTATAGGATCATGTGGGTATGTGATCCAGTATTGCTGAACTGGGTTGGGTAAAACGTTGGTGGAACTCTGCAGCAGAGAGTGTATTGCTTTACCTGGGACCCTATGAACTGTTTTATTTAATTTAAGGGGTGGTAATCTCTGGGACAAAAGGTCCCTATTTATAATATGTTTCTTGGTTGTGTTTATTTCCATCCACATTGCATGTTCCATGTATTCTTTTTCACTCCACCTGTGGCCAGGGTTACCTTCCCTGTTAGATGCCCTATGTTTTTCCTGCTCCTCCAGAGATACCTGCTCTGAGGAGTTGGGGTTCTTTCCTTGCATATTGTTTCCTCTTAGAGTCCTTTTTCCTTCCAGGTCTTATGAGACTTCCTCTCTCCACAGTGAGATGTTGGGAAGTTGATATAGTTGTGTTCATGTATATTTGTAGTATTGTATAGTGCTCAGTCCTGATTCTTGGGTGTTTTGGTGCCTCATGCTTTGACTGGGTGTGTGCTTGGGTTGTGAAGGGATTCTTCCTTTTTCTGTGACATTGAAAGCCTTCCCTCTTCAGGCTAATTGAGTAATGGTCAGGTGTGCGACTTGCAGACACATTTCCTCTGCACTTGATATGCCTGCTTGTTTTTGTAAAGGTCTTGGCAGCAAGTACCCATTGCAGCAAAGAGATGTTTACTTGATGTTTTCTGAAGGCTGGGATGTGTTGTATGATGGGCCGCTCTCAGCTTGCCCTTGTGGGTGCCTGTTTACCAGACCAGGAGACCTGGTCGAGTACCAGGCCATGGGGATGTTGAGACCCAAAATCATTGCAAGGTACCTGTGCCTGTGTTGTTTAATCTGAGGGCTTCTTCCCATTTTCTTTTCAGACTGCTCAGTAGGCTTTGGCCTTGTTTGCATGCCTTTGCCTTGTTTTGTAGGTGTTGAGTTCCAGGCTGATAGGGGGCACTTGCTCTTGCCCTTGATGTGTTGCTTTGGCTATGGTTCAGTGTTGTCTTGCAGCTTCCCAACCCGTCTTGCCGGTTGAGAGACTGTACAACTTTGGGTTTTGTGCCTTCAGGTTTTGGAGGTGGATAGCTTAGTGACTGCAGCAGGTAGGGCTGTTCCCACCAGGATTTTCATGCTGGTCTCAGGGCTTTCCTGCTCAGTTGTCCCACAAATTTTGTGGTGTGTTTCAGGTGGTTAACTTTTGTCTCCCATTCCTGTCTATTTTCAGCGTACAGCGTTCGCCCCATCCCTAAGTACGTTCCTGGGTCTTGGGGGTTATGGCTTGGTTTTGCCCCTCAGGAGATTTACTGCCAGATCTCTACACATCTCAGTCATCAGAGCTTTCTTTGGAGTCTCCTTTGGAATTGTAACCATTTGTTGTTTTGGATCTGAACTCGTTCTCATTTACGGGTGGCATTACAACCTGTTGTGATGGAGTTTTCTGTAGGGAGAACCTAGGTGGCTCCCTGGAGCTAGCTTTCTGGATAATCCTACACATATTACGTTATATCAGGCCCTTTGGTGTCAAACAGGCCTACCAGAGACTAGACAAAATCTGATTTACTTAATAGAGCCACAGAGAGCAGAGGATACTAAATCACCATAACCTAAGAGGACAATCTACCAGAAACATTGAGTGTACCAAAACATACAACTGTATGGAAAATATAAGCAAAACTGACAACTAGGAACACAATGGGTCATTAAAACCACTAGTTACATCGTCCCACTGCCAGGTGATGGCCCCAGCAGCTCAGGGACCCATCAGCAATACCATATTTAGTCATGTGCTTGGTGTGACTCTATATTCCTCCTTTCAGGTCAAGATTTTTTCATCCAGGTAAGAGCTAGCTATCTTTTTAAACTCTTGTTCTGCAAGGGCCTGTGCTTGTGTTTCAATTATGGTATTACAGTATCTTCATCTGTGTGATTTGTTTTATATACCTCACGGCTGAGTGGACTTTGAGTTACCTGTTTGCCTCGAGCTGCATGTGTTTAGGATAAACTTCCCGAGGCACACACTAATGGTTGCCTCCGTTCAGTCAGGTTTAACTTCCCTTGAGAATTCGGATTTTCTGTTCCTTTGTAATTGCTTCCTTTCAGAGGGTCTGCTTCTGAGTAATGCATGAGTCATTAACTCATCAGTAAGGCTCTGAAGTTGGGATAGACTGGGTTTTACTTTGGGGTTCATGGGTATGTGTGTAATAGATTTGCTGCACATCACTTTGGTGCATTTTGCATTTTTCCCAAAACTGGGTTTAGTGTTTGTTCAAGGTGGGTGTTTTCTATGATCAGTGTTACTGGTTTAATTTTAATTCTTGGATCTGGAGAGTCCTAGCTGGTCTCTGGCGTGGTTCAGCTTTGAACTTGCTTACCAAGCCTGCTCTTGCAGGGTGTTTGGTTCCCTGTTTGGCTCCTCGCTCCCCATGTGGGTTTCTGGGTGCAGACAATGAGTCCCAATAATGTGGCTGAAGAATATGATGACTAAACCACATATCAGAAGATGGAGAAATGATGACGTATCTTGGACATGTGGTTTAGTCATCATATGCCTCTGGGTGCTGGCTGGTTTCCTGATTTTGCTCTTTTTGTACAGGTTTCCAACATTTCATCTGTCCTCGGCACTTGAGCAGGCAGTCTTGCCTAAGATTCCTTCTGTGGTTCGGGGCTTCTTTTTTGGTACTGGAGCCCCAATCTCGCTCTGGCTTGTGAGCTTTACCTCTTTCTGTGGGAAATTGGTGTGATTTTTTTTTTTGATACCCAACTGCTCCTGTGGCATTTGGGGAGCTGTTTTTTTGCTGTGTCAGCATGTCTTTTAGGATGGTTGATTCTGGCTTCTTGCTTTGCCCTGCTCCAGGATATGTATGTTGGCCTTCATCATTTTCTTTGTTCGTGGAGGTTCATTGCCCTATTCTGTGTGTTCCATGTTTGGTATATACTGGAGCTGTTCTCCAGTCATCGTCAGGGGTAGCCTTACTTGGTGGAATGAAAACAAATCTTATCCTGCATGGTTTTCATTAAATATTAATTTACTGCACAATACATTGAATTTCCACTGAATTTTATAGAAAAACTTAGTCTAAAGAAAGAGTTTTGGGCCTGGGTTGAAAAAGATCACACAAGGTATTTTCATTCTGAGACCACTGTACTTAATTTATTTAAATGAAATATGTATCCTGGTCTTGGAATGAGCTTAATGAAGATTTCCATAAGATCCTTAACAAAAATTTATGGAATATGAACTTGGCCTGTACTGGATAAACTGAAATGTTGCAGTGCACACTAGTAACCTGTATAAAGGAGTACTTTTCAAACATTTCTCTATGAATTAAAAGCTTTAAGCAATAACAGAGTTTACACATTACTGCTGTATGAGAATTAAGATATTTAATATTTAAATGTGGATTGTGAGTTAGTAAGGTCTAGAAATATGCAAGTTAGCTGCATCCTACAAGTAATTAGAAACTGCATAGTAGAATCAAGTGTTTATTGGCATTTGCAATCAAAGGGTAAAAAGTAAGGAGGAATCTATTCAGAAACTAAGTTAAGAATTATTGTATTTTAAGGCACTTAACATCGTGGGTTCAAAAAAGTTATTGCAATTGTCGTCAAATTTTTGGTTTATACACACATTGATTTTTGTAAGTTATGAATTGCAGAAAGCTAACAAAAATAAATTAATATATACAATCACAAATTCTGAAATTTAATAAACTTATAAATTATTTTAGTTTTACTCTTTATTGTGGTGTTGTTAAACATTCTAAAAAAATTACTCTTCAGTCCCCCTCAGAGCATAGAAAACCATGCACATAGCCATGATGATCTGGAGAATATTGCTGGACCATTGGGTGATGTGGCAATGCATTCCAGCCATGAACTTCACCATGCAGGTATATACTGTATAGTTGTTCAATATTATATAGACTCCAAGCATTGCTATCACATACACACCTATTTTATGTATTCATTGTCGATTGGTTTTCCTCACACTTAAATTAATAATTTATAGGATTTATGTTAACTGTATTCATATGTTTTGATTTCATAATATTGCATTCAGCCAAAAGTAATATATAAATGACATTTCATGCGAGATCAGAGCACACCAGAACGCTCGAAGAAAATGGAACAGAAAAGTTGGAAGCAGGAATGTCCCAAATTTTGGCACGGACGAAAGCACTTCCCTTCGCTCGACACCATTTTCTGAAATGCACCAATAGTCAATCCCCGCATTGTTCAGAAGCTCTGACTACAAGAAGGATAATAATCTACTTATGGAAAACCCACTGCCAGCCACAAAAAAAGAGAATAGAATCCATAGAGATGAGCAGTCCAGGGGTTTAATCTGCAAGTGAGGGAAGGGGAGATTTGTTTTCCAGATGGGAATACAGTATTGGATATGTGCACAAAATCCACGCCTTGGAAACATGTCCTAGCTATCAAGTACAGTATCTGATTAAAAAGAAGACAGTAGTATTAAAAACCCAACTTCAGAACACGCCAGCAGTGCACAGACTAGGAGGCACAGTCTAAAAAGATGGGAAAATGATCCAGGTCCAAGAGGACACAAACCTTTTAGGTAAAACTACCCCAACGCCAGGAGAGCAGATACTTCCTGCCTTATGAGACTACCCTGTGAAAAACCGGGTACGCACTCAACCAGCAGAGATGGGTACATGGCCTCTTTGATACAGTACCCCATAAAAGGCTGCTACAAAAGTTGGAGCAGTAGGCAGAAGTAAAAGGTAAGGTGCTCCAGTGGATAAGTGAATATCTAAGCAACAGGAAACAGCGAGTAATTGTGAGGGGGGAAGATATCAAAGTGGCGAGATGTCACCAGTGGAGTTCCACAAGGCTCTGTACTTGGATTCATCCTGTATCTAATATATGTAAATGATCTTCCAGAGGGTATAGACTAATTCCTCTCAATGTTTGCTTATGATGCAAAAATTGAGAAGAATCAAGACAGATGAAGATAGAGAGAGAGAGACTACAGGATGACCTGGACAAACTGGAGGAATGGTCTAGAAAGTGGCTACAAAAGTTTGACTCAGGAAAGTGTAACGTAATGAAATTAGGCAAAGGGAGCAGGAGGCTGAACACAAGGTACCATCTGGGAGGTGAAATCCTGCAAGAGTCAAATAGAGAGAAAGATATACAAATACAATAGGACCAAGTGAGGCTTGTAAAACAGGCACATGAAGCAACTACCAAAGATTAGAATGGTCCACAAGTAGATGGGACCCCACAGGATAGAGTCCAAAGGATGGCCAACACTTGCCTAAAACATTCCTGGACCTGAAGAGCTGGTGACTGATGGAGTGATCTGATGTGGCAGACATCAGGCGAATGACTGAGGGTTGATGACCAGAGGATCCAACAACTCCCATTGTGCTGATGGTGCAGGGGTCAGTAGTTAGGGTGTATGACCTAATCACTGGGGAATTGCTTTCCTAGTGTTTTGCTGAATTGTTTGTTTACTTTCTTGACCGTGCTGTTGTCTGTTTTACATTGCTTGCTTTTTGGGCGTTTGAATCCTCAGTGAGGTTGGTCATGAATCCCCTACTCCTTGTACTTCCTTGAAGGGAACCAAATTTGGCCTCTGGTTCTCTGGGAATATTTTAGGGCCATTCCATGCTAAATCATCACAACTCCTAACACGACCATCTCAGATTTACATGAAATTTGGTAGGATGTTAAAGGACATAAAGTAACATTTACAGGCAAAATTTAAGCCCTCCGTGATACATGATATTCATACAGCAGGGTTGCCAGTGTAATAAAATATGCAAAATTTTTGCCTACATGTTCAATAAAAAAATTTACAACTTTGCTTCTATTTGAGGTAGAAACTTCATGTTGGGCTTGTTGTGAAGCTAAGAAAAAATTTACATTAAAAATAGGTTTACTTTAAATATTGAATTTTTCTGGAGGGAGTCCTCTTGTGGCTTCCTGCAGCTATCTTCCTGAGATAGCTTCATACAGCCGCATAAAATGTCATATCAGCCGCAGATACTGGTACTGTAGTTCTGTTAGGACTGATGGGGATCAGCGCCAGAATCTGGCCTCCTCACAGGTGCTGAGAGCAGAGCAGGGCTCTGCCTCCCCCACACTGAAAGTGGGAAATGAGATAGTGATGATGATGCAACACTATACTGTATTTGTATTCATTTTATATTGGATAGGGTATTAAGATAGTCAAATGTTTTCAATTCATGTGGTAGACGTTTGAGATGCCCCTCAATTATTTATTTATTTTGTATTTACTTTCATCAGGTGAGGCTGTGGAAGCAGAACATCTCAAAACTAAAGTTCGTGTTCTCTGTTGGGTGATGACAAACCCAAGCAACCATGAGAAGAAAGCACGTCACATTAAAGCCACATGGGCACGGCGGTGCAACAAGCTGGTCTTCATAAGTAGTGAAGAAGGTTTGTAATATATTGCCTTGTAAGCATCATATCCTTGTTTACAGATGTAATGAAATTTTTTGCATTGGAAAGAATGATTCCATTGTATCATCTTTAAGCAAAACATAATTCCTCTTTAGTCCTAGGAAAGGAGGTGCTCTGTTAGTGTGTTGCAAGCTTTTATGTTATACTGTATTGAAATGTATTATTTTGCAGTTGTGTCAAATATTGGTTATGCATTCTAAATCTATATGTTGTGCATTACAAGAACATGTGTACATATATATAAGAAGAGGCCAATCCCTCGAACATACAGCACCAGCAATACAAAGAAATAAGAAACAACTACACGGCAGTGAGAAGAAAGGCAGAAAGAGAGTTTGAGAAAGGTATAGTAGACAAATGTGAAACAGAACCAGGCCTATTCTATAAATTCATTAAAAGCAAATTTCAGGTAAAGGATAATATTCAGAGATTGAAAATGGGAAAGAATTCACAGATTATGAAAAGGAAATGTGTGAAACACTAAATGCACAATTCTTAAGTATGTTTGTTCAAAATAAAATGTTCAGAGAACCAGACACAATAAGAATTAGAGTGAACAACATAGAGCACATAAAGGTATCTAGAGACAAAGTTGGAAAAAAATGCTTAAGGAGTTAAGTAAGACCAAAGCCCAGGTGGAGTTTCACCATGGGTTCTGAGAGAATGTGCACCTGAAGCATTACACTTCAACTGATTTTCAGTCGTCTGTGTACAGGAGTCTTGGCAGATATATGGAAAAAGCTCACATAGTTCCAGTCTAGAAAAGTGGCAACAAGGAAGACCCTTTTAATTATAGACTTGTGTCATTGGCAAGAGTAGTAGTCAAAACATTGGACAAAATAATTACAGTAAATCCTAATGGATAGAATACCTGGGAAGAAATGATATAATAACAGAGACAGTATGGGTTTTGATCAGGAAGATCCTGTGTAACAAATCTACTTAGTTTCTGTGATAGAGCCACATAGCTTTTACAGGAAAGAGATGGTTGGGTTGATTGCATTTATCTGGACCTAAAAAAAAAGGCTGTCTATAAAGTCCCACAAAAGAGGTTGTTCTGGAAACGAACATACTGGAGGAATGATAAGGAGGCTCTAACATGGATGAAAAAAATGACAGAAATGAGGGCAGTATTCAGAGGCAATATATCAGACTGGAGAAATGTCACTAGTGGAGTACCACATTATTCAGCTCTTGCACCAGAAATGTTCATTGCCTACATAAACAATCTACCAGAAGGAATACAGAATTGTAAAAACATGTTTGCTGATGATGCCAAGATACTAGGAAAAGTAAGAAACTTAGACAATTGTCATGCCCTCAAGAAGACCTGAACAAAATAATTGTAAGGAGCAACACTTGACAGATGGAATTTAATGTGAATAAATGCCATATGGAATGTGGAATAGGAGAAAATATGCACACACAACCTACAAATGAAGTGAAAAAACTTTAAAGAATTCTGATAAGGAGAGAGATCTAGGGGTAGTTCTAGTCAGAAAACTGTCACCTTAGGATTACATAAAGAAAATTGTGAGAGCAGCCTATGCTACAATTTCCAGTTTTAGAAGTGCTTTGAAATACTGTACAGTGGTACCTCGGAATGCGATTGTCCCTGTATGCGAGGTTTTCGGAAGGGGAGCAGTATTTACTCCAAAAATTTGTCTCAGAAGGCGAGGGTTACTTCGGGACGCGAGTTTGTTGATACGCGTACAGGCCGACCTAGCGCGTGGTGGTTCGGCGATCGTCGCCCCTCCGCCCCGCCGCCCCTCAGTTTACCATTGTCTCGCGCTCAGTGACTACCCCCACATCAATTCTTCTCGCGGATTTTCAGTGTTTTGTTGGATTTTTGGTGATTTGTCTATACAATTTGTTATTATATATCTCACCATGGGTCTCAAGAAAGCCAGTGGTAAGGATAAAGGCCAGAAAGCTCATGTGAGGATGACAATAGAGGAGAAACAAGAGATCATTCGGAAGCATGAGAACGGTACACGTGTTGTTGAACTTTGTAGGCAGTACAACAAAGCCACATCAACAATATGCACTATACTTAAGAAGAAAAATAAGATTATGGGTGCTAAAGTGGCAAAAGGAGTAAGAACATTAACGGCACAAAGACCACAAATACTTGAAGTGGAAAAGTTGTTATTAATTTGGATACACGACAAGGAGTTGAGGGGTGATAGTGTTTCGGAGGCCATTATTTGTGAGAAAGCCAGGGTGTTGCACGAAGACCTTCTAAAGAATACCCCTGCAACGAGTGATGCTGATAAGAAAGAGTTTAAGGCAAGCAGGGGCTGGTTTGAAAAATTTAGAAAGAGAAGTGGTATCCATAGTGTTACAAGGCATGGGGTTATGTGATGTGATTATGGAAGGGGACTCCCCTTCCAAACAGTAACTCCTCTCCTCCTCCCCCCTCCTCACCATCTTCCATACGCCTATAGCACTCGACAGCAAGGTAAGTAATAACTGGAACACAGTTTTGTAGGTTTATTTAGATGAATTAGGTATAAAAATTTAGTTTGATGTGGGGTTTTTGGGGTAGTCAGGAACGGATTAATTCATTTCCCTTTATTTCTTATGGGGAAATTAACTTCGGAATGCGAGTTTTCGGAAGGCGAGGCGTCTCCAGGAACGGATTAAACTCGTATTCTGAGGTATGCCTGTACATGGATGGCAAAATACTAAAGAAATTGTTCACAACCTGTGTGAGATCAAAGTTGGAATATGCAGAGGTTGTATGGTGCCCATATCTTAAGATGCACATCAACAAACAAGAAAAGGTGCAAAGTCATGCAACAAAATGGCTTCTGGAACTGAAAGACAAGAGCTATGAGGAGAGGTTAGAGGCATTAAATATGCCAAAGCTAGAAGATAGAAGAAAAAGAGGCGATATGATCACTAAGCACAAAATAGTAACAAGAATTTAGAAAATTGTTACAGAAGAATTCTTGAGACCTGGAACTTCAAGAACACAAGGTCATAGATTTAAGCTAACTAAACAAAGCTGCCAAAGCAGTATTAGAAAATTCTCGCAAACAGATTAGTAGACGGTTGGAACAAGTTAGGTGAGAAGATAGTAGAGGCCAAAACTGTCAGTAGTTTTAAATCATTATATGACAAAGAGTGCTGGTAAGATGGGACACCGTGAACATAGCTCTCATCCTGTAACTACCCTTACCTTAAGTAAGTACACTTAGGTAATTACTGAAAATGGTAACATACTCAATCATCTAATAATGTCATGTGCTTCTTTCTGGCCACTGAATGCCCAGTTATTAATTCTCCCCCCCTCTTCAATTTCCTCCCCCCCTCTTCAATTTCCTCCCCCCCTCTTCAATTTCCTCCCCCCCCCCCTCTCTGGCACATGGCACTTTGAGCTTGGCAATTACTTTATTAACTTGTGTTCTTACCTGAAGCATACCTGAAAAGGGTTCTGGGAGTTTTACTATTCCCCGAGCCCAGCCTGAGGCCAGGCTCGACTTGAGGGTATCCTTATAATGCACCCAAAATTAGCCAGTGCAGGCTACTGATAACTTGGCCCTGTATGACTAACCATCCTGTTGATGGGTATTTTTAACATCTTGTTAAAAATTGTTTAGCAGATAATTGATCACTGTAATATTAACACTTTTAACATTCCAACCTGTTGGTGCATGCCCGACCATACAATGTCGTCTTACAAAGTACGTCACTTTTCGCTCGTATGCGTTACATAAGGCCAAAAATTGTCGTACTAGAAAGTGGAAGCGGCTGGCGAAAGTGGCGTACTGTCCCGTTTTCTGTTTTGGGTCCTCTGGTAGGTTAGGAGAAGACACTTTAAATGGACCATTTTCTTAACGTTGAGAAACTTTAGGAGGACGGGCTGGACCATAGGCATTCTGGGCATCTCAAGACCCCACTCAATGAAACCTCCCACTCAAGACCCCCACTCAATGATGTTTATGCCTATTTTAGGTTTTCTCGGTCAGCTTTTAGATTCAATTAATTTGGTGTGAAATTTTTCTCAAATTAATTTGCTTGAGTATAGTTGTAAAGTAATTTTTTTTATAATGGATTATGAGTGAAAGTGCTAAATATATGAATGTTTATGAACATTTCAACATTCCTCACATTCTTTTCAACATTCCTCATGGATTTTTCAACATAAAAATACAAAATATAGAAATGTGTGTACACGATCGGTCCATATCACTGTACAGTATAAAGAAAAACACAACTCGTATTATTTTTTGGCAGGTAATTTATAAAGCATTGTGAAAATAGTCACAAGAAGAGCAGTTACCATCTTGCGTGATAGGTACATGATCGTCGGTTGAGGTGATCTTTTGATGGTCCCCTGATACATTGGTTGGTCTCCTGATACAACCCGTTCTTGCACTTTCGGATAGTCAACATTGACTTATTAAATACGTGCATATGTGACATACTAATTTATTGTGACTATTTTCGTTTACCTTGAAAAGCTTCATAGAAAACACCGACCTTACCTAACCTTCTTAGTATGTTAAGATAAGCATCTTATTGCTTTGTAATTACAATTGTTACTTAACCTATACCTATAATAGGTTAAGTAACAATTGTAATTATGAAGCAATAAGATGCTTATCCTAACATACTAAGAAGGTTAGGTAAGGTCAGTGTTTTCTATGAAGCTTTTCAAGGTAAACTAAAATATTCACAGTAAATTAGTATGTCACATATGCACTTATTTAATAAGTCAATATTGACTGTAAGTGCGAGAACAGGTTGCCTGATAAGCTAGGCACACTTTGTGCTCCAGATAAAAAAAAAAAAGAACCAAAAAAGTAATGATTAAAATTGATTTCCAGATTTTCAAGATGAATGACATATTTTAGCATCATTAGAACATTTACTGTCAAAGTTCGGATAAAGTGTTTTAGCGTTATCGAAACCAAAAGTGTCTAGACACTATTTTTTGTTTACATTCTATATTGCCATGTACTAATATGTCTCTGATATAAAAACAGACAAGGAGCTTGGAGCTGTGGCATTGAAAGTTGGTGAAGGACGTGATCACTTGTGGGAAAAGACCAAGGCAGCCTTCATCTATGTGTATAATAACCATTATAATGATGCAGACTGGTTCTTGAAGGCTGATGATGACACGTCAGTATTTCATCTCATTTCCTTTTGTTATTCTGCACTGTATTTGACTAAATGTTATAGGGCTACGTAAATATTTTTGCAGTTTTACTTCACAGTATTTGCTTGTAACAAGGAATTTGCACGTGAATTGATGCTTTAATAACGTCATAAATTAAAGTATTGTACAGTATTTTTAAAGTAGATAGTTGATAAATAAACTCCTCTTTAAGCAGATATGTGATATTTTAACATCTTTTTAGGTATGTTATCGTTGAAAACCTTCGGTATATGCTGAGCCCTTACAATGCAGATGATCCTATATGGTTTGGATGCCGTTTCAAAAAATACGTCAAACAAGGATATATGAGTGGAGGTATAATTAAATTGTTGGTTGTAAAGCTTGTTTAATACACCATTAGATTTATGTTGAAGTGCACTAAATTGCTTAAAAATTCTTAGACTGTGATTCTTTTTATGGCTGAATTTTAAATTTATTGTTTGCTGGACATTTGCATTTCTTACATAATTTGCAAACACTGTGTGGCTTTTACTTAGTGTTATTTTAAAGTTTTGCAAATTATCAGATTGACAGTTAGAAATATATCATTAGAACTTTTTAATTTTAAGTTCATTCTCTTTATTGATTTACCTGTGTACAGTATTTGTAAAAATGCTTGTTTTAAAATGTTGAATGTTTAAAAATCCTGAAAACTCATACGAAAGTTGAAAAAATTGGTCAATTATTTCTAATTCCACCTGTCATAATTTTATATTGCATTTTTGTTTCATTTTCTAAATAATAATAATGATAATCTTCGCAATAGCAGATATAAAATCAAAAGAAAACATGACATGTTCATGTACCCGCTTGCCTTGCATCCTGTCAAGCTGTCATGCTGAACTCTTGCCAGAATATGAGTTTTCTGGATGTAGACATGAATAGTAAGGAGAGCAATCATAGATATATATCATGGCATTTATTAAGCACCTGTATTTGTTCAGCTTTTTCCCACTTTACAACAGGATGTAACATGCAGAAATTTCTGACCATATTTGTCACCACTTACATTATACAGTACTTCTTCCTGCTCACACTTTGGATAGGCAAAAATTGGAAAGATAATTTCTGCCTTTCCGAAGATCAATTGCAACTTAAATATTAAAGCAAGAAATAGCATCCTAATTATTTGGTATCTAAATTTTGGTTAGTAAAGGTGATATTTCGACAAATGCGAGGTACATTATTCTTTACACACAGAGATCACACTAACGTGATGCATCAAATGAACAAATCCACAAGGGCAGTGACGAGGATTCGAACCTGCGTCTGGGAGCATCCCAGACACTGCATTATACAGTGTCCCAGCAGTGTCTGGGATGCTCCCAGACGCAGGTTCGAATCCTCGTCACTGCCCTTGTGGATTTGTACATTACTCTTTGTTTAAAAGCTCTTGAGCTGGTAGTACACCACTTATTTTTTCCATTCAAGGCCATTCTTTTATATGAAAGCTACTAAAAATTTATCAGGATTTATATGAAAGCTGCTCAACATTATGCTCTGCACACATACAGATTTGTATTTCTAATTCATGCCATTTAAATGTGCAGTATTTTAAATCTGTCAGCAATTTAACATTAATTTATCTCATTTTGATCTTTTCAAACTTTTAATTGTGGTTGAAATCTTGGCAGTATACAGTTTTGTCACAGTATATTGCTATACATTCTCTTACAATTTTGCATTTGTCGGAAACAAGCTTGTATATTGTGCCTTGTTTTGTCTACCACTATGATTAACCTGTTGGTCTCTTCATAGAGTGGGAAGACCTAAAGAAGATAGTGTGTTGAAGATATACTAAATTACATCTGTCCTTTCACTATATCATTCATTACTAAGTGTACATGCAGTGCTTTTCATGAGTTAACACATACAAACATTCTCCTTTTTCACAAACTGCTTTGCACTTACTACATTTACTTGATTTAAAGTCACTTTTTTTAAATAGGGTATTCAAAATATTGAACTGTTACTTTGATCCCTTGGTTGTACCCCGAGCAGTCCTGTGGTTACTACCTGAGTGGTACTTGGTTGCTTCCCCAAACAGTCCCTTGGTTGCTCCCCTAAGAAGTCCCTTGGTTGCTTCCCTAGCAATCCCTTGGTTGCTCCCCTAAGAAGTCCCTTGATTGCTTCCATAGCAGTCCTTTGTTGCTTCCCTAACAGTCCCTTGGTTGCCCCCCTGTGCGATTCCTTGGTTGCTCCCCAAGAGGTCTTTTGGTTGCTTCCCTAGCAGTCCCTTGGTTGCTTCCCTAGCAGTCCCTTGGTTGCTGCCCGTGCAGTCCCTTGGTTGCTTTCCTAGCAGTCCCTTGGTTGCTTTCCTAGCAGTCCCTTGGTTGCTTTCCTAGCAGTCCCTTGGTTGCTTTCCTAGCAGTCCCTTGGTGGCTTCCCAAACGGTCCCATGGTCTCTTTCCTACCACCCTACTTTTCATCTACATTTCAGTTACTGCTATAGCGTCTAGTGTTTCTGTGCAGACAAGAGCATTTAAATAGTTCTAACATCTGACTACAGTATTTGTGTAATACACCTTAAGATATTGTTATGTTGAGATCTGTCCCCATTCCTGCTCCCCTCACCCAAACTCCCTCCCCCTTCTCACCATCACATGGCTCCATTGCCCCCTTTCCCCAAATTCATTCCCATACCATTATCAACTTAGTTTAAACCCAAACAAACCCTCCAATCAGAGATTCTAATGAATTGCCAAAGACAATAACCCCAGCTCTAGATAAATTAACCCCATCCCAAGCATACATGCCATTCCTTCCATAGAATTTTATCAAGTTTTTATGAATGATATAGCATTGTATTTACAATTATTGTCTAGTTGGCAATTGGCTCACGGTGATCCAGACAGCCACTAATTTCTAACTTAACTTCATGGAAGACGTCCATATGTGATTGGAATCCCTCCTTTGCTCCTAGTTATATATATACATACAGTCATCAAGGTCGACAAGGCATGTTGATGGGAAAGAAAATGCCTACACCTGGGTCAGTGAACTTCAGATGGCCATGGTGTGTCAATGCCAAGGCTCTGTGAACCTAAGTGGGCAAACCAGTGTTAGTAAATCTGGGCTGGTAAACTCAGCTATGGCTTCAATGTGCAGTTTGCCAAGGTCAGTAAATTCCAGATGGGGAACTGTTACCTCACCTGGGTCGGTAAACCCTAGATGGCTATGGCGTGCTGATGCAGAGGTGCAATAAACCTTGGACTGGTAAACTCTGCAATTTTTAGTTTTTGGCTGTTGACACGTCATTTATTCCTCATCCTGGGATTATTGAGGATCGGTGACGCCCTCCATTCCCCATCCAGGGTTTACCGACCCAAGTGAGAGCATGCTGTTCATCATCCCAAATTTACCGATCTTAGCGACTGCACATGTTTACCACAGCTGAGTTTATGAATCCAGGTTTGCCAACCCTGAGCTGTCAGATAAATATGATGCATCATACATGGTATTCACTGGAGTACTTGCATCACAAACACCCATATTCACAACAATACAAACATGAGATCACAATATTATATTTTCATCATATTTAGCAGCTTTGTGAAAGCAAATTAGCTTCAGTTGACAACAAAAATGTTTTTGTTTTCATCACAAACACCAACTGACCTATACCACTATCTTATGCCATGAACACTAACATATTGTCACATTTTGCATGATCAGACTAGCAACAAGATCACATTAAATAAGAGCTGTGCCAGATCAGTCAATAGACCTGGTGCAATTTCCTTTATTCCTATAATCTTACGTTGGATATGAATAGGAGCTGCATCATATGGGCCAAAAAGCCTTTTACAGTTTCCAGTATTCTTATGTTCTTATTGTCTTATGTTATCTTTATGGATATTGTTGCAGCAAATATGTTCCAGTTGACGACTGGAAGTGTACATATCATTACTGCAGCATTACATCAGTCATCACCCTCAGTGCAGCATCACATCAGTCATCACCCTTAGTCATCACCCACACACTCACTTCTCGGTCTCTCTCTCTTCCCTTACAATTTAAGCAGGACATTTCATATTCTGAGGGATAATATTCAAGTTAGCTGCTTGTTATATCTTCCACTTTATAAATATAAGCTTCTAATTCCATCAAAGCCCTTTCAATTTTGCGTAGCATCAATGGCATGATTAGCATAGTCACCTTGTGCATTTAAGTTATTGGATGATGATGCATCAGACATGGTCTGCATCATATTGCTAAGGCCCAGGAAGAAAACTAAGGCACTTGGGATTTTTTCAATGCGGCAACCTATCAATTGAGATCTCTAGTGTTGATTGATGTTGCCCCTATAATTGGCGGGACTTTTGAATAAAGTGGGCCACTTTAACACCTCCCTGGATGCACAGTTGAAGGGTTAAATCTTTGCCAGTATGTCCACCTCAGAAATTACAGGGCCACACTCAAAATCAATATGTATCATGTTATGGAGTCTCTGTACATAAAGTTCATTTTCATATAATGGGTTGAAGGTTCCACACATTTATTTGAACTTTAAAGGAGCAAAAGCCCTACTGCTGTTTAGTCCCCAAGTTGTCAGAGTTGATCACTTGATTTAGATTACAAAATAAGTTGACAAGATCACGAATAAATGTGAAAAGTCCAGTTAGTGATTTGTGAACCGGGTTTAACCTTCAGCAGCGTGTCATAACCTAATACTTTGTTGAGCAATGTTATATTTTCTTTGTACAGCAGCATAGGAGTAGCATAATTTATTATGAGGCCAATTAGCAGTTTGGTCGTATGTGTTGATGAAGCATCACTATTATATCAGTATTTCCATCACCCTGGCAAAACCAGATTTCTCGCTCAATTAATTTCTCAGAGGGTTATTACCATATGATGGCAGAACAGCTTCCAATTTTCTAGTTTTATTATTATATTGTACAGTACTGTAACATTACAGGAATTATTTTGATGTTATTGGCATCAAAGAGCACACTGCTTTGAAATTATTTCATACTGCTATTAGCATTCTAGCATTGCAATGCCTGTATAGTAATGCTAAATCAGTGTGCTTGTACCATAGTATTATGCATGAACACAAACCTCACTCAGTGCACCCAATATGGCAAAGCATGGACTTTAAATAAAAGTTTATCAGTCTTGTATTATTAATATGTATGCAGGCGATGAGTCACAATAACGTGGCTAAAGTATGTTGACCAGACCACACACTAGAAGGTGAAGGGTCGACGACGTTTTGGTCCGTCCTGGACCATTCTCAAGTCGATTGTGAATGGTCCAGGACAAACCGAAACGTCATCGTCCCTTCACCTTCTAGTGTGTAGTCTGGTCAACATTAATATGTATGTTTACACAAGATGAGGGCTTCTCAGTATGTTAACACTTTCGTGAACTGTGTTGCTTTCCCGCTGCTCCTTTAAGATTTTGAATAGTTATGATCACTTCAGCTTAGCATTAAGTCGGTCACTTTTATTTTTGTCTGTCAATGTCACATGCTATTAGGAAGTTGCTATAAATTCAGCTGTTTTAACCATTATCCCTTTAGATTAATTTCATATCAGTACTGGAAAGTTCATAAGATTAACTTGTTATAGCACTTACTTGAATTTGGTCACCATTCAACTTCAAACCCAGACTGGGAAGTGCTACTTTGACAATCTTATATTTGAGTCGTGATTACATTTCACTTAAGCCAATAATTAATTACATAAATTTTTGCTTTTCAAATTGAATTTGGCTTACATATATTGTTATTATTTCATTGCTAGCGGATTATAATTAAAAGTAATCTAAATTTGTAACCTAAACTAAAATGTAACATAATATAATCTTAATATAGGCCACAACCAGCCGCATTATGCAGATTTGTCTCATCAATTTATTTTCAAGATCATATGTACTGTATATGTTGATACCGATTATATATCAACTATTTCATTAACTTTCATTTCTTCTTTTGTAATTGACATCATTTTAGAACCTATTGTCTTCCATGATTTCCACTGATCACATGTATAGACAAAGAGAATAAGGGTGAAAAGAAATATAATACGTCCTTGAGGTATTCTACAAATTTGGTCTTTAGAACTACACCTGACCTGGGGCTAGATTCACGAAGCCGTTATGCAAGCACTTACGAACCTAAACATCTTTTCTCAATCTTTGGTGGCTTTGTTTACAATTATTAAACAGTTAATGAGCTCCGAAGCACTAGGTGACTGTTTATAACAATAACAACAGTTGATTGGGAAGTTTTCATGCTTTTAAACTGTTTAATAAATGTAATCAAAGCCGTCAAAGATTGAGGAAAGATGTACACGTTCGTAAGTACTTGCGTAACTGCTTCGTGAATCGGGCCCCTGTTCTGAAGGATCACACTGGCTGGCTAGCTATGGGCTGTAGTCACCATATTTAGAAATATTATGGCAGCTGTTCCACATTACAAGAATTTCTATGGCAAACATTTAACGGCTCTCATTATTCCCAAATACGCTAATTGCATTAGTACATTTTCCAAGGAAATTCCGTGTACTACTAATGATAATCTGCAGCAACCCCACTTACCACTGCAACGTCATCCCAGGCATTCCACAAACTATTAAGAACATCCAACAGAAGCCAAGCAGTTCCCAGCAACCAAATTATGAGCAGCCTGTAACTAGAAATAGTCAGGTGGGCAGGAATATAAGGCCACAGCTGCAAACAGTCTCACTCCATAAATGGTTCAGAACAACAACACTTTGGAGATATGATGAATTGCATAACCAGACGCCGCCACCTCTACTTCTACCATTATTCAAGAGTATATACTATGGCTCAACCTGTCACAATGTTGACATACTATTCATCACCAACCTCTATAACCTATCATATCAGAGATATATTTAGTTACTATACTGTGTGTTTGTTGTCACCAAACACTAGTATTACAGGGCTTAGGCTAGAAAGCAAGTACAATGAATAAGGCCTTATGCAGATTGTACATGTAAAACTTTTCTCTGAGAAAATAAGTTTTCTTGATAAAAGAATCATTTGGCTGCCTTGTAAAGTAAGATCCAACTATGTCCTTCATATTATGATCATGCACAGTCCAGCAGGAAGACACTAGAATAGATTTCACAGGAAATTATTAAATTTCCATTATCAGATATATGCTGGCCAGATAATGCCTAAAGTCAAGCACTCATACAGAGAAAGTGATGCTCCTTAGGGCACAAGCACTAAGCCATTATGAGTAAAAGACCCCTATTTATGGGTGCATTCCTGGGCCCAGGATTGGTATCTGTTCTGCTTCACTGCAGGTTTTTGTGTTCTCATTTCCTGCTTCATTTCTGTCAGGATGTTTATACCTTGGAAATAAGCATTTGTCTTGATACCTTTAAGTACCTAATTTTCTTCGTGGAGTTATTTGTTTTGTTAGGCTTATGTTTTCTGGTTTGAATTTTTCTCGTTATGGATTGAGCTCAGATCCTAACGCTCCCTTCACTTCATAGAAAAGGCCAGATTGTTGTCCTGGCTCCTGGTAGGCAAGAGTGAGTTTTGAATGCCTAGTGCATCTTTCTGAAGCTTGGCTGGATCAGTGCTTAGCTTGGGAAGCTGCTGAGGGCTCCACCAATAAAAGATCTTTCATTATATTCAGTGCTTGATTTATGACATTTGTGTTATATAAAATTCTGCTTAGGCATTTATGCTGTTGAGTGGGGAAAAGCTACACAAGACATTGACCATGTTCTGTTTATGTAAGCATCAATGCAGCTTATACCAACGTTTGGTTGGCTGCAAGGGTGTGCTAGTATTCATAAAGTATAACTTGATCAGCTTGACTTTGTTCATAATTATGTTTGTTTTACGTCAGTGTTCGTTATCATCCTGCCATACACTTTTAAAATATTTTAAACAAATTAGTTGTTTTCTTTGTTTTGTATATCCAGCATTCTTAACATCATTTCACAATATACATTGTACCGAAAGTTGACATGTGTGTATGGTTACTCTCCTTTTTTATTTTAGTTATGTAGGGTTTAAATTATGTGTATGTATAATACCATTATAAAGATAATCCTTAATTATCTTGTATACATATCACATGATGATAATTAAAAGGTAATTTAATGTAAATTATCCAGCTGTGCTCATGCATTTCATAACAAAATTTATCTGTGAAGTTAATACAGTATAGGTCTAGTCTAAGGATGGACTAGTTAGACATGCATAAAAGGTCCACACATGTCATCTGTTGATACAAGTCTCTCTCTTCCTTTTTAGCATTCCTAAATCAAATGGCACCGATTACTAGGTTCATCGATAAATTTGTGCCAATACTCCATGCCCAACAGGAATACATGAGCGGAGGTAGGGATTGCATTGTTCGGGCTTTATGATCAAATGCTTTGCTACAGAGTGAGCCAGTTCTGTAAATGGGAGCTGAGAGGCACCATCTTGTTAGTCCTGCTGGGAACCCTACCTTCCTGCTTGGAGTTGCTGTGATGTTTGGCAACATTCTGAGCTGGCTCTTTCTATAGTGCTTCTTTAAACTTTTATGTGAATAGGCACACATATTGTCATCCCATAAACCAAATGTTTCCATAGGTCTCATTTGTAATGTACAGTACTTGTGAATGTGATAATGCTTGTTTTTATGCCTAAATGTTGTCAAACATGTCCAGAGCATTTGTTTGCATTACTATTATTATTTTAATCATTCTGGTTCTTATTATTGGTTGATGAACATTTTTGCCCTCAGGTGCAGGATATGTGTTAAGTCGGGAAGCTCTGAGAAAATTTGTCGAGGAAGCGATACCTAACCCGAAGAAGTGTCGACAAGACCATGCTGGGGCAGAAGATGTTGAAATAGGTATGTGGTGCATATTTTACAAATTATTAAAGAAAAAATCCATTTCTTTTATTTGATGAGCTGTTCATATAGGTCTTAAACATTTTGGGCACCTGAAAACTGTCTCAGTTTTAATGTGATTTGACAAACAGCATTTACAACATTTGATAGTTATCATACTAAAATACTGAACTGCAGTTAAAAGTGCATTTCTCAAAGATGTGTTTTTAACTGTGTAATCTTTGCCATACCTATTAATAGCTTCTGTTTCAAGTTTTAAGCCCAAATTGCAGAGGTACTTAAGCCTGCCAGTCCTTCTAGGGTTTCAGGGTGTTTGTCTTTACAACCAGTTCCTGACCCCAAGCTTTGTCCTTGGGAGAACATCTTCCTGTCTCAGGTGTTGGCAGGGACTTCGGTTCTTCTGCTGGCTACAGTAGCAGGCTTCCTGGGTTAATGGGGACCCCGAGGAGTACCCTTGGGTGCCTGTCAGCTGTTCTTGGTTCCCTCTGCGGAGGGTCTTATGTTGCAGGGGGATCATTTTTCTTATCCCACTCCTGCCATGTGTAAGTTGATTGTTCAGCTGCAACCCTCCCCCCTCCTTTGGGTTTGTTTCTGGGTGCTGCTAGGTGCATCAGATTTGTTCTTCTGGAGGTTTCCGTCCTCCAAGGCTTCACCTTCGGTGGTTCGTGCAGATTCACTTTAGTGCCTCTTTTCTGTGATGTACCCTGCCTCTTTGAGTTTGGGTCCATCTCTCTTTGGTTACAGCTTGAGGTCACGGGCTCAACCTTACAGGCTGACAACACTCATATTTCTTTGTAATTTTGTCTAGGATTCTGTCATTCCCATGCTCTTCGCTGGTGAGAGGTGAGGTTCATCTTTCAGGTGTTTCTGAGCAGGGCTCAATTTGCCCCACTTCAGTCCTTTTTGTTTGCTCTGGCTCTTCCCGAGGATGTTGGCAAGTGACAGCTCCACATGCAGCTGCCTACACTTTCCATGGCTCTTATTGAGAATTGCCATAGAGCACATTTGTACCAGTCTGCAGTATTTCTGAGTCCTTGTGGAAGGGCTTGCTGGGCAACTCTGTAAGGACATGGCTGCACTGGGGTCCTCTCCAGGTGTGGAAATCTTGTGGGCTGCAGTTCTGGCCCAGGTGGCCTTGTTCAAGATGCTCGCCCCTCTTCTTCTAGAGGTGATGGGGGCATTATATTTGGCCTGCCTCACATGTCGGCAAGCTGTATTCACCTAGTTGTGCTTGCGGGGGTTGAGCTCTGCTCTTTCGGCCCGCCTCTCAACTGTCAATCAACTGTTACTAACTACTATTTTTTCACACACACACCCAGGAAGCAGCCCGTGACAGCTGACTAACTCCCAGGTACCTATTTACTGCTAGGTAACAAGGGCATCAGGGTGAAAGAAACTGCCCATTGTTTCTCGCCGGCACCGGGAATCGAATCCGGGCCACAGGATCACGTGTCCAGCGTGCTATCCACACAGCCACCGGCGCCACCACCGGACAATGGTCCACTGTGCTGGACCATTGTTTAAATTCAGCATGGATGGTCTCTTGCTCTTGTGGCCACTTCTCCATTTTTGCCCCTCCTCTTTCCCGAGGAAGTTGTCAGGTTGTGCTTGCAAACATGCACGCACGTACATACGTAGTACTAGTACTCGTATCAACCAGCGATGAATCGTCTTTGGCTCTCATTGACCAGTCTTAACAAGGAGCATCTCTGCCCAGAGACACCAGCTGGTTGGTGTACTTGTCTTGAATGAACAAGGAAATGATAGCAATAGGCAATAAGCAATCATTCTTTACACACAGAGATCACCCTAACGTGATGCATCAAATGAACAAATCCACAAGGGCCGTGACGAGGATTCGAACCTGCGTCCGGGAGCATCCCAGACAACGAACGGCCTATTGACATAGCTCGAGTGCAGGGGGGGAGTTGTGTAAAACCCTGGTTTGTGCCTCGGAGAGGCTGCGGGATCCAGTAAGTTCAGTAGAACTTCGGTTTCAACTCTTTTAACCCTGTTGTAGCTCAGTCGATTAAGGCAGTGTCTAGGATGCTCCCAGATGCAGGTTTGAATCCTCGGCACAGCCCTTGTGGATTTGTTAAGCAATCATTCTTCTGTCTACACTTGTGTTTATTCAAGTATTTGATGCAGTTTTAGTTATTAGAGAAAATGTAGACAAAATGTTGAGCACAGTTCAGTATAAATTAAATTATTGTATGGATCATCCCTTTTTATTAGGCTTTGTGTTCTGAGAGTAACATAACTGAGATAACTCATAAATTGCATAAATAATCTCCTACCATCTAGCAGTAGTTTTAAGTTAACTCAGGACACTCAGGACAGTTTAAGTTAACTCAGAACACACATTTTGCCCGCCTTGAGTGTTCGTGGTTCTGTGCTTGGTTGGATATTCCAGAGTTGGCCAGTCTTGTCTTTAGTGATCAAACATATAAAACTTTTTATTTATAATTTATATAATAATCTCAGGCTTGACAGCCCAAGTCATCACTTTATATTTTAATAATGTATAATAAGGCATTCATTGCATTGTATACCAAACAGTAATACTAACTCTTCATTAAGAGGTCACTTAAACAACTGTATTATATATTAGGTATGAATATTAGATTGGTAAGGATGCCCATGATAGCATGCCAAACAGTTAATATTATAATGTATGCATGTTTTGCTCACAGATTGTGCAGTACAGTATAAGAGTGATGCTTGCGATAACATCTTTTAATTAGCTTCTGATGGTAGATCTACTAATGAGGGGCCTCACAAACCAGCTCAGTTTAAGAACTAGACACACTTCACTTAGAGCAGACCAGTGCACATATGGATTCGAAATTTATAACTAAATGTAAAGAAACACACAAGACCAAGAAAGATACTGGCATTTACATACATTCTGCTTATCCCCCTTCCCTGATACACTATACAGATGTGATTGCAGGTGTTACTTCTCATATTTTGGAACTAAGGCAGTACTTTTTGGGGGTTGTGACATAGCATTATTTTTAATTTGGCTAACTTGCAGGTAAATGTATGCAGAATATTGGTGTGCAAGCTGGGGACTCTAGAGATAACATGGGACGTGGTCGTTTCTTCCCTTTTGTTCCTGAGCACCATTTGGTTCCTGGTCATATTGGCCCTAAAAACTGGTACTGGGATTGGATATATTATCCATCCAAAGTTGTAAGTACAAACTCTGTACAAATATTGTTCAAATTTAATGTAATCCAATACAGCATATTAGCTAATGTTAAAACCTTCCATGCACTTCTTAAACTGGATATATCATACTTTCGTATTCCTTGTTTATATGGTCAAAGAACATCTCAACATATTTAATCATCTACTGTTTGTACTTTTGCTCACCTTTCTTATGTAAACATATTAGTTCTCTTCTATATATTTCTATTTCAAAATTACGCCAAACCCACTGAAATCTTAGTTAATTAGCTTTGTCAAAGCAAAGCGTTGCTTTGTAGGGGCCTGACAGCTGAGTTGACAGTGCTCGGGATTCATAGTCCTAGGGTTCCGGGTTCGATCCCCGGTGGAGGTGAAAACACATGGGCAGAATTTCTTTCACCCTGATGTGTCTGTTCACCTAGCAGTAAATAGGTACCTGGGAGTTAAATAGCTGCTACAGGGTGCTTCCTGGAAATGTATAACAAAAAGGAGGCCTGGTCGACGACTGGGCCACGGGGACTCTAAACCCCGAAATCATCTCAAGATAACCTCAAGATAAGAAGACAGGAAGCATCTCCTTTACATAGAATTATCATGTTCTGCTGCTTGGTAATTTGCACATAATCGGCACATTAAGGACGGTCTTAATTGACCGCTTTTAACTGTAGTCTTAATTGGCACATTAAGGGCGGCGGTGGCTGAGCGGACAGAACACTGGTCGCCTGATCTTGTGGTCCCGGGTTCGATCCCAAGCACTGGCAAGAAACAATTGGCAGAGTTTCTTTCACCCTGATGCCCCTGTTACCTAGCAGTAAATAGATACCTGGGAGTTAGTCAGCTGTCACGGGCTGCTTTCTGGGGGTGGAGGCCTGGTCGAGGACCGGGCCGCGGGAACACTAAAGCCCCGAAATCATCTCAAGATAACCTCAAGATAATCTAATAATTTGACAGCAAAATGTGACAGAACCTCATAAATATGCCATATTAAGTAATATTGGTAAATTAATTAACTCTTTAATGTTCCAAACCATCGATGCATACCCAACCATAAACATTCTAGGTAATTCAAGATCCCCCTCATTGACACTTAAAATGTTTATACCATATTTTTTTTCCAGCTAGTTTTTGGATTATAATTATAAATTATAATTATGATTATACATTACTTGCATATTTTTCAACTTAAATAGAAATGTGAAATATGGAAATGTGCATACATGATCGATCAATATCAGGGTGAAAATATAACAAACATAACTACAGCGTCATACTTTTCATGCAAGTAATATGCAAAAATTGTAAAAAATACTCACAGGCAGATTAGTTATCTTTGGTGATAAATAGTTGACCGAGGTGATCTCTGGATTGTCCCCAGATACTTTGCTTTGTTACATAGCTGAAGAATATCATTCCCAAGCCCCTGTTCATCTTCTACTTCGAAGGTCAGTGCTCGCATCCGTTGTCCAGTACTGTACAGTATTATTCCAGATGACCTCTGTGCTTGTGGTTCGTCATGTCATCAAGCCAGCTTTGACCCCTTTTTCTAGATTTTAAAGACACCTATTGGCACGTACCAATCCATCTGGGATTCTGGGATTGGCTGGAGTTTTGGATTGGAGTCGCATCCTATCATCTCTCGGGCTCAACCTGGCCCCCATAATGTTTTCTCGGCTTACTCACATGGTTCTTCGGGAGTTTCGACTCTTGGGGAGGCAATGTCCTGTCCTAATTCAATGAATGGTTGATCTGGGCTACCATTCATTGCTTTTGCTTGCTAGCCAAGGGACATAACATTTCAGGTGGTGGTCTGTTACCACCTTATCCTTTCCCATGTAGTTGATTACCTTACCTTGAGGTGCTTCCGGGGCTTAGCGTCCCCGTGGCCTGGTCATCGACCAGGCCTCCTGGTGGTGAAAAACGTGGCTCACGAGTGAAGGGGGCAGCTGGGATGCTGAATGACCTGAAGTATATTTTGCTTGTTTGAATAGTCGTATGGGTTACTTGGCTTTACAAATTTTTTTTATAGAGATGTGGATTTTGTAATGCTTTTTGGCATTCTGGATTAGTCTTTGATCCTCACATGCTTCCTTGCCTCTTTGATGTGGGGGACAAGATATCGATTCTCTCTCCTAGTGAGCTGAGGAAGACTTAGGAGCCTGAAGTTGGAGGATAGCCCTGTGGTGCCAGTGCAGCAAGCCCCCCAAAAAGCTACTGAGATATTATGCCTAGAAAGAGACATTTCATTATATTCAAAGCTCTGTTATTTCTTGATGTGTGAAGCCTTCTGCTAAACACACATCTATTAGGTTGACTTTTGGAACCTGTGTCACCTGTGGTTGGTCATTGAATGCAATCCTGAAATTTTTGTTTTCTTATTACTGGGTGTTGCCATTCTTGGAGGACATCACTTCAAAGCATTTTGGCTTCTTGCACTGACCAGTGATATTTGGATCAACACACTCCATGTCATTCTTCATCATTTGGCAATTCTGGTGTTTGATTGTGGTGATCAGGCCTTTCTGCTGGGTTATGAGATGCCTGCCTTTAACCATGGGTCCTCTCCTTGTTCTGGAATGGTTTGTCTGGCCTGCTATCCATCATGCTGTGTTTTATGGTAATGTTGCACTAGTATGTCTTGATAATGAGTGTCTCACACTCTCCTTCTCTATTTCTTAACCTCTGCTCTCTGGTTTTCTGCTCCAATGCTGGCCTCTTCCAGCTTTTGAGATGAGTGTTAGTCAGCTTAGTGTGTATCCTTGTGTCGATGATTAAAGGAAATATATGTTCCACACTAGCTGCATTACTATTATCCTTATCCAGCTCAGACATCAGGGCTATGGATTCTGGAGAGTTAACCAGATCTTCACAGCTTGGTACCTATCAGACATGGCTTGGTTATGGCACCATTGAGTAACTCTGGGGCAACGCTCAACATTTTGCCTCTGGTAAGACTTGTTGGGTCTGGAAGATTCTGCTCTAGTTTGTCTTGTACCTTTGCTCTCTGGCATTTTTGCAGAGCGGATATGATAACTATGTATACAATCTTGGTGTCCGTGGGTAGTGTCTGTGACTACTGTCCATGTGATGTGTGTGTCAGTGGCTGGTGTTTGTGGCTACTGTCTGTGTGATGTGTCAGTAGATAAAGTGGATAAAGGTAACCTAAGGTAACCTATTTAAATTAAAAAAGAGGTAGGACAACGGGACATCGATGGAAGCTGGATATGCAATCAAGTCGATGAGATGTAAGGAAGTTTTTGTTCTCTATATGGGCAGTAGAAAAATAGAATGCACTGAAGGAAGAGGTAATTGAAGCCAACGCCATCCACAACTTTTAAAAAGAAATATGATAAACGTTAATATTAAGATGGGTGATTGGTATGCCAGGTATAAAAGATTAGGAAGCAGGGCATAAAGAGCCAGATCTCACTTTCCCATGGTCACTCATCGGTCAGCCTGCTGTGGGTAATTGGCTATCGGAGCATCTGTGGAGACGTTAACTCAGAAACAGAGAATTGAGCATATTAAAACACTTCTTTCTGAGCATGCCCCTCAGATGCTCCTGTTCCCATCCTTGATTGCTCCCTTTCCAAGATATGTGACAGAAGAATCACATACAAAGATCAGTGGCATGTGGGATGGAAAGTATCAAGAGCCTGGTGGGTTACCGAGTTTTGGGTAGATGATACGGAAGCTGGTCAAGAGAGCATCTGAAGGTCATATCCTGAGAGGAGCATTTCATACTCTCATTTCTCACTTTTTCTTTCCTTTTATCTCACTTGCCATAGCACCATCCTGAAGCTATATGACACTCCATTCAATAGTAGTTATTCTCTAGGCTGAGTACACAATTTTATGAACACAAGTCAAGATCAGGTGTGCTGTATTTGCAGGTGTGCAAATTTTGGATGTACAGTATACAATATTAAAAATGAATGTAATGCAAAACTTTGAGAGCCATCTTCTCTTTTCAGGGTTTAGACTGCTGCTCCGACACAGCAGTTTCCTTTCATTACGTACCACCTAACAAAATGTATGAACTGGAATACTTTCTCTACCATCTTCGACCATATGGGATCAATCACTTGGATCCTTTTCCACCCCCACTGCCACCTGATACCAAGAGTATCCCTGATGGGGTAAGTTCATTTTTACTGATTATCTATTTGTATTAGTACTGTAGTACTGTATTGTTAAACAACAGGAGCTACCTAAATGCTGAAAAACTTTTAAGTGGAATGATGCCCAAGTCTCCAATTTTACTTAAACTATATGAATGACATTATGAAACCCTGTTTTCCTAATGATTTCATTTAATGAGGATAAACGGTTGGTAAAATAAATAAATATATTTATATATATATATATATATATATATATATATATATATATATATATATATATATATATATATATATATATTAGTATATTTGGTAGCAGTCTTTCCTGTAGACATATTTATTAAATATGACCGAAAAAGTAAGATTAATAATTCTAACACGAATTTTCTCAATCTTTCGTACATTATGCTTCACTGTTGGAGGTAAATCAAAATCACTTCTCCAAAATTCATTTTTATTTCTAGTCTGACGCGACACGGGCGCGTTTCGTAAAACTTATTACATTTTCAAAGACTTCACAAATACACAACTGATTAGAACTTGCGTTTCCCTGATTTTATATCTACATTTGAGTGAGGTGGGAAGGGTGATGTGGCATTACATTTGAGTAAGGTGGGAAGGATGATGTGGCATTAGAGGATATTAATAGGGTATTAAAAGTATCAACACAAGACAGAACACGAAACAATGGATATTGAATAGAAGTGTTTGTAGAAAGCCTATTGGTCCATATTTCTTGATGCTTCTATATTGGAGCGGAGTCTTGAGGTGGGTAGAATATAGTTGTGCAATAATTGGCTGTTGATTGCTGGTGTTGACTTCTTGATGTGTAGTGCCTCGCAAACGTCTAGCCGCCTGCTATCGCTGTATCTATCGATGATTTCTGTGTTGTTTACTAGGATTTCTCTGGCGATGGTTTGGTTATGGGAAGAGATTATATGTTCCTTAATTATATATATATATATATATATATATATATATATATATATATATATATAAATAAAATAAAATAAAATAAAATATGAAAAGTGACTGTGTTCTGGACAGCCTTGGAAGTCAACTTGAGTATGGTTATCTTATAAGCAGTCTCCATTTTTAAGACAAATTTAGAGAAGATTCAGAGATATGCCACTAGATTAGTCCCAGAGCTGAGAGGTATGAGTTACAAGGAAAGACTACGGGAATTAAGTCTTTTCTCCCCGGAAGACAGAAGAGTTAGAGGAGACATGATCACCACCTACAAAATTCTCAGAGGAATTGACAGGGTGGACAAAAGCAAGCTATTTACCATGGGTGGAACATGAACAAATGGACACATGTGGCAGCTTAGTACTCAAATGAGCCACAGGGACATTAGAAAGAATTTTTTCAGTGTCAGAGTAGTTAACAGATGGAATGCATTAGGAAGTAATGTGGTGGAGACTGACTCCATACACAGTTTCAAATGTAGATATGATAGAGCCCAATAGGCTCAGGATTTTACATCAGTTGATTGACAGTTGAGAGGCATGACCAAAGAGTCAAAGCTCAACCCCTGCAAGCACAACTTGGTGAGTATAACTAGGTAACATGAAGCCACTGTTTGGCCCTTCTTGAAATCATCTAGTCATTAGATACATTATTTTACAAAAGGACTTCTGTTCCTATCATTTGATGGCATAAAATCATATATGTACATTCTAAGATAAGGACAGTCTATTCAGTTCCCGGTATTATGCAATAATTTAATAATTTACAATAACAGTTATTGTATATTACCATAGTATCCACTGATACTATGCTTTTGTTGGAATAGTTTAACAGTTAAAGTAATGAATGTTTGAAGAAAATGTGTATATAATATAGGTACATTTGCAGACGAGGAGTCACAATAACGTGGCTGAAATATGTTGACCAAACCACACACTAGAAAGTGAAGGGACGATGACGTTTCGGTCTGTCCTGGACCACAATCGACTTGAGAATGGTCCAGGACGGACCAAAACATTGTCGTCCCTTCACTTTCTAGTGTGTGGTTTGGTCCACATACACATTTATTTATTAGGAAAGTTAATATCATTTCTATAAATTAAAACAATTTACTGAATTTAACACATTTGAGTGCTTACAGGTAATTGCAAAGTACCAGAAGGCCACTGCTAGTCCTAATCAACTTACAACAAGCTCAATTGTAAACACTCAGCATCTTACAGAAGAAAAATCAGGAAATGGTGAAGAGCAGCAGCAAACTAAGAAAGTAGATGCTTCTTTACAGAATGATGTGAAATCAAAACTTGTGTGATGTTATAGACCATTTTTATATATTACTCATTCCATAGTTTTTTTTGACATGTTAGAGTCCTACACTTTCATAAGCAGAATCTGCTCATGAGGTCTGTAGCAACTAATACTACAGTCAACCAGATACACACCTCTGAGGTCTGTGTCAGCTAGTACTGCTGTCAACCAAACACACCACTCTGAGGTCTGTGTCAGCTAGTACTACTGTCAACCAAACACACCACTTTGAGGTCTGCAGCAGCTAGTACTACTGTCAACCAAACACACCACTCTGAGGTCTGTATCAGCTAGTACTACTGTCAACCAAACACACCACTCTGAGGTCTGTGTCAGCTAGTACTACTGTCAACCAAACACACCACTCTGAGGTCTGTGTCAGCTAGTACTACTGTCAACCAAACACACCACTCTGAGGTCTGTGTCAGCTAGTACTGCTGTCAACCAAACACACCACTCTGAGGTCTGTGTCAGCTAGTACTGCTGTCAACCAAACACACCACTCTGAGGTCTGCAGCAGCTAGTACTACTGTCAACCAAACACACCACTTTGAGGTCTGCAGCAGCTAGTACTACTGTCAACCAAACACACCACTTTGAGGTCTGTGTCAGCTAGTACTACTGTCAACCAAACACACCACTTTGAGGTCTGCAGCAGCTAGTACTACTGTCAACCAAACACACCACTTTGAGGTCTGCAGCAGCTAGTACTGCTGTCAACCAAACACACCACTCTGAGGTCTGTGTCAGCTAGTACTACTGTCAACCAAACACACCACTTTGAGGTCTGCAGCAGCTAGTACTACTGTCAACCAAACACACCACTTTGAGGTCTGCAGCACTAGTACTCTGTCTTTGAGGTCTGCAGCAGCTAGTACTGTCAACCAAACACACCACTTTGAGGTCTGCAGCAGCTAGTACTACTGTCAACCAAACACACCATAAACACTCCTGGAGTTTGCATTTTAAATACAAAATTACCGTTGATTATTTGTGATTAGGCTTTGGAAAGACAATTTCTATGTTTTAGTATTATTATTCAAAGAAACAAGCTATTATATTTTTCCTTATATATAAAGACATTAAAAATATTTTATATAAGATTATTTTTTATTATTTATATCTTTGGTTAACAACAACATACACTGATAATTGAATTTTTTTCTGAGGGATTCCCTTGTGATTCCCTGAATTTTTCACATGGAGATGGCTTCCAACTCCTGGGTCACATCAGCTGTGAAGTTCTGTTTAGCCTGTTGTGAACTTGAGCCAGAACCTGACCTGACACCCTCCAGCCCCCCCTCACAAAGGTGTAGAGAGCATGCGATGCTCTATCACCCCCATCATGAATTCATCCAGAAAATTGGCAAACCAATGCTGGGTTCAAAGCCTTTAAATTGCCAAACCCCCAAACAATGTAAACAAATGATCGAATCTCATGAAAGTAGGACGAACTCCTCTGCACTGTACCCCTGCCAGTTGAAGGATGTGTGTGTGGGGTGGGGGGGGGTGACTGGCACATCTTGTCTTCTCCAGTTCTCCAAGCCAGTTTTGGCACTGATGCAGACATGATTAGTTGTAAGTTGTCCTCTCTAGGGTTCAAGATCATTAACAAGCCATGTGGGGTTCCTCTGCTTCTAATCAAGTGCTGGCCGTCCTTGGACTTTGTCCTGCCGGGGCAATTTACTTGGTGCTGTTTACACATTTAAGTTAGTTTCACGGGCATGTTTTCTGTCCAGTTTGTGTTGTACTGTGTGCACCTGGGTCATAGAGTGCATGTGCTCAGGGCTTCCTTTCCTGTGTGTTCCCTAGCACGGTCAGAGGTTTCTTCTTTGGTGTGTTTGTGCATTTGCTCTTTAGATGCCTGACCTTGGATGTGTCAGGAATCTTTTATCCCTCTGTCTAGACCCTTTGTTGTGATGAATATTTTGGCTGATTGAGGCATTACAGGAGGTTCACACACTTGTTTTACTCTGCACGCTGCGGTTAGCCTTCACAGGGACATTACCTGGACTGTGTTGGTCTACTTGCATAATTCCCAGAAAGCATCCCCAGAGCCTGGGTGTCCTGTTTTGTCAGTGCTTTGGTCCCCTAGTAATTTCCTGCAGGTGTTGGTGAGGCCTAAGGATATCCCCTCCAGACATGCTCCTGCCTTGTGCGAGTTTGAAGGCTGTTTGTCACCTGCGCCACAGAACAACGATCATTCTTTCTGCCTCCCCCATGCTGCCTGTTGAGTCAGCGACACTGCGAGTCCTTTGGGGTTTGTTTTCCCACGTGTCTCATCTCTTTGACCTACCTGATAAAGTACAAGCTTATCAGGCAGCTTCCACCTTGTGAGTTCATTTTGCCCGCCTTGAGTGTTCATGGTTCTGTGCTTGGTTGGATATTCCAGAGTTGGCTTGTCTTGTCTTTAGTGATCATCTCAGCCTTGATTTCAGTTGCTACTTGCACAGTGTCCAAACCCAGGCATTTTTTCACAACACTACCTCTTTCAGAAGATTGGGCAAGTGACATACCTCTCTGGTTGAAACTTCTCACCTTTTTGTGTCTAGTCATTCATTCACGCATCTTTATCACCATCTATATGACAAATGGGTGGCTGTTTTGATGGTGTCTTACCTATGTTCATCTTCCCAGTGGCAGTATGAGGCGTCTTGGCTCTCGTTTTGCCATTACCTTTCCCATCATCGTTATTCTTCTGTCTCTTCAGGTATTTTCATTCCTTTCTTGGTTGTTTGCCAACTGGCATCTTATGCCTAATACTGTCATCTCTTATCATTCGCACTGGTGGACTGCTTTTGCTTATGTTGAGTGTCAGTACTACTTTGGTGCCATTTCAGAAGCTGTCTCACACATTGTTTCACCTCTGGCCTGGTCATGCACCATCAGAGCCTGGTCTCTTGCCGTTTCCTTGCCTTTCTTTCTTCTCCTTGGTTTACAGTTTCCCTTTGGTCCATGATATCTTTTCTAAGATGATTTTCTTTTTGACACTTGTTTGTGGTTGTAGGGTTGAGGAGCTTCACTCCTCAGACAAAGCTTAGGTCTCTCCGAACCCAGCAGTGGTCTGAATTGGTCTGCTGATTTTCTGGATGCTTTCCCAAGGATGGTGGAATGTCACCTGGTCTAAGCATCTCTGTGATGGGGGGGGCAAGTTCTGGCTCTGGGGCCAGATTCACGAATGCACTCACAGAAACACTTAGGAACCTGTACATCTTTTCTCAATCTTTGATGGCTTTGTTTTCAATTATTAAACAGTTAATGAGCTCGGAAGCACCAGGAGGCTGTTTATAACAATAACAACAGTTGAATGGGAAGTTTTCATGCTAGTAAACTGTTTAATAAATGTAACCAAAGCCGTCAAAGATTGAGGAAAGATGTACACGTTCGTAAGTGCTTGCCTAAGTGCTTTCGTGAATCTGGCCCCTGGTTCCCAGGAGGCCAAACACAACTCCATGGGGTGATGTGACCTAGTAGTTGGGAGCCATCTCAACAAGATAGCTTCAGGGAGCCACTGGGACTCAAACAGAAAGAGGCATTTCATTACATTCACTGCTGGTTTTTTGTGACTTTTATAGTGATAGTTAAACTTAGATAAATCAAAAGAAACAATAAATTAAATTTGTATTTTTGGTATATTTTTGTAAAAGTAGTTGAAGTACCTTTTGCATTTACTTTATATTGTTAAAATTTGCTAACCTTTTAAACAGTAAAAAGGTTTGATTTTTGTAGCTTTTTTTTTTTTTGTCTACTAAAGGTATTTTGTTTGGGAAAACTTTAGTACTTACAGTTGAGGAGTTCAAATTTTATATATTCAGTACCTATTTATTTATATATCGACTTATATTTAAGACTTTTTCAAGAATTTATTAACATAGGTCACCAAATCTATTAAGCTTTTGCTTTATTTCTTTCTTTCTTTCTTCAGAACATTTTGTATATTTACTGCTTTATGACAAAAACTTAAAATTGTCTTCAGAATTTTCTTATATAATCTTATCTTATTCAGACTTGTATCCCTTTTTATTATGTTACAGTATTGCTCACCATTCAAACCAAACTGTCCTAAGACTTACAATTTATTCACATCTCCTTGAATATCTGTGTGAATACAATACATGTACAGGTACAGTATATGATCTTTCTATTTATGGAAAGTTTACTTAACCACTGCACTGCGCTGCATTAAAATATGACGCCACTGTGGTGTGTCGAAAAAAAATTTATTTCCAAAAAATTATTTTATCTTCTTGTTAAAATGCGGTCTCTAATCACGGAAAATAAAAATTGTATGTGACATACTTTAGCTTTGATGAAGCGGAGAAGTTGAGCAATTTATGCGCACCGAGTGAGTAGACGTCCTGGGGCAGTAATCCTGCCACCCTGTGGGGCGGCAGTTACCGTGAATATAATTTTTCATAATTATATCAATATGTCTCATTCGTTTCTTCTCTGTTCTTTTTTGCTGTAATATTATTCAGAAGTGTGTAATTTGTGGAATTTATATACAGTTAAATGTGTTGAATATCGCTTTACTAAAAATTATGGAGCTTGTATATGGTGACACGTATACTATGTTCTAAGATCAATCAATCAGTGTTTTTACTGTTATTGCATTATATACACATGTTTTATATATATAACTATTGACATTTTTGTGCACCATTATGAACCACAAAGATCATTTGTTGAGAGTTTATATACACAGAATAACACTGCAAAGTCAGGCTAGTGGCCGATAGCTGAGTGTGGCAGGGGCTGCTGCAAATACATTTTTACATAATTATTTCAGTGTCTGTGAATGGTTTCATGTCAAGTTTTTTGCAGTAATATTATTCAATAGTGTGTAAATTGTGGAATTTATATAGTTAAATATGTGGGACATCAACCCATCCTCTTAAAAATAACGTCACTTTTAGCTCGTATGCGCACTATGGCCAAATTTGGACGTAATTTGAAATGAAATTGACTCACAAAAGTGACGTACTGTTCCATTTTCTGTTTGAGTCGTCCGGCTTACTCGGTAATCTTAGAAGAGGATATTTTCCATTAACGTTTTTTCATACCGTTTTGAAACTTTATGAGAATTTCCTGCCCACCTAACCTATCAGAGGACCCTTAACTTACTGTTGTTGAAAAAAAATCCCAAATTTATATTCATTTTTTTTCATTTTCAAATTACGTCCATATTTGGCCATACAGGCAAACGGCCAAAAACGACGTTCTTTTTAAGAGGACAGGTTGGGGACATCTCAAAAATATTTGCCTCATACACAGTGACACATACATTATATTTTTAGATCAACCAAACAGTGTTCTTGCTGTTATTATGCTATATATGCACATTATATACCACAATCAACATTTATATGCACCATTACAAACTAATAAGCAGTTCTGGTAGGTATGGTGATGAAATCAAAATACAGCATGGAGCCATGTGATACGAGCAGACGATGCCACCAGTCATGATGCAAGACAATGAATGCCTCAATATTCTACATATTTGCTATGACCAGCTACAAAACATGCTGTTATTACCACATTTCTATCACAAAAATTGAGAATATGAATCCATTTCCACAAGGTTATATATTGTGAAGGAACATTAGGTCGTTTCATGATATGTAGATGCAGGAAACAATGGCTGGGTGCTGTGTGTCTACCTCGGGCTGTGAATATCGTAACTAACATTGTGTTCACTGATATCTAAACACTACATAATCTTTTATCACAGTCAGGATCATCTATAACACTATCAATGTAAAATAATTAGTTACCTATTTTATTCATTATTACTAAGTGGTGCTGTGGCCCCCAAGCTGCACAGTGGTGCTGTGTGCAGCTCCTGCATGCACCAGCCTTGGTCGCTCTGTCAGTACTAAAGCTCTCACAGCCAGCACGGATGCTGACAATTTTTTTCAATATGGTGTCTGTTTACTGGCGTCCTGAGGCACAGGATGTGAGCCTCGTGTAGCTGCGGGAGTTTTGAATCACTCCCTATACGTATTAACACCATGTGGCGCTCTGCGCACCCCAGATCGGTTGCCTTAAGGTGCTCTGCACAGTGCAGTGGTTAGTGAACTTGAATTTTGTCATTTTAGTATTGGACAAAAAATTTTGTGCTGCATACCATTTATAGAATTTGTATGTTTTATATTGCCTATTTCATTTACTTTCTTGTCAGGGCATATATTTTCTTTTGTATTTCTTAAAATGGAGTCTTGCCATCATGTTTTGGTGTGCACACAGTCTTTCCTTCAGAGCAATGAATCTGGCTTGTATATATGTCTGAGAGCAGCTGGTAAGCCTTTTTTTTTATTCAATTTAAAACAAACTGTATTAGAAAGAGTTTAATTTGACATTAAGGCAGTACATCTGCCTTAATGCAGATCTGCATCAATTAATGCATCAGTACATCTTTCAAACAAAGGAAAGTTTTGCAATTAATAGAAATAATAACATTCTTGAAATTAGATTGTATAATAATTCATTGAATAAAATTTGAACTTTTATTTATTATAAAGATATGAATTAAATGTTTGATTACTGTACTTAAATTATATCACATTTTAAGTTTCTACCTCCTAAAAAATTTATTCTGTTCCTTATAACTCAGAAGTCATTGTTTTGAAATTTAAAGACTTGGCAATAATTTTGGCTCAAATAATATGAACCGTAATAGATTTTCATTAGCTGCAGATGTTCATGTGGTATTTTTATACTATTGTACATATATTTTTATTATTATTATTATTATTATTCAAATTTTACTGTACATATGTAAATTCATTAATAAATACAAAGTACCAGAAAATCAAAGCTGATATAGTCAATTAGGGCATCTAGATAAAATGTTTGATATTCATCAGATATTTATCATGAATGTATTCATTAAAAATACATTTCTGTATTTTATATAGTCATTTTCATACTTGAGCTTTTTAGTAGGACTTAAGAAAATTGGAAATTACATGATGATTATACTGTATTTAGGTATATTGTACAGTATTTGTACACATACATACACCTACATTAACCACCTAAGAAAGCTGGAGAAAGTCCAGGCAGGTCATCTGACTAAAAGAACCGAGAGAAACGTTAAGAAATATGGTGTTGAGCATAGTACAACATTTCTTTGAGTTATCTCTCAGATGTCTACCGAGCCAGAACTCATATGGCCCACCCAAACTTGTGTCATCCACCAGGCTATTGTCGACATGTGACACACATCTTTGCAAAGGGTCCTCGGGGACACTCATGGAGGAAAGGAGGCAATCCAGTCCAAGAGACTCACAGATGCAAACTTGAGAAGCCCCAACATCCCTGCTCCAAGCCTCCTGAAAAGTGTGCAGTCATCCTTCCACTAAAACATCACTGGATGTCTCCAAAAAAAAAAAAAAGACAAGAACCATGAAAACAGCCTCACTGAAATCTTCTATTATGGTGTGACAATTGATACTACCCATAAAACAGCTGCAGACAACGGAACTCTTACCAGCAACCAGTGCACCGGAACCACTATCCTAACCTGGAGATAGAGAAACCCAAAGTTGACCATGCTTCCCATAGGACATGGACGGAGTTGATTTCTGCCGATATACTTAGGAAAGCTGCTAGAAAACTCAGCAGTGAAGATCATCACCCTCAGCACCACTGCCTCATGAAAAGGAAAGGTGGAAAAGGGAATGGACATCAACAGTTTGTGCATCCAAATAAACTGAGAAAGGTTCAATGCAGAGTGCCTGCAAGCAAGAGGGATCATGATCAAATCTGATACCTGGTTGATACCTGGTTGATGGGGTTCTGGGAGTTCTTCTACTCCCCAAGCCCGGCCCGAGGCCAGGCTCGACTTGTGAGAGTTTGGTCCACCAGGCTGTTGCTTAAATGACCACAAATGACTAATGACTTAAATGACCAATGACTTAAATGACCTTTACCACAACACAAAGGCTGAAAATGAATAACTTAAGCAAACCATCAATGACCATCGAAGCAGGTGACAAGACAAACCCAGAATGCAGCCCTTCCAAAGCAGACTTAGAATGCAACTTCTTCATTCAGCTTCAAAAATGTATCTCTGGGGTTGAAGGTTTACCTAAACAGCACCAGGGAAGATGACCCTGAAACACAGCCATAGCTAATAACAGTAGTTCAATGTCTACTCCAGTAAGTGAACCATAAAACATAGGAACTCTCCTGTGCTGTCAATTTCTCAATTAAAGACTAGCTAGAAATCTTTTTTGTCACTGCAGCACTTAGGATAGTGATGGGAGGATGCCAAGCAGAAATTAAGGATTTTCAGCTCCTCTGTCATATTTGTGATAACAGGTGATGCCACCTAGTGGTAGCAGTAGCAACTTAGATTTTGAAATGATAGTTAGCATTATGTGTATTTTGATTACCACTTGCAGGAGCTGTTAAGGGTTCTGCACATTTAATTTTGTTTCATACGGAGCTGGTCCTACAGTGGTGACTTGAGTTAGATTCACTGCTGTGAATACTGTCATGGAGGAGGACGAAGTTAACAAGAGCAGGCAATGTGAATTTTGGATAGACCATGTGGGTTCCAACTAGGGGAGTATCTGAGACTCTTAACACACACACACACACACACACACACATGCCTTGTTTATCTCAGTCTCATTTCTGCAGTGTTTCAAACTTTCTCTAGAGTAACAGAATCAGGACGTTACATTATATTGCAGCATCCCTGGCTAGGTATAATGTTGACATATATTTCTAAAAAAATGTACTAGATGACTAAAGGGTTATATATTTAAAGTAAATTATATATATTCTAATTGCTATAAATAGTGATTCCTAACATCATCACTTTAGTGGGATCCTTGCCTCCGGAGACTAGCATCTTTACAGCGGAACTTTATGCTATTCTCTATGCTCTTCGTCTCCTACTTTCTCGTTGTCAGTCTTCCTTTGTAGTTGTTGTTGACTCTCGTAGTGCCCTCATGGCTCTCGGGTCCTTTAATCCAGTTCATCCAGTGGTTGTCGAGATCCAGCATTGGCTGTTTCTCGTTCACAGTAAATTTAAGTCGGTTGAGTTTTGTTGGGTTCCCAGCCATATTGGTGTGTCTTTAAATGAGCGTGCGGATGCTGCCGCCAAGGAAGCTGTCCGCTCTTGTCCCATCTCTCGTAAGGGCATTCCGTATTCCGACTTTTACCCAGTTATCCATTCCTCAGTCCTTACCCGTTGGCAGGCTTCTTGGTTGTCTGTTACTGGTAACAAGCTACGTACTCTTGAATGTTGTGTTTCCTCGTGGCAGTCCTCCTTCCACCGTAACCGGCGGTGGGAAACAGCTCTGGCGAGGTTGCGTATTGGCCATACTCGCTTAACCCATGGTCACTTGATGGAGTGCCGCCCTGCTCCTTATTGTCCTAGTTGCATTGTCCCTCTTACGGTCGTGCATGTCCTTCTTGAATGTCCTGACTTCCAGGACGAGCGTATGTCTTGACCGCCCCTCGCAGTCACCTGTCCCTCGATAGAATTCTTGGTGACTCGGATACTTTTGATATCGTTCGCCTTATGCGTTTTTGTTCTCGTATTGGCATCCTTGGTGATATTTAGCGCCCTCTGATTATTTTGCGTCTTTGATGGTGCTACATAGCCTTCCCGGTTTGGTGCCTTCTTTTGATAATTACTTACTTACTTTAGTGGGATCTTTTTAAAGTATCGAAAACTTGCATTTCCCTAGTGTCAGTCTTAAGTTAACATGCTGTACGTACATTTTTTTTGTCTCCTTATCAAGTACTGTATACACTAGTATACATACCTTTCTCTCTTTTCATGGTCTTAGTCTGTGTCATTTCAAATAGGGCATTCACATTCACCACAATGGTATATGCAGTCATACACAGAACTGTTACTGGTTGTTAAGCTATTGAGGAGTATGACTATTATTAGGTGGCATCTTGGTACTTATTCTATTAAAGATATTCTGTGTACTCCACCTATCCTTGGTAAAATAGGGCATATACACTACATTAAAATGATAAGTCTTAACAGTTTAATCGTGCTTCCCAACAACTCGGTTGCTAATAATGACTCTCAGTGAATTACTGTAGTGGGGTGTCAACCAGGGTCCCAGGTTCAATTCCTGCAGCATGACAGAAGTGTTTGGGTAAATTTTCCTTTTAGTCAATGCCTCTGTTCTCCTAGCAGTAGATGGCCAAGAGTTAGGAAACTGTTGTGGGTTGCCCCCTGGGGAAGGTCAGTTGGCCTAGGGGGACCTCAATAAGCCTAACAGGGATCATGTCCTAGACTATGGAAAACTATGTAACCTTTGGAAATAAATTGAGAGGTACAGCACTGAAAAAAGATATATTGTTTGGCATATATATTGTATTCTTTGAGGTTTCTGTGATAAAACATTGGTTGGAGAAATACAAGAGCCATGGAGCATTCAAGAAGTATAAACATGACTGCAGAGCATTGAAAATAGATAGTGCTCCAGTCAGGCATTGATGGTTGAGGCAGACTGCATCTGTTCATACATAGAAAAGAAAAAAAAATTGATGAAGGTTAACATAGAACTATTGTGAAAGTTGGAGCACACTTGAAGGGGTGGCAGGAAGACCACTAGTATGAATTAAAAATTTATGAATTGGATGGCAGCAATTAATCAAAGTGGCCTAGGCAAAATAAAAACATGAAACAATACATAATACTGTGTATACAAATCAGTATAGACACATGCTTTGTTATGTATTGAGTACAGTAAGCTTAACCAGGCCACATGCTCACTAAAAATTGTGTGAAAGGATTTAACTTGGGCTACTGCTCTATTTATGGACAGATTGAAAAATGCTGATATGCAGCCTTTTTTTTCTAGAGTATTTTTTCCTGTAAAACTCTGATTTTGTATGCTCTGAGATGGCTACTTTTCGTGTGTCAACAATTTTCTGTTATCAAAGTTGACTCTTGCAGTACTCTCATGGCCCTGGAGTATTTTAACCCTTCATATTCCATGGTGATCAAACATTGACTTCCACATCTTTGTCAGATAAATAAACAGTAAAATTTTGTTGGGTTTCCAATGACGGTGAGCTCGTACATGTCAATGTTTGCTGATGATGCAAAGCTAATGAGGAGAGTAAGAACTGAAGAGGAAAGTTGGTGCTGCAAGGAGAGGCACCTAAACTTCAGAAGTGGGCAGATAAATGACTGCTGCAATTCAATCCAAGTAAATGCAAAGTAATGAAAATAGATGAGAGAGACAAGAGACCTATATGGGGAAGGCAGTTACAAGAAACAATAAGAGAAGAACTTGGAAGTACACACAACCCCAACACTAACACCAGAAACTTGTGTGAACAGGATAGCATCATTAACATATGGGAAGCTGGTAAACATAAGAACATCATTTAATATAAATGAGACGGCTTTTAAGTCTATACACACTACCCATGTAAGACCATTACTCGAGTATGCAGCTCCAGCATGGAACCCATACCTTGCAAAGCATAAACAGAAATGTGAGAAAGTTTAGAGGCTTGCAATTAGATTAGTGCAGTACAGAATTGAAAGGCCTTGGCCTCACAAACTTAGAGAGGATATGTTAACTACATACAAGATCTTGAAGGGAATGGATAAAGTGGATAAAGGAAGCATACTTAAATAAAAAAGAAAAAAAAGAGGTAAGACAAGGGGACATTGGTGGAAGCTGGGTATGCAGTCGAGTGGAAGAGATGCAAGGAAATATTTGTTCCATGTATAGGTAGAAAGAAAGTAGATTGAATTAAGTGAAGAGTTTGTTGAAGCCAGTTCCATCCACAACTTTTAAAAAGTACGATGAAAATATTAATATCGAGTGGGGTAATTAGAGTGCCAGGTATAAACGGCTAGCAGACAGGGGCATAAAGAGTTGATCTCGGTTCCCCATAGTTCAGTAAACGCATTGGTGTTGACTCTAATCTCGCAATCGCTGCTGCTAAAGAAACTATTCCAAGCTGTCTTATCTTCCAAAAATTAATTACAGTACTCAGATCTCTACCCTGCGATTCATAACATGCCCGGTGACATTTGGCAGGATAGATGGTTAGCTGTTGTGAATAACAAATTATATACTATCAATTGTGACCAATCCCTGGAACCTTTCCCCCATCACTGAAATAAAGTGGGAAATATCTCTGGCTAGATTGTGTATTAGCCACACACAATTAACTCACATGCACTGAATGTAATGGAGAGACTTATACTGTACCTTATTGTCAGAGCAGCATAGGTTCTACAAACAGTCTAGTGCCTCCTCATAGAATGTTCTGATTTTCAGATTGATTGGAAATCTTGGCGATTTTGCGTTCCCTTTGTTCCTTTGAATTATATTTTTCTTGGGAAAATTTTCGGGGTATCTGATTCCTTTGAAATCATTTCGAGTCATGTCTTCTGCTCTTATATTGTCATCCTGAAAGATATTTAGGAACTGTTGAATATTATGTAACACAGTGTTATATCTTTCTGATCTTATTGCTTTCTTTTGATAATTACTTACCTCCACAATGGTATGTAGTACTCATCTATTTGTGCTTGTGGGGGGGTGGGGGTGGTTTGAGCTACGGCCGTTTGGTCCCAAGCTGCTGCTCTTTGGTCCTGATCTGATCTCAGTGCTAGCTGCACTGAGATAGATCTAGTAGTTTCAGACTGTTATATGATGAAAAGTGCTGGGTAGATGGTACACCACGAATGTAGCTCTCATCCTGTAACGACACTTAGAGGTAATTACACATAAATCACATCAGCCTTAGGAGTACTTAACCAGCCAGCAACCAGAGATCAAAACCTGACCCCCCTCCTTTCCCTGCACCTAAAGCAGGGAATTCATAATCACCCTCACTGAAGAAACAAACTCCAGGATGAAAGTGAATCAAAACTGACATCTGTAAGATTCACAGAAAGTAAACAAACAATGCAGCAGTGAACTAGGCAAATGGCCAGTAGTTAGGTCATACCCCTAGTTACAACTGGCCACTGCCAGGTGGCAGCACCATGGGAGCTGCCAGCTCCCCCATGTCAACAATACTCAGTCCTCTGTCTGGTGTTGTGCATGTCTGATGTGCTTTTGAGTCACCATCTCTCTGAGTCATGGGTTTTCTAGGTAAGTGTTGATCATCCTTTGGACATTCTTTGTCCTGAGGAGGCTCATTTATTTGTGTAAGTTTTCAATATTTAACATTTGTTTCACTTCCATGTCTTGACAAGACTCATTTGGGTGAACTTTGGAAACATCATCTTGAGCTGTATGTGCTTAGGACAGCCCTTTCCCCAGGTGCTGATTGATGTTGCTCCTGCCCTGACAGGTTTGCTTTCCTGGTGTCTTTGGATGTTCCATAGAGGCCAGCCTCGTGTGGAGGGTGCCTTGCCATGAATAGAGCAAACGGAGCAACCTTGGACTCCTCTGTGGAGCTCTGGGTTGGTCAGGTCTCCCATCTCTTTGCTGGGTGCCCCAGCTATTGTCGGTTCCTGTGCGGAACTTGTCAGCACTAGTGTGCGCGCTTGCACTCTCAAGTTTGGGTTTGAAATTAAATAGAAACAAATGTCACATATTGGAATGTGGGATAGGGTTGAACAGGACACACACACACACACACACACAATCAACAAATTACAGTATCTGGAAAGATATTAAAACCCTCTAGCAAGGAGAGATCTAGGTGGTAGATCAAATGCGGTATTTAAACCGCATTTAGCAAGGAGAGCTCTAGGTGGTAGATCAAATGCGGTATTTAAACCGCATTTAGCAAGGAGAGCTCTAGGTGGTAGATCAAATGCGGTATTTAAACCGCATTTAGCAAGGAGAGATCTAGGTGGTAGATCAAATGCGGTATTTAAACCGCGTTTAGCAAGGAGAGATTTAGGTGGTAGATCAAATGCGGTATTTAAACCGCATTTAGCAAGGAGAGATCTAGGTGGTAGATCAAATGCGGTATTTAAACTGCGTTTAAATACAGTACTGTATAAGAAAGGAGAAATATTAAAGAAAATGTTCATATAATTTGTGAGACCAAAACTGAAATGTGTGGCAGTGGTGTGGTGCCAATATCTCGAGAAGCACAAACAAATCATAAAGGGGTACAAGGACTTAATATTAAATGGCCCTGGAATTTAAAAACATGATGTATGAGGAGAGATTGGAGGCATTAAACATGTAAGGCTAGAAGACAGTTAGAAAAGAGATGATCACTACATTCACAATATAGTATACTGTACTGTAATAACAAGATTCAACAAATTAATCAAGAATTTTTTAAATCTGCAACTTAAATGTGTCATATGTTCAAAGGAAAAAAAAGTGCCAAAAAAATAAGAAAATTATATTTTTGCAAACACTGGTAGACAGTTGGAACAAGTGAGGTGGGGGAGGCTAAAACCGTTAAGTTTCAAAGCGTTATATGACAGAGTACTGGAAAGACGGGACACCATGAGCGTAGCTCTCATCCTGTAACTACACTTGGGTAATTACTTAATTATACACACTAAACACATTTATAAGTGCATATACAGTGTGTGTGTGTGTACAAACAAGCCTGTATAATTTAGTTTACATTTTTATTATAAAATAAGAAAACGAAGCACTGCTAAGAGTAAATTTTTAAATAAATTATTTGCTTAATTACTATTAATGATTTAAGGAATGCTAACCTAGCTTATAACTATATCATATAATGACTTCCCAATTTGATTAAAATGATTTTAGATTTGGTTGGAAAATGCTGAGTATAAATTTCACTAATTACATAATTTGTCTTAAATTGTTTGTTTTGCATTTGTAATTTTACAAAACAATTTTTTGTTAAATTATTAATTTAACAAAAAAAGAACGAATATAAATGCTCCTGATATTCATGTACAGTATTTTTACTACATACTGTACTGTACTGTTTATCAATAATTTTTGTATTCTTAATGATTATCAAAAGCTCGTGTCCTTTGAATGTTATTACAGTATTGTATCTACTGTATGTTTCTGTAAATGTCTGTGTTGCACCAGGTCATTTTGAAATTGATGTAGTCGTCAGCTCTTTCTTGCAACTACCCCTGAAGGATTGACTCTGACCTGAAATTGTCTCATTGGACTATTCCATTCTCTGGCATTTCAGTATTAAGATCGCTTCACATTTAAAATGGCTACCTTACCTTGAGGTTACCTTGAGGTGCTTCCGGGGCTTAGCGTCCCCGCGGCCCGGTCGTCGACCAGGCCTCCTGGTTGCTGGACTGATCAACCAGGCTGTTGGACGCGGCTGCTCGCAGCCTGTATGAATTTCAAGGCTAGGTCTAGGTCTCGGTAGTTGGTCTTTATTATAATGATTCAAATTATTGAATCAATTACTGTGCAGTCAGAATGTGTGTTTGGTGTTATTGAGATGAAATAACATATGGTATATTTTTATATTCAAAATATGATGTGCTCAAGATGCTCAGAAATGATTGATGAAAATGGGGCTAACTGAAGTATGAAATTGTAGGAGGCATTGCACAAAACAATACAAAGTTTCATGCTTATTGAAATTTTGAGATTCTAGGTAAATTACTGTGTTTTGTATAGAAGTTTGTATGTGTCAGGAAGTTTGTAATGAAAATGTTGTGAACATCTTGTATAGCTATGATTGAAGAAATTTTATGTTAAAGGAAGTGCATCTAATTATGCTCTTTGACACTAGTGGTGTTGAATGTAGAAACAGAGAATGGGGAAAATTTGGAGTATATATTTGTGATAAATTGTTTTATCAAACAGTTATTGTACTTACTTTACAAGTTCACTTTGTCACAGATGTCAACCTAAGCTTGTGAGTGTTTACAAGTCTGGGTGCCTAAAATATTTATTATTACTGTACTAGGTAACCATATCTCAAGAGCCATTAAGATTAGGTGTTAATTTTAACTTGGAAATGTTTAGTCATGAAATGAAGAGCATATTGCCTGTGTGCATTATGAGCAAGCCCAGCCACTACAAAATATAGATGTTTCTCTTAATGTCTATGTAAGTCTTGTATAGTCTCTAGGTATGGTGTTTTAGAAGTTATATTAAGATAGAAAAAAGTGTGGGAAAGAGTCAAAATTTGTAATTATAATGCGGTCATTTTAAAATTAATGAATATAAAACTTTTTAAAGAAGTTAATATTTTGTACAAATTCAAATTCCTTCAGATGTGGAGATATATTGTGAAAGTCAAGTTTAAGCACGAGGTGTTGATGTATTGGAAAGGTTAAAAGCACTAAAGTTTGGATGCGTTTATTAGGGATGAATGAAAGATGGCAGATGTACAAATTAAAATGTACAATAGTGCACCCAAATAGAAGAGCAAGGCAAGGAGAGTGTATACATAAATGTTACATGATCATGTTTGAATACCACTGTCTTGTACAAGACAATCGTCTTAATTAATTAGAGAAGTAAACAAAATTGCTACACATTTAGGAAAATTACTATTTATGAAGAGAATTGTTCAGGAAAGTAAAGAAGGAAGCTTATATGTGAATAGAAAGGACATGGGATGAAGTAATTCACAGTTAGGTTAGCAGTATATTATTATTTTTATCAGTGAAACTGATTTTATAGGTAAATGTTGCTTGTATTGTTAGCAATAGTTTCTAAAAAGACGTTCCAGGAAGATTTCAAACTGTTGTATATAGGTCAGGATATATTTATCATTTATTATATTACCTGTGTTTAAGAATACAACATTTGGATGTTTTGAGCATTACTAATATGATTTGTCGGTGAAAGGCAACCTATGTACAGTACATATGAACATTATGCCTATACTGAGGTCCCTCTAAGGTCAAACTACTGCTCCTTCCCAGGATGCAACAGCACAATAGTTGACTAGCTCCTGGGTGATTAGGTGAAAGGAAAAGTACCCAACCATTTGTTCCCCACCTGTAATTCAAGTGTGGGATTCCCAGTTGAGTCAAGAATGAACACATCACAAACCTTACTGGTGTGGTGCCATAAAGATAAATGCAGTCATTATACATTAATCAATACATATATTGTAAGTATTTATTGATGAGTATATTTCATATTGTAGCAGAGTTAAACACAATAATTTTATGCATTACTCAAAAAAGCTATAGAAGAGTGAAATATACTGTACATTTATAATGGGGTATGTTGGAAAAGACTATTTTTTTACCTGAATTTACCCGAGGGTCACCAACAGTAGTGGCCTCGATGAGAACAGGAGGCCGGCAGCTTGTCGAAGGTCCTCCCTACATGCCTTGATCTTTCCCAGTTGAATTTTAAAATTTAACATTGTTGGCATTTACAGCTCTGGTGGTTAGGGAGTTCCATGGGTTTATAACCCTGTGGGTTTTTATCACCCATTTAATGACTGGTAATTTATTTTTTTATTAATTGTTGCAGAAAATTAAATTTTTGCAGTACTGTTTGTTCACTAAATGTCAGTAAGCAATATTTAGATAAGAAAACAGTACTAAGTACAGAATATAAATTGTTGTAACAGTTTACCCCTTAATTCCAATACTAAGTGCATTAATGTTCATTTTTTTAACTACGGGCTCACCATAGCCCGTGCTACCTGGAAATTTTTGTTCTAGGTAGCGAATCTTAAACATTTAACAACATGAAGTTCATTTAGTCCACTAGATATTGTACTTATAGAGTATTGGTATATTGAAGAAATGTTCTAATACTACACAGATCATTAGTGTTCGTTCATTATCACTAAAAACTTGATTCCACATCTTGCAGAATGTAAATGACGGCTCTTAGTGAAAGTTGTTCATTCTAGAGAATTTGTTATATCAAGATATAGTACTGTATTTTAAAAGATTTCCACTGATGAAAATAATATACAGAATGATTAGCAAAGTGAAAAGTAAAAAAAAGAAAAAAGTAAAGTTTATCTTACTGAAGACATCTAGGCTTGAATTTTTTCTAACTATTTAATTTGCATGATGCTGCCTATAATATTTGTATTATTATTATTATTATTATTATTATTATTAAGGTAACTGGTCTATATTGAATACCAACAGTGCTGGTATCAAGTTGTTGGTAATATTCTGACATGATGCTAAATAATCTGAGGCTTGGTGCCCTCATTTGATAATTCCTTACTTACCAACAGGGAAAGATAAGTAGCGCTCACTTGCCTTCATTATGTTTTTAGACTTAATTCAATGCTATATTAGTCATCAATGTCAAGCATTAATCTCTTGGCTCTTTGGGTGGCTATAAACAGCAGTACATTATAAAGACATGAAAATCAAAACTGCCTTCGGTTTTACCCTATTATCTAAAGAGCAGAGATCTGAATGCACATTATTCTATTTATCAGGCATCTTCCAAAATTTTAAGACATTTAACACAGACATCACATCAGTTCCTCGTATTGTATGTAGTAATTACCTAAGTGTAGTTACAGGATGAGAGCTATACTCGTGGTGTCCCGTCTTTCCAGCACTGTCATATAATGCTTTGAAACTATGACGGTTTTGGCCTCCACCACCTTCTCACCTAACTTGTTCCAACCGTCTACCACTCTGTTTGCGAAAGTGAATTTTCTTATATTTCTTTGGCATCTTTTGTTTAGTTAGTTTAAATCTATGACCTTTTGTTCTTGAAGTTCCAGGTCTCGGGAAATCTTCCCTATCAATTTTATCAATTCCTGTTAATATTAATTTAACAGTTAATTCCTGGTGATCATATCACCTCTTTTTCTTCTATCTTTTAGTTGTGACATGTAGTGTGTGTGTGTGTGTCACAGAACAAGCAACTTCAAAGTGCAAGAAAATCCACAGTGAAAATGAAACAATAGTTTAGAACTTTGCCTTGCCGAGGGCCTGTTCAAAAACTCGGAACTGTCGGGGTAGAAAAGTCCTGGTAGGAAGAAAGATGGAGGAAGAGAGAGAGGTGCCAACTATTCATAAAAACAAGATAATAATTTAAGAAATTAATTTAAATAAGTATTATGATTTTTTTTAACTTGGTATAGCCTCCCCGGCTTGGTGCCTTCTTTTCATAATTACTTAATTCAGTAGTATGAATTAATTCAGTAGTAGTTCAGATCAGTATATAATTAACAATATATCTACCAATAATGTGTGAAGATGATAAAGTAATCCTCGGTGAAACAATTTTAAAACAAAATAAGACAATAACTACACACGGGTAAGCTCAGATATGAAGCTAGAGAGTGGAAATTATGAGGTTAGGTTACACTATTACCCAAAATCTTGGCAGCTTCTCTGACCCGGCTTTTCTCAGTTCTTGACAAGGCCCTAATTGGTTACCTGGTTGATACCTGGTTGATGGGGTTCTGGGAGTTCGTCTACTCCCCAAGCCCGGCCCGAGGCCAGGCTCGACTTGTGAGAGTTTGGTCCACCAGGCTGTTGCTTGGAGCGGCCCGCAGCAGGCCCACATACCCACCACAGCCCGGTTGGTCCGGCACTCCTTGGAGGAATAAATCTAGTTTCCTCTTGAAAATGTCCACGGTTGTTCCGGCAATATTTCTTATGCTTGCTGGGAGGACGTTGAACAACCGCGGACCTCTGATGTTTATACAGTGTTCTCTGATTGTGCCTATGGCACCTCTGCTCTTCATTGGTTCTATTCTACATTTTCTTCCAAAATTACTAAACAACTATTACGTTTTCATGTTTTTGTGGGTTTTTCCTGGTGTAAGCTATTAAAACTTTTGCATGAGCCTTGATATTTAGAACTTGTTCATATTAATTAGAAAGATACATATCAAATGTTTATTGTTTGAATTGAGAATTGGGCAGTATTTCAAGCCATATGATAACCATTTGCAACACAAGTTATTAATCCAGGAAATAATTTGTCAGTTTCATCATGCTTCAGGAAATTTCAGTTTTGTTATTTGTGTAAACAGCTGTGGAAGATAGTCTTAATTTTAGTTAGATTATTTAAAAAAGTTAGTCAAATTCTTTATTTTCTTCTGAAATCTTTTATTTTATTACAGTATCTGTACTAAAAGTTTAATTCTTTTCGTAAATGTTGGTATTACTGTAGGATCCAAAGAGAACCTCACTTAACCTATATTATTGGAAACCTTTGTGGGCTTCCATTTTTCCTTTGTATAAGTATCTTGCATTTCCCCTCGTCCCAAAGTAGTGAGTTGTACAGCCGCCACCTCCTGTTTTGGTAGTACTTATAGTAACCATGAGACCATAGTACATATACTGACGTACAACACAATTAGTAAAGTAAAAATCTGTACTATTGAATTTGGACAAACCAGAAAGGTTTTCCATTTATGTTGCAATGACAAACTAAACTAACCTGAACTTTCTAGGCCTAATACACACTACCTGAGGCCTAGTTTATTACACGTGTGCGCTATACTAGGCCTAAGAATATTTTTGCTTTTTAGCTTAATTTTTGTTGGTCTCTATAAAGTGAATAGTACCAAATTCTATTATCTAATTGTTTAGTATGTCTGTCTGAACTATGGTGCACATAGTTACAAAAGGGACTATCTAAACACGATATAATTTACAAATTTACAGATAGATTTACAAAACATAAAACCAAAGACAGTATATACATTTTCTTTGTATATATCAACATAAATTTGCAATAACTTTTGTTATTTTTCTTATTCATTATTTCCATGTAACAATTTCTTTTAAAGCCCACCAGCTCAGTCACTTTTTAATGATTTAAAAAATAAAAATAATAATAAATAAGTGTCTGTAAGTGAAATTTATCATTTTTTTATCTGGTACAATTGGTTGGTTCATAATGCCTTTGTTGCACGGAACTCCGGAGAGCTACTTCTGGATGACCTTTGGATTAGTGGCCATGACTCAGTATTCAGTAATTCACTAGAATTTAAAAAAGATTATTTTATCCTTGTAATAATATCTTGAGATTGCCGTTCATTAGCATTTTTGCTCGGTAAGCAAAACTCAGCATTGAGTCCTCCGTTAAAATATTTGCCAAAAATCTGGTTTTTATCCGATTTTGGGGGGGACTGGTTTTAAAATGTGCGCCAAAGCGCCGCTTACTCCACGATGTTAGCAAGCGGAAAAAGTAGACTAAACATTTGTGGGTGGGAATTGGGGGTGTAAAGGGTGGGCGTCTGGGCACTCCCTCGCGGGTAACACTTGGCCCGTTTTCAACTTGTTGGCGGGTGGAGCGTGACCAGTTTTTTTTTTATTTTATATGCTTGTATTCCTCTAGAGAATTCTATTGTGAACCCATTGATACCAAAATGAGACTTAGAATGAAAATTGAGGTGACTAAAGTGAAAAGTGTACACATTTTATCGCTCTTACGTGCTCCGGGGTCACTTGCTCGCACTTTGTTTGCTATGGTGGTAAGCCAGGCTTTTGGAGTTTATATGCATTTAATCCTCTAGAGAATTTTATTGTGAACACACTGATACCAAATTGAATATCGTAGGACGAGAATTGAGGTGACAAAGTTGAAAAGAGTATACACTTTACAGAATTACCGCGCACTCCCGTGGAGTGCCCAAACCCACCAGGGGAAGTGGGGAGGTCGTGCCCCCAGAGTACAAAAACTGTTAATGACTCTAGTTTGAGTTTTATGAAGTTCAAGAAATTTTTAGTTACATAAATGCAAGCATTAAAATTTTGAAGAAAAAATAACCCAAGATTACTGATCAGTGGTACCATTTTTAAGTCATGAATGACAGTGGAATTTCGGTACTCAATTGGTTCCTGAAGGCCGGTTGAGTGCCGATCAGTTTGAGTACCGAACAATTTTTTCCCATAAGGAATTACCGGTATGTAAATTGGATTAATCTGTTGCAGACCACAAAAATAAATATATAAATACAATAAATAAATTAAATAAATGCAAATACAGTACTACATACACTTTACCTGCACTTAGGGGAGTTGATGGCAGAGGAAAAGAGATATTATTTGACAGTGGAATCCCTTATTATTATTATTATAGCTTTGTCAGCTATGATAATGATAAGGGAAAGTTTCAAGAAAAGTAATCAGCCTCAAATGGCTGATTACAATTCTTTGATTATCAGCAAAGTTTCAAGAAAACTTTGCAACCCCCCCCCCCCTATTTTGCAAACATTTCTTGTATTAGAGAAATAGATTTAGGCATACCAAACTCGGTAGCAGGAGCAGACATGTGGGCACCAGTTTCATATTTTGCCAAGTTCTTATTTCATCTCGACTGATTTTAGTTAATTCTCTTTTTTCTTGACACTTATCATTAACTTTCTTTGGTGACTTATTTACACTAAGACTATCAAAAATATCCAAGAAAACACAAAGTGTAGAGAAGTCTAGTGGTGGTGTGCACTGAATGACAGCTACTGGGAAATTGACTCATCTGGGATCTGTGTTTGATTGAGTGCCGAACAAACGGTTGAATACTGAACGTGTACACAGTGTTCGAATTGCGAGCTGTTAGAGTACAGAGGTTCAACTGTATTATGGCAGAAACACTAACATTGTTTTCCCCTCCTTTCTTAGTTTTTGTTAAGTAAATATTACTGTATTTTCTGCATACTGTACATTATTTTGTTCATTATTTAGTAAATTGTCTGTCTGCAAGAGGTTAGTTGATTTCTGTAAGGAAAGAAGAGGGAGGGAGAGAGGATGGACTGAAGCTTTTACTTTATGCTGTCTGGTACCACTGTCGGCTTGATTTCAAAAGTATTTACCATTTGTTTTCAATTAAAACTTCAAAATTTCTTCCATTTTATCAGTACTGTACTGTATAATTAACTTCGATGAGCTTAATATGTGCAGATGCAAAGACAGATATTTGTAAGTTGTAGGGCAGCTGATTCACAACCAAATGAACCCAGGCTAGATTCCTCATCACAGACATTTGAACATGTTTCCTTACACCTGATGCATCTGTTCACTTGGCAGTAAATTGGTACCTTAAATTTATGCAATTGTTATAGGTTACATCCTAGACAAAATCAGTAGTTGGCTTAGGGGGACCTCAGTTAGCCTAACAGGCTTCCTATCACTATCTCACTATGTACAGCATTTGTCTTTTTATTGGTGAGTAAATTAATAATTCAATTTATCTTTGTAAGTTTACAGTATTAAATGCAGAATTTGTTGGGCCCTAATGATTTCAGATATTTTTTTTGCTTTACTGCATTGGAAAGCTTAGTGCTTCTCTTGATAATTACAATATTGGAAACAATGTATTGTATAGCCAACATTTTGAGTGTACAGTATATTCAGATTTTTAACCAATTTGGCTGGAAAGAAGAGTTGTGCCAGGCTATGGGGTCAATGACTAAGGGCCCTGATAGACAATTGGTCCAGTTCAGATGATTCAAGTCCTTTTCCTTTCCCAACAGTACATGATCCACTAGGGCCAAAATGTGGTTTACATCAAGCAGCCATAGAGGCTAATAAGGACTTATTGTACAGGTTCCCTAGTCATTGATCGGTGTCTATTAGTGGTGTGATGATAATCTCGAAGTACAGTATATATCTGACAATTTTGAAGTCTCTCTTTAATCTACTTATGGGCAGTATTATCATATTAAGTCATTATGTTTTAAAACTAAAGGTAGTTTTCGTTACTTTGCTCATTATGTTTTCATCATAAGGTTCAAGTTTAATTGCTTTTCTCTTGTTTTATATTCAGTGATGTATACAAATACAGGGTTTGTAGTTCTCGAAGACTTATAATTATTCGAACTTGTGCTAAAATAAAAGTAATACATTTATTGTTAGCCATACGGAACTCTTACCGAATACAGAAGAAAAGGTTGAGTATGCAGTTGAAGCTTTAGGCATGTATTACTACTATGGTGTATGTACAATTAAAGTATTATTATTATTAAACAAAAAATATATTTGCAGAATCTGTACTATAAAACTGTCAGCAAATTTAAAATTGTCAGCATTAGTCTCCAAGCATGAGAATATCTTTATTCAGTGGGAATATCTTTATTGTAATACAGTAGAGCTTAAGAATTAATTTTTTTTTTGTGAGTACGTTGTAATATTATTGTTAATACAAGTATTGTATAGTGCAGACAATAACTCTCAATAGTGACTGAAAATTAGATTACACGACTCGATTATAGCCCAGGACAGACTGAAACATCAATTCTTTAATGTTCAAATTTGTGGGTCGGATGTTTATTGTAATGTGATTGGTGGATCTTACTCCTCCAGTTACATGAACAGTCTGTACTACAGTATAGTACTTTATTGATGGCTTGAGGAGGAATGCATATATTTCATATACAGTGTACGGTACTCTGCAACATGACATATTTCATGACATTTTAATCATTTCATACATTTTGTAAAATTTAACATGGAAAGTGTATACAAGTTTTTGTATGAGTGTCGAGTTATATCACGCATTTTATACCTTAATATGAAAATATTGTAGCGGCTGTTTCTGTGATAAGATGTTCATGTTGACAGAGAATAAACAAACCATTTCCTTTAGTTTATAATTTTATATACCTTAGGATACAACTTTGAATGCTTAAGAAAGATAGATAACTAGATGCTTTGTCAAGTATCATTTGTGTATTCAACCTCTAATTGAACATGATTTGTATTATGGAACTTGCAAGCCGAGATTAACCAAAAGTGGGTCTGTGGCTGTAATTTCAGCTTGGCCCTCGTAAATTAATCACTTTTAAGGAATCAACCCTACTTGAACTAGTTTCTTTAGTTTTAACCTGTAACTCTTCACCATGAAAATGTTGTCTAGTGGTTTAGTAACTACATATGTGAGGAGAGAACAGAAACCCCCGCAAGAGTAAAGACAAAGTAAAATGTATTAGCAATTCCTCAAATATTCAGATAAACAGTGTATATATACCTTCTTGCATACACTAAATAAACTTTAGCACTGACTATCATGGCAGTACTGTACTTGTGCCATCACAAGTAGAGTAGTTGTATGTACACTCATTAACAATTCAATACGAGATTAATTTGAGAAAAAATTAATCCAACAAATCCTCAATACAACATTATAATTTATATTTTTCATGACCTTAAATGTTATTATGTAAGTACTTAGGAAACAAATGTCCAGAGGAAATAATGGCTTCTGCCAAAATTATTAGTCTTCACTGACAACTCATTACTGAAATCGATTTATTCTGTGCTGCCGAAGCTCTTCTACAGTAGGTCGTGCAGGATACGTTCGAAATTGATCTGAAATAAAGATTACTTTAGAAATGATTATAATTAGGAAAACAAAGTATTACAAAATTCTTTATAATACTTTGTATTCCTATAATCTTGCAAATTTATACAGTAGTTGCATTATGAGCAATACTACACTTGAATTATGTGTAGTAATACAATACCATATATTTTTTTTTACTGCAATGTAATTTTGATATTCCATTAACATAAAACAAGTTTATTACAAAAATAGACAAAAGTAAAAAATGTAAAGAAGGGTTCCTTCATTATTTGAACTAGACATGCTTCGGGAGCTTGCATAATGCTTTAGACCAGCATTTCTTAACTGGGGTTCCTTGAGAACATTATCAATGTTTACCTTTTGTGATTAATAAATATATATTATATATATATATTATTTGTGCAGTGACATTCCTTGAAACATGGAAATTATTGTATTTCAAGGGTAAAATGGTTGAGAAACGCTGCTTTAAACATTTAAACCACCCTACATAAGAAAATCACAAGATCAACTAATGTAATATATCTTGTTTTCTTACCATTTTCATTGAACTGGTTCCCTTGTGAAGATTGCTCTGTTTGTGTATAAGAGCCATTAACATTCCACCCATAATTCTGTCTTGAATATTCTGGTGGTGAATCTGGAAAAATTATTGATGATCTGAAGAGGTACGTAATAATTTTTCATTTCGGTATAAATATTGAATATTATAATATGAAATGTCATAAAAGGGCAATTTGCAGACAAAATAGTGCATAAAAGACTTAAGGAAGCAAACAGATGGAATAAACTTTAAAAGTTTATAATAACACATTATAATTTATAATAATAATTTTAATAACCCATATTATGTCAAGTTATTTTGTGTAGTGTAACAAGCCTTGGTTCAGTATATTGTGCATGGCTTTAGCCAATTTGCATACTTGACAGGCTCTTAACTTAGCCTTATCATTGCATTTGGATCAAATTACATAACACCAGTACAAATTAAATACAGCAGCAATGAAATGCCTCTTTCTAGTGGGTTCCACAGTGGCTTTACAAGCTACCCATTTGAAGTCACAAACCTAGAGTGCCACACCAGGTTTTGATGAATCATGAGCACCTACCAGAGACCAGAATCTGGCCCCTCTCCTTAATAAAGGCACATGAGAGTTCGGGGATACAAAATTACCAGACGAGACCAGAAATGCAGTGTGAAGCAAACAAACAATGTTTGTACGACAATTGCAACCCCGATTGCACACTATGCACACACTCCATGTCTGGGTCCAATCATCAGTTAGCACCACTCCAACTGGCAGGCCCTAGTGACCCAAGAGTCCCAGCCAGCCACCCCAGCTATTCATGCACTGCTTGAGCAACAACCACCAAACACTACAGAAAAGAGAGGACAAGGCAGGAACAAATAGCATCTGAAGGACCCACCAGAAAGGCATTTCATTACATTCAGAGAAGGAATAGTAGTAGTAGTAGTACTTGGGAAGCAGGGTAGAGACGGCAGTAATTTCATAGGGATTCAATGCTAGGTCAACCAACCCAAAGCCACTCGTATCCAGAACGAGTGCCTGGGGAACATTGACTAGGTACTGAGGTGCTGAAACACACTTAGTACCAAAAATAATGAGCCCAAATATGGCATAGAAAATGTTAAAAAAAAAAAATTCATGGATGTCATGAACCCATGGATAAACAGCAGGCTGGCTAAACTTTACCACCCGAGACAACTGGGCCCTGAAGCAAAGAACCAATACCATGGTCCTCTGACTTTATTTATGAAGACGGGCTGCAATAAAAAAGCCAAGGTCCATTCCATGCACTTGCCAAAACCCCTGTTTATGATTGAAAAACGGTTTACATACGACTCACAACTGATGACGTCTGAACACTTCCAGAACAAGTGCTTCGCTGACAACTTTTGTTCAAACCACAACGCTGTAAATGCTTCACCCACGTACTACAAATACAAATAATCGGCAACAGAACCTAAACACCTAACCTAACCAATGCCTAAATATGCACAATATGCTAATACATAATATTAATTTATATTTGAGAAAATTCCCATTTTGAATGAACAGCATGTTAAAATTGATGAATACTTCTGAGGTCGACCGCTGGAGAATGGACTTTGTTTGAGAATGGGTTGTTTAATGAGTCTCTTGTGAAGCACAGTATCAAAGGTCTTGCTAAAATCAAGATATAGAAGCTTGCAATCTTTCCCACTATAAACTGCTTGAAATATACTGGAGAATAATGAAAGTAGATTTGTTAAATATGAGTGGCCCTTAGTAACATCATGTTATGAATCATTGATTAATCCATTTTTTCAAGATGTGAAGAGATAGCTTGTGCAATAATTGATTCAATCCATTTTCCTACAATAGAGCTAATTGGATGATAGTTTTACACAAGTGGTCTATTTCCTTCAGTGCCATATTTGCAACTCTCCACGACTCCAGCACTCAGCTTGACTCTTAATGCTTTATTAAATATGCAAGACAAGGGCTCACTAAGAAATTTACATTCTTTAAGCACCCTGCAAATACTTTGTCTTGGAAATCATTAGTTGTTGTTTGAAATCTGCTTACAGAAATAAAACCACATGAGACCATAAGCCATGGCAGGATGTGCAAAATAGCTCCATTGATAAGTAAAGGTGCAATAGGCATGCTGAGAGAGAACTCAACAACATCTAAGGGTCAAGAGTTTTCAACACTCTCCCACTACACATAAGGGGCATAACTGGCCAACCTCTGTGCTCAAAAAGAGACAAACACCTTCCAATGATACCTGATCAACCAGGCTGTAACTAGTGTGTCAGGCTGCAAGCGGCCACGTCAAACAACCTGGTTGACCAGACCACTAACCAGGATGCCTGGTCAGAGACCAGGTTGTGAGAACATTGGTCCTTGGAATCAACAGGTAGACCCTGGGGACTTGTTTGGCTTCAATTTTTGTTTTATAAATTCCTTCCTGGTAACTAATAAACTAGTCAACTTGTCCTCTTCACCAGCTGCATAGATTTGATCAGGTGCAAGCCTGTACCCCTCAACACAGAGTGAAATTCACCACTCTGAATGCCATGTCACCACATGTGCCCAGGTACCTTGAGTGATAATATTGTATGGCACATCCCCATATCAATCAAGTCAAAAGTAGACTAGTTCCTAAACCACTGGTTACCTATACTGAATCTGTACATTATTATATTGTATTGAAAGCAATCTAATAGAACAACACTTTTTAAAAACATCTTGATAATTATGCACCTACATATTAACTTTTCATGAAATTACAACAAATCCATATATTTATAAAACTATGAATCACAAGATTATTATAGTACTGTGCCCAACTGCTTCACAATTAAACACTTGGTTTAATGGACTCGTCTCCACTTAATCTTATTCTTTAGTTAGAAAGTCTCTACACATACTATGGACTTTAAGCCCTCCTTCTTACATAACCTATACAGTATCTATATACTGTACGTGTATTCTACAATATTTCATTAACATATTCAAAATGACATTCTTCAGTTGTTCTTTCAATCAATATTTTACAATCCATCTGCCCAATCAAACTTTTATCTGCACTATTGTAAATCTTTTTGTATTCTGTCATAAGTCACACAAATTATTCATCATTCAAATGCTTTCCTCAGCTTTGCACATTTTTCTCACAATTGAATTTACTTTCTCTTAATTTCATATAAGATAATTTGCATATAAGCCAATACATCTATTGCTACTACGAGAGGTCTGTGTTATACCAACACCCATTACACGAACACTCATTCATCCAACCAGCCTCCCAAGTCCTCGTTTTTGTGTTACATCCACTAGATGTATAGTATATAAATCTATTTCCACATGACCCACTAGTGTAATACTGTAGCCTACATTGTTCCAGCCATCAGTACTGTGATCCCATTGGTAAAGAGCTAATCCTCTTCACTCTGTTCTAATAGAGCAAGGTAATTTCACATATAAGTGTTAGCACAATTAGTGTCAGGGTGGGGAATAGTTGTGTTCTTTTCCTTGACACTTGCCATCCACAGCCATTGGCTACATGATTCTTATGTTTATTCCTTCACAAAATTACACTGTCATTGCTGCTGTATAGCAGGCATTCTCAGTTAGACAATCTCGGTAAGACATGGAGTCTGTGAGGTGAAGTCAGTCAGTCTCAACCTCAGTGGCCACCCAGGAACTGGTTGAGGGAGGGTGGGGATAGGTGGGTGGATATGGAAGGGTGTCGGGTAGGGATTGGGACAGTTTCGGGTGGGGTTTGTAGAGTATTGGGGGAGGGTATCATGGGTGGGGATGGGAGTGTATACAGGGAGTCTTTATGGGAGTGATATTTCTGGGAAAATGACAATGTTAAAGTGGCGCCTTTCACGACTCCTTAGTAACCCAAAAAACTTGCATGATTTGAACAAGACCAGATCATGTTTACCCTGTTGGTGGGGGTGGGGTGGGATCCTTGGGTTGCTGATGGAAAGAGAGTGGGAGGTGTTTACTCATGTAACAAATTACAAATGGCAGTACACATGTATTTTGGTTTATTTATTCATGTAATTAGACCTCTTAATTCTTCAAAAACAGCAAACTTTGACGAGCACAATAACTCCATCAAAGTATACAGTATACTGCAACATGCTGTATTTTTTTTTATATGTCCCCAAAATATTGATTTTCTGAGCGTTTTTGGAGGTCTAGGAATGCATGCCCATTTATAGCATTGCATCTATGGAAAATCTCATTCTGCACTTCAAACAAATGTTTTATGAACAAAATTTTCAGGGTGTAACCCGTTGTAATAGGAGACTACCTGTACTGTACTTTGTAATTTTTTTTCTGGTTTACAAAAGAAATGTAATATTTAGCATCCATTTATAAAAGGAGGGAAGAAACACTCATCATTTATACTCTTCTATATATTATCTTTACCTTGATAGGGATTTGAGCCAACTGTGCTCCGTGTGTAGGTATATGATGGTGCAAATGATCCACGAAGTCCCATTACTGGTATCAAGCCACAAATGCCATCAATTAGATATTTTAGTGGCCCCGAAACATAAGCAACTCCCACCAATATACCTGTAAATAAAATAAAAGCAATCATATATACAGTATGTAGGTGTGTGTGTGTGTGTGTGTGTGTGTGCACACATGTTGACTCCAAAGATGTCATGGTATACTGTACATAAATTTTGGTTGTTCAAACTGTGCATATATCAGGATAGCAAATCTTGGCTGTACATTATAGTATGTATGTGTTTAATAGCCTGTGTAGATGTACATATCCTTACGTGAATTGTTCTATGCATGTAATATGTACGTGAAGATATGTGTTCAACAAATATATTGTAGTGGTTATCACTCATTTTGCTAGAGGGTTCGGGTTCAAATTTTGAGAAAGGTGGAGAGACAAAGTATCATTCCTTCACTGTTTGCCCCTGTGCACCCTGTAGTAGAATTGGATGTAAGATGATTGGTGTAGGTGTTCTGGGAAAAACACACAGAATGGTTTAAAATGAGCTGTGGCAAAATAGATCTTAGCCTGTAAGCATGAGCCAGAAACCCTTGGGCCTGCACGTTTTAGTGTTAAAACAAGGCTTTGAGTTTAGATGAAATGCTCCTTTCTGATCTGGCCACTCAAACATTTATGCCTCATCATTGTGGTGCTCCTTTCAATAACCACACCAGGTGACTATAGAGGAAAGGAAATATTAGATCTTACTCAATCCAAATGAGAATGAGATTTTGTTTAAGCTCTAAACCCACTGTAAGCATCACTTGGAAGCAACTGAGTGGCCAATTCATGAGGCATAAATGCATTGAAGCATTCTTTTTCTGGTGACTTGATATAGTTTGCCTTATGCGTTTTTGTTCTCGTATTGGCATCCTTGGTGATATTTAGCGCCCTCTGATTATTCCGCACATTTGATTGTGCTACATAGCCTTCCCAGTTTGGTGCCTTCTTTTGATAATTACTTACTTACTTTTTCTGGTGAACTCGATAACTCTGCAGCTACAACGCTGCAGTTGTAAGCCTTAGATAACTGCACCAGATCACAGATACATCTTGAGCCTACTGGGAGCCAGGACCAGAATCTGGCTTTCTGAAGTCAGTGGAGTTTCAGAAACAGAGATCATCCCAAAACCAAGAAAAACTCGGCAGAAAGCATAAGCACAACAAACTAAGCAACCACTTGAAAGAAATTAGTAGCCCTGAGGAAACAAGGGCAAACATTAATTTCTATGGGGTAAACATCCCCATCTAGTTACCCATGGGGTAAACTGTCTAGTTGCAGCCATGATATGCCTGGCTGCAATTAGATTACTGTACAGATTGCTCGAGGTCCCTGCCGGCCAATCAGTTCATTCATGAACCTCTTGAACAGAAATGCCCCTATCTCCCACAGGCAAGAGGGAAATAGGGCAGAATAAAATGCCCAGAAAAGGACATTTCTTTACATTTAATGCCTAATATGTGGGAGGGCCCTGTCAATAGCATCCCAAGCTAACTCATAAAAAGAGCTTTAAAAAAAAGCTGGCCTCATCTGCCAAACAAAATATAAAACAAACAAAAATATATGTATATAAAATAAAATATAAATATAAAAACAAACACTTTGTATAAAACAAAACAAAGGACAGACTGGGCTGTCATCTATTATGGGTCTGGATAATCCTAGAATTTGGAAAAATGACTATAGATGATGGGTTTTTACTGTATGTGGGATGGGCATGGCATTGAGGAAATTAAAGAAGTGAAGTAACAAAATGTGGAATGGTGAAATGGGCGACACAAAATCTACTTAGGCGGCTTATCTTGAGGTTATCGTGAGATGATTTCGGGGCTTTAGTGTCCCCGCGGCCCGGTTCTCAACCAGGCCTCCACCCCCCAGGAAGCAGCCCGTAGCAGCTGTCTAACTCCTAGGCACCTATTTACTGCTAGGTAACAGGAGCATCAGGGTGAAAGAAACATTTTGCCCATTTGTCTCCGCCTCCACCGGGGATTGAACCCGGAACCTCAGGACTACGAATCCGAAGTGCTGTCCACCCAGCTGTCAGGTACCCCCTACAAATACACATTAACAAAATGCTTGAGAACCATTTAATGAGAAGGGTGTACAAGGGGGAAATAAAGGAATCAAATGGTAGAGACAGATGATCAGTATCATAGAGGAGTGAGTAGAATAATATGAAAGAAAGGGTAGGAAGTGAGGAGCAAGAGAGCTTGGAAGACTTCAGAAATGTGTGTGTGGTAATAGAGCCCCTGGAGAAACTTGTGCTGGCCAAACCCCCACCTGATGGGAAGTTCTCAGGAGGAAGTAAGGTATTTTGGATAGTAATAAAAATACAATTAAATTACTTCTAAATTTTAAGAAAATTATTAGTAGGCCCTAAATTTTCACATATGAATTCAAAATGCATGGTTTACATTGCACCATTCATAAGAGTATCCCAATTGCATCTGTTTAACAATAACAGAATGCACTCTCTGAATTTCTTGCATCATAGCACCTTACAAACATTTGTAACTCTCCTGTATCCCAAGATACCCACATGAAAATATATAAGGTAATGTTGACTTTAAATAATTTAAAAAGTTTGCTTTAAATGTCATAAGATCCACAACACTGTCACCTTCCTTGGACAATTTTGTAAGATTAACAAATCTACCATAATACAATACAATACAATACAATTTTATTTTATTTAGGTAAGGTACATACATACAATAAATATTTACAAGGATTGTTTAACTTATAGGTATAGCTAGTACATACAATGCCTAAAGCCACTATTACGCAAAGCGTTTCGGGCATAAGAAAAATGCAGCCTAGAACAAAGGCTCTGGCTGAGTCAAGCTCAGTGACTGTCAAGATACCAGACATCTCCCTCGTCTCATCCCTATTACCCACCACAAACCTCACCTAATAGAATCTCATATGTGAAAATTGTCTACATTATTGGTGGACACTACTTAAATATCTTGTCCGGTTGTGGCAGGAGTAGATTACTAGTGTATTTGATTTGTGTGGATTTGACTTGCTTGCCATTTCCCAAAAGCATCTCCCATGTAAATTAAGGGTAAGCTGTGTAAATTAACTATCTTTAATGCCAATTATGTTCAGTCTTAATATAGAGTACTTACCAGCTGTAAATTAAGGGTAAGCTGTGTAAATTAACTATCTTTAATGCCAATTATGTTCAGTCTTAATATACAGTACTTACCAGCTAAGTGTCCAATAAAAGATGCTCTTGGCACAAGAACTTGTATAATAACAAGCTCTACCCACACTGCATACTTAGTTGGCACCAAAATTCCATGCACATAATGAGAAGCACCACCCTCGTAGTGAGTTGTTAAAACTTTTAATGCGAAGAGTACACCTAGATACAAAAAAAAAAAAAAATACAAGATAAGTTTAACTAAAAAATTACTAAATAATATAAATGCAGGGTAATATGGATAATAGATAGGCTTATATCAAGATCCTTCAGTATAACATGTATATATACACTGGCTGCCTGTCTCCCAACAATGAATTATTGAGAAAAATTAATAATTAAAGTGGGAGAAAGAATACCTTTCAGGAAGGAGGTAAAGACTTGTAGTAAGAGGAGAGATATCAAACTGCTGGGAGAATAAACAGAGTACCTTATGGGTTTGCACTAGAGCCCATCCTAATGCAATACATGTTAAAGATTTAACAGTGGAAGTAAGTTCATTCTTATTAATATTTGCTGACAATGATAAGCTAATAAGAAGAATCAGAACTGAGGACTGCAATACAGTACATTGTAACTTTTTTTTTTATCTTGAAATGGTCTGAGAAATGGCTACTAGACTTTAATCATGTCAAATGGAAGATTATGAAGATAAGAATTGGAGCAGGAAGGTCTCATATACAGTATGTAATAAAGGGAATGCAACTTTCAACTTTCAGAAAAAAGAATAATAGTAGACATAACTTGATATCTAACACCAAAGGCACAAATCAGCAGAATAGCAATGACAGCATATACCAAAAATTTGGTTGTCCTTCAGAAACTTGGACAAAGAACCTTTCCAAGTGCTGCATAATTGTCTACATTATTGTACAAATCATACATTATTCTACTTACATAATTGTCTACAATATCAACAAATCATGAGTATATCCTTAATGAGAACCATTTTTTAGCTTGCTGCCCCAGCATGGAACCCCTGCATACAGAAACACAAAACAACTAGAAACAATACAGCAAAGATATGCAACTTAGCTTGTTCCAGGGTTAAACAGACTGAGTCATGAAGAAAGGCTGAGGAAACTGGACCTCACTACATCAGAGACAAGAAACAATAAGGCCGACAGGATAATGATATACAAGATACTAAGGAGATATTGACAGAGTAGATAGAGAAGCAATGCTCAAAATGAGGAACAGTAGAATGTGGGGACATAATTTTATATTGTTAACAGAAGAGTCACAGATATCAGGAAAAAACTTTTTCTATCCAAGAGTCAAAAATGAGTGAAACGGACTAGATGAGGAAGTTGTCAAAGCCAATTTGATACAGTTTTAAATGTAAAACATGAAAAGACAAATTAATGAAAAGTCACTGAACTGAGCTACTGATAGTCGAAAGACTCGACTCTGCAAGCACAACTAGATGAGCATTTGTATGCCCATACAATAATAATAGGTCAAAGATTTAAGCTAACTAAACAAAGCTGCCAAATAAATAAAATAAAATTCATTTTGCAGTGATACCGTTGGAACATGTCAGAAGATGGTGGAGGCCGAAACCTGCAGTAGTTTCAAAGAGTCATGTGACAAAGAGTGCTGGGAAGATGGAACACCATGAGCATAGCTTTCATCCTGTAACTACACTTGGGTACTTATAAAAATTAAATGAGCAAATGGAGCAACTTTGGCAGATGGAACTCGACGTAAATAAATGCCATCTAATAGAATATGCAGCAGAGACTGAAGGCTTTAAATATGCCAAAGCTAGAAAAAGAGGAATTTTAATCACCACACAGAAAATAACAGGAATCAACACAGTTAATAGTGAAGACTTTTCAAAACCTGCAACTTCAAGAAGAATAGGTAAAAGACCTAAGCTAAGGAAACAACTGTGTAGAAAGAGTTGTGGATGGTTTGAACAATTTAGGTGAGAAGACAGCAGATGCCAAAATTGTCAGTAGTTTCAAATGCATCACATGGCAAAGAGTACTAGGTAGACAGCATACAACAAGCATAGCTCTCATACTGTAACTACATTTAGGTAATTACACACATGACTGGTCAACTGATTTTCTGAAGGGTATCATAAAATTGCTAAACTTTAACTCACCTGAAAATCCAATGGCACACTGCCTCATATATGAATAAGTTTCAAAAATTTCAGTAGCTCCCCAAACGAGGCCAACATATGTCAAACTTGTTGCTATTGTAAAAACTGCTAAGAGAATGCAAAATTTTACAGAGCCATATCTGAAATGATAAGATTTAAAACTGAATATCTTACTGGTATATGAACTACATATACAGTATATAAATGGAACCATGCTAATTATATTAATGACAAGAGAGCATTAAAAAATTGAGAAGCAAGCAAAAAATTCTTACCTCAACTCTAGTGATCGACCTTTAAGCATCAACGATGCCATATTGTAATACAGGTGGATATCATCAGCATGTTCAATGGCAGATAATACAAGTCTACGATAATCTTTATGAATAAGGATGGATTCTCCACTTATGCAAACATCATAGCGGTCCCACGGAGGATTTATAATTCCTAGGAAGAGCAGCGTCTGTAAAAAAAAAAAAAAAAAAATCCAGTGTTGAAGACACTGAGATGCCTTTTTCTGGTAGATTCCCTCTATATCTCCTGGAGCTACAAACCTCCAGTTCTCCAAACAATGGTATTACACCAAGCTCTAACAAATCATAAATCCCTACCAGAGGCCTAGGTATCTGGCCCCTCAATACAGGCATAGGGGTGGGAATTTTAGATCAAACACAGTCGAGGGGAAAACTACCAGTGATAGAAGGCACCAAAACAAGCAACTGCTTAGACAACATTTGCAACTCTGATTCAAACTTTGTCCACACTTGTCTAGTTCAACTGTTAACACTCTTGCCAACCCAAGGGTCCAAAAGAAGCTATCCCAGTCATTTTAGTACAGCTCAATAGTTTAATTGGTACAGTTTTAGCTGTACACAGGATGTATAGGAAAGTTAGTCCCTGCACAAATTGAGTGCTGCCTGTATATGGACACATGTTTATGCAAGATGGCCACATCTAATACCAAAAATGTAGCTGTGTAAGACAGGTGATGTGTGTCCCCACTGAAATAAAAATGGAATTGATGCAGATAATTGGATGCAAATAATAAATACAGTACCATGCATACAATCACCAGAAAATATTACATAACTACCATACAAGGAGCAAAAAAAAAAAAAAAATGAAAATAACCTGTGCATAAAATCTTTTAGGTAACTAACTTTAAAAATACAGTGTGACAAAAAATTGCATGAGCTAATATTTTTTTTTGTAAAGCAACCTGCTAATCAATAAAATTATAATCTCACCTGACCAACAATGGCAAGCAGTGTAACAGGAGGTAATGTATTTATGCCAACACTATATAATTTATGGGCCAGGAGCAACAGTCCTATTCCAATCATTGGCCGTCGTTGTCGAGCCATCTTTACCTCTTACACCTAATGCTGGTTTTGATTCCTGAAATGCTTGAGTAAAAATAAGTATTGTAAATTAATTTATATTAAATTAAGAAAATGTTAGTATACACAACACTCTTCATAATTCCACTTCCATACAATGGAGTCCTCTTAATCAATGGGTCAAATCTACCTGTCAGATATTCCCTCTGAAATTCAGATTAGTAGGAACAAAATCCAGATTCTGAAGGGGAATGTGGTGAAACCCAAAGTGCCAGTTTCCAGGTCTAATAGGTGATGCCTTATGAAGTAAAAGGAAACATTGTTTTACTGGAGAGGGAATCAAACTTGGAACTTTTCAGTTGTGAACTGACTGTAGGACCCTGGTATTATAATGCAACCATTATATACATACAGAATTTTACCAATGTACAAAGAACATTAAAGATAAATGTTAGAAAAAATAAGATTATGATTTACAAAGAGAGAGGAGTGGTTAGCTTTATTCTACCCTATAGAATAAACACAAAATGTGGTTCAATGCAAGACTAAGAAGGTGAAGCACTAGGTCAGTAGTGATTTTTTTTTTTTATTGGATCCTCATGAAAGATTATGCAAGGAAGAAACATTACTGAAGATTTAAGTTAAGGACAGTGTGACGGCATGATCATTCCACCTCAAATCTGTGGAGACGAAACGTGTACATGGAATGAGACAAATTAATACAGTACAGTATATAATTAAAGCTACTGAAATTGAACTACAGTATTCAGCAAAGATGTAAAACATTGTGAGACATATATGAAAGAGGTATGCTAGCAGAAATATTTAGTGTAAGGTATAGTGGATCAAAGATTAATATTCAATGATAGTCTGGCCATGTGCAAACCATGAAGGATGATAGTTGCAAGCAAAATACATAAAAGCAGGTACTGAAAGAGATGATATATGGTAAGAGGAATAAAACAGGCTAAAATATTACTTTGACAATTACCTCCATGCTTTTTTTCATGAACATAACCTTATGCAATTATAACAGTTGTTGAGGTGACTTGAGTAGACCTATGAGACATTCATAGGGAGGTGAGGTAATATTACCCAAACCACACCTAGAGTAGTTTCAAAGGCTATCCCTTGTTACCAGATTCAAATCTGTCCATTCAATGGAAAATTGGGGATAGACGGTATAAAAGCTCCTTATGAGAGAGGGAGAGGATTACGGGTAATTCATGCCGTGCCACCTTTTGGGTGGCTTAATCTTAATCAATCAATCAATCGAGGGAGAGGAGAGTTGTGTTCTGTGTCTCAGTCCATACGAGTCTGGGGTGTAGTGCTGTGCATCAGAGGGGAGGGATATTGACAATCTGGTGTCTACAAGGAAGCTTCATCACTGCAGTATCTTGAGTGAGTACTGGTTCCTTATGTTCTAACATCACAAGTGTTGATAATTCTATTGCCTTGATAGGGAAGATAGATTGTGATTTTTATATTGAACTTAATTAAATTATATTACTAAATTGTCCATCTGGTGTATCCATTCTTTTGTTATTCATTCATAGAGAGTTGCCAGTGAATAGTGGAAGGCGACCATGTTCACCCCCCCCCCCCCCCCACCCGGTCGGTCACTGTAAAGTACTCATTAACATTAAGGTGAAGGTGGTGGCGGCATTAAGTAGTTTTAAGTTACTTTAAGTCATAATTAGTAACAACTCTCTTGGTGGTGGTATCAGTGGTGATACACCAGAGATACGTTATAAATGGTGGCATTGCGGTGGTCTTTAGTAATTGTGTTTTGGTACGGTTCGGAATGCTGGACTCCAGCATTCAATAATACTGCATGGCAGTATTATTTGGATGACTTCCAGGCTCTGGAGTTGTCACTGTAGATGTATATGCTTGACAGCAGTAGTTGAGTTGCTTATGGATGTAGGTTATAAAGTAGAGCCATATTTTGTGATGAGCCTCCCATGATCGTGTTCTTTAGGGCTGAAAGAATGAAGAATCTTATTTGGACAGCTTGTTTTATATTACCTATATGTTTTATATTATATCTGTTTGCCTGAGAGCCACTAATACTAGTGGCGTCGACGAGGACAGGAAGCCAGCAGCTTTTCGAAGGTCCCTCCCATTTGCCTTGATTTTTTCCAGCTGTACTCTAAAGGTTAACAGTTTTTTTTGGCATTTACGGCTTCGGCGGGTTGGCGGTTTCATGGGTTAATAACCCTGTGGGTGAAAAAGCATCTCCTATTCTCAGTCATACATTGTGGTTTGTTGAGCTTGAAACCACTGCTCCTTGTTTGTTATACCTGACCTTTTGAAGAAATTTTTTGGATCAACATTCTCAGAATTGTTAAGTATTTTAAGTTTCAATAAAATTCACCCTCTCATTCCTGGTTTGCAGTGTTGTTAGCCCTGTGGCCCTCAACGGTTCCTGATACACGAGGTGACTTGGTTCTGGAATTATTTTTGTTGCCCGGTGTTGCACTTTTTCCAGAGCAGCTAAAGATGAAGTCCTTCTGAAGATGTGGTCTCCATGCTTGGATACAGTAATCCAAATGGGGGGTGCACTAGAGATTTACACAATTGAATCACTACCTTCTTTTCCTAGAAGTTAATGGTACGCTTGATTATTCCAAGTGTTTGGTTAACTTTTTTGACTGCTGTCACTACCTGTTGTGCAACTTTCATTGAGTGCTGGATTTTACACAATATGCATAATGTAGGTTTTACGGGTAAGGAATTGGAGTGAATGCATTTAATGGTACAGTATATTACATGTGTTCTCATCTGAACTTCTCATTCATGGAGGATAGAAATATTGTTTTTGGCTTAGGTGGGCTTTTGATGAATTTTTGTGTGAGATTTGAGAGGTTTTATCAATGATGACTTGAAACCCTCATTTATTTCCATGTCCAGTCAGTAAGACGTTCAAGACATTTTTGTATTTTGGATGTTAAATAAGCATGCAAGGTGTTATAGTACAGGGACAGATTGTTGGCATATGCCAAGAGGTGAACTGGGTTGGTGTTTAGCATGTCAGCTAAGTTAGGATTTTACCCAGGTAAGAAATTTTTCATATATGCCCATCATGCAAATTTAGCTAGTAAGATTTTGTTAGCAATACCATCCACTTAGATATGTTTATATATCAACAGCTTCACTTCTTGGATGTCACTCCTCTATTCAACATGTTCAGCATAATCACACTAACAGCATTTGTGCTTGAAATGCTGTAGAAGATTCCCTTGAGAGCTATGTAAAGGCCAATATACATTCTTTTTGTTTTCAAATACGTGAAGATATAATGTGCAAGGACAAATATTTGGTCGATAACGGAACATTGAGGTCTCAAACCAGCTTGAAATGGTGTTATGACTGTATGAGTATGTTGTGCTCAAGGTATCAATATTGGTGGGTATTTACGATTTTTTCTAACTTTGCTGAGCCATGATAGTACAGAGACAAGTCTGTATGAAGCAAGTAGGTTTGAGTTATTTCCTACCCTAAGGAAGGAGACGGGGGGGGTGGGATGATGCAAGACTCCCACTGTGAAGGAGTATTTCTTAGTGACCAGCATTCGTTTAAAAGATTTATGATCGAGTTGATGTGCAGTTGGTGTAATATGTTAGATAAGGTCTTATGGGGTGTCGCTTTCTTTATAATACCTGACGAGAACTGCCTGCTCCAGACTCTGTCGTGAGTCCTCTTCCTCTTGGTGCAGTTTACAGTGTCGTGTCTCTCACTGTTTGTTTACATCCCGGCGATGATGGCAATCTCGCTTCGACACGGGTTCACTAATCCATTTATCAACCCTGAATTAAACCTCATTTCATCCAGCTAATATAACTAAATAACTCTTTGTAACCACAGAGTCTTAAAGTGTAGGGTTTGGTAACATATAAACCGGGAGCAGAGGCGTAATAAGGGTAAATATTTGAGTTTGGCGGTGAGTGACGTCATGAATTAGTGTGGAGAGGGCCGGTAGATGGCTCTGGCAGATCATGTGATGGGATCGAACTGAGGCGAGCTGTCACTACCTTCTCCTCGACCTGTTCTGTATATTTCTACACATATTAGGAAAGGTAGGCCTCGGTTGTCACTCATAAACACCAGAAAACATGTGGAATTAGTGTTACTTCCTATTTGACCTGATGACTTTCACGTGAAACTAAATTGATAATTGTTATAATTTTAATCTGATCCATAAGATGAAGAAATTACTCAATAAAATGGTATTTGTCACTCAAAGGTTAATTCACTTTATGCCCAGTTAAAATCTTGAAGGCAGACTGAATTACAGTTGTCATTTATGCTTCACATAATTGAGTTAACATCAATTTCACGTTTTCTAGAAATTTTTATTGAAATAATTTATTTCTTATACTTGGTATGGGGTGTTTAAGGTGGTATTAAAATGATACAAGATTTGTGTAAAGATGTAGTACAAGCCTGGTATAATGTTCCCCCGGGTAGGTATTTTAATTTTAGTTGAACGTAGGTGCTTAATTCCTTATCAATTATTTCATGGCACGTTGACCTATTTAATCGTTTTTGTCAGGGACAGGAAGACTATATATTTATTTATATATGTACGTTAGGCCAGTGTTTCTCAAGCTTTGTAGCCTTGAAATAATTCCAGGTAAATTTCAGGAAATAATTCCTGGTTTACCAAATTCATTTTGGTAAACACACGGATTTCATTGTCAACTGAATGGAAACGATTTCTGTCTTTGCTACTTATACAGGTTAAATGAGAAAAATTAAAAACAAAAATGACTCAAATACATTTATGTATGATCAGAATTGACCTATTTATCACTCGTGCAAAATCCCTGGTTACCTTGGGGTTCCGCTGAACCCTGGTTAAAAATGCTGCTTTAGGCTTATATCAAGGTTCCCCCCCTCCCCCAAGGTACCCTCCCCAGGATGCAACCCCGACAACAGTTGCCTAACCCCCAGGTATCTATTTACTGCTATGTAAACAGACATATTAGGTGAAAGGAAATGGGCCCAATCATTTTTGTCCTGCCTGGAAATTCTCGAATGCAAGTCTAGAACGAAGCCAACCATACTAATAACTTGTCTAGCTTCAATTTACATAAATAAATTTATACATTCCCCATCTTGTCCAGGAGAGTGGCTAGCTAGAAGTCAATTGGAATTTGGGAAATTAGCCTGATACCCACTCACATGATGTATGGTCAAATCGTTCTCAACACAGTTCGACAAAACTTTTTCTGATTGCTTGATATTTTTATTGTCCTGACTTTTCTGACCTGGTTTTCTGATAGGATGGCTTGGGAAAGGTTAAATTAAGTAGTAAAATCTGTTGGCATACCGTCTTGTATTTACTATTTATGTCTGCAGAATTAAGCTATTAGCTTTTGAACCCCTGCCTTTCTGACCATCTATTTTTCCTCTATTATGTCTACAACATTATATTTCTCTCTAGCTCACACACACAGATTTCTCTCTAACACACGGGGGAGGGTCTGGTAGCTGTATGAACAGTGTGCGAGACTCATAATCCTGTAGTCCGGGTTTGACTCCTGGCGCTAGCAGAGACAAATGGGCAGAGTTTCTTTCACCTTGATGCACCTGTTCACCTAGCAGTAAATAGGCACCTGGGAGTTAGACAGCTGTTACGGGCTGCTTCCTGGCTGTGTACTCACCTATTTGTACTCATCTATTTGTACTTGCGGGGGTTGAGCCTCTTAGTTCTGGGACTAGTCCAGTGGCATACCTCGGAATTTTTTCCAGCTTCGTCTTGTGTTTAACAAGGTACGGGCTCCATGCTGGGGCCGCGTACTCCAGGATTGGTCTTACATATGTGGTATACAAGATTCTGAATGATTTCTTACACAGGTTCCTGAAGGCTGTTCTGATGTTAGCCAGCCTCGCATATGCTGCAGATGTAATTCTTTTTATGTAGGCTTCAGGAGACAGGTTTGGTGTGATATCAACTCCTAGATCTTTCTGTTAGTTTCATGAAGTACTTCATTTCCTATTCTGTATCCCGTGTCTAGCCTCCTGTTTCCACCGCCTAGTTTCATTACTTTGCATTTACTCGAGTTGAACTTTAGCAGCCATTTATTGGACCATTCATTCAATCTGTATAAGTTATCTTGTAGCCTCCTCCTATCATCCTCTGTTTCAATCCTCATAATTTTAGCATCATCAGCAAAGATTGAAAGAAACGAGTCTATACCCTCTGGGAGATCATTTACGTATATGAAAAACAGAATAGGTGCTATTTAGACTATTTTAGACTTTAGACTGCTATTTAGCAGTCTCCGTGGTGTAGTGGTAAGACACTCGCCTGGCGTTCCGCGAGCGCTATGTCATGGGTTCGTATCCTGGCCGGGGAGGATTTACTGGGCGCAATTCCTTAACTGTAGCCTCTGTTTAACGCAACAGTAAAATGTGTACTTGGATGAAAAAACGATTCTTCGCGGCAGGGGATCGTATTCCAGGGACCATAGGATTAAGGACTTGCCCGAAACGCTACGCGTACTAGTGGCTGTACAAGAATGTAGGTCCAAGGACTGACCCCTGCGGGACTCCACTTGTGACGTCTCGCCAATCTGAGACCTCATCCCTCACAGTGACTCGTTGTCTTTCGTTGCTTAGGTACTGCCTTATCCAATGGAGTACCTTCCCTTTCACTCCAGCCTGCATCTCCAGCATTTTCACTAGCCTCTTGTGTGGTACTGTATCAAAGGCTTTCTGGCAATCCAAAAATATGCAGTCTGCCCACCCCTCTTTTTCTTGCCTGATTTTTGTTGCCTGGTCGTAGAATTCAATTAACCCTGTGAGGCAGGACTTGCCATCCCTGAACATGTTGATGCTGTGTTACAAAGTTCTTTCGCTTCAAATGTTCCACTGGTTTTCTTCGCACAATCTTCTCCATCAGCTTGCATGGTATGCAGGTTAGAGACACTGGCCTGTAGTTCAGTGCCTCCTGCCTATCCCCTTTCTTTTATATCGGGACTACAGTAGCAGCTTTCCAAATTTCTGGCAGTTCCCCTATTGCCATTGATTTATTATGCTCTATGGAGAGTGGCAGGCACAGTGCTTCTGCTCCTTCCTTTAGTATCCAAGGGGAGATTCCATCTGGGCCTATAGCCTTTATCACTTTATCACATCCTTACTTCATAACTCACATCCTTTAGCACAACTCTAGTAAAAACTTCCTTACTTCCCCACTGGTAATCTCAAACTCTTCTAGTGGTTCCTGGTTAACTCTTCCCTCTGTTACCTCTGGAATTTCTCCTTGCTCTAAGACCTGAAATTTCTTATTCAGTTCCTCGCACACATCCTTGTCATTTGTAGTGAATCCTTCTGCCCCTATCCTTAATTTCATTACCTGTTCCTTTTCTGTTGTTTTTCTCCTGATGTGACTGTGCAGCAATTTAGGTTGAGTCTTTGCCTTGCTTGCGATGTCATTTTTGTATTGTCCTTCTGCCTCTTCTCATCCTGACATATTCATTCCTGGCACTCTGGTATCTTTCTCTGATACTCTCTGGTATCTTTCTCTCGTGTGTGTGAAAAAAATTAAGTTAGTAACAATTGATTGACAGTTGAGAGGCAGGCCAAAAGAGCAGAGCTCAACCCCTGCAAGCACAACTAGGTGAATACATTCCCAGGAAGCAGCCTGTAGCCACTTTCTAATTCCCAGGTACCTATTTACTGCTTGGCAAACAGGGCATCAGGGTGAAAGAAATTCTGCCCATTTGTTTCGGCCTCGGTCGGGAATTGAACCTTGGCCCTTAGGACTATGACTCCCGAACGCTGTCCACTCGGCCGCAAGGCCTTTGTGTGGGATATGACTTACATCCACTCGGATACTCTGTACCAGAATGCCGTCTGTGGTGTTATGGTGCGACCCAGTCAGACAGGTACCCGGGTCATTCTTTTCCCCAAGTTCAAATTAAAATATTCCAGAATATGGTTAAGGATCCTGACTGTGGGTGTACAGTAGATGGATGTCAGGTCAAATCCACTATTTACACCTCATCTCTTTATTTTGCACTGATTTTCTAAACTTTCTGGATGTGGTCAATAAAGTTTTTTTTTTTTTTAACCCCGGAACTGCAATGAAATGGCTGCAGTTGTAGGGCCCAAATTCCTATTTTAAAGTTCAGATATCTGAATGAATGATACCTTGGTTACCTTGAGGTGCTTCCGGGGCTTAGCGTCCCTGCGGCCCAGTCGTCGACCAGGCCTCCTGGTTGCCGGACTGATCAACCAGGCTGTTGGACGCGGCTGCTCGCAGCCTGACGTATGAGTCACAGCCTGGTGGATCAGGTATCCTTTGGAGGTGCTTACAGGGTGTAAAAAAATATTTTTTAGAGGCATTTGGTAAAACATGCTCTTACTGCATGTTTTTACTTACTGCATGTTGCAAAAACAGTCGAAAGACTGTTTTTGTGTGGCGAGTACTGTCAACTTTCACAGCTATAAAGTAAAGGAAAATTTAATTATTCACTGTATATAACCTTAAACTAAATTTTGTTACTACTTGATGACTTAAGTTTAAAAACTTGTTTGTTCACTATACAGGATCTAGTTCATTAGCACCTAATATTAATAATGTATTGTGTATTTAACATTGCTTACTTTTATCTTTCAGATCAATTTGAGGAGCCTGTCAAAATGTCGTTTACAGAGTACTGGCTGATCTCTGCCCCAGGAGATAAGACATGTCAACATACTTGGGAGAAGTTGAACAATCTTACAGCTGTTCAAAACCAATTAAGTGTTAATCATAAGTTTCATCTTCCAGATCTCAAGGTAAAGAATAAATTCAATTGTTTTCTAATTTGGTGGATAAAATATAAAGTAACTGAAATAATATACAGTACAGTACATTAAAAATATAAGTGCAGTACAGCACTGTACTGTATTTAAAAAGTGTATTGATATTAAAACATCTCATTGAAAAACTTAAAAATGCAGTAGTAGTATATTTAATTTAAAGTTGTAAGATGTGGTGTTTGATTGCTCAACTTGTAAGATATGTAGGACTGGAAATTATCTTTGTCAAAGATTACGTGAGTCACAAGTGTGGTTGTGCATGAGCCAAACAAAATCTGAGTTTACCCAACAATTATTATTTTCCACATGTGTAAGAAATACAAAGTTGCAGAACATAAATAGTTTTCTCTAATTTTGTCGTATTTCAAAGTCATTTGCAGATGGTCTGCAATGTCATTTTTCAGAAACGAAGGTCCCAGGGGTAATAAAAATGGTAGCCTTCAGTTTGTCGCCTGGGGTAGTACGTCTGCCAGACTAATAAAAAATCTATGCGAATGGGCTAATGGATATTTAATTTCCTGACAAAAAGCCTGTCAAAAAGATTAATAATAAGCCAAACAAAATAACGACTAAGCACAGTGTAAAGCTGTGTAGCCTAAGGTACTGTCCATGCTCCTGTGCTCTCTCATCCTCTTATCAGACATTTGCAAAAATATAAATGACAGCTTCATATCATACTAAGCAGACAGTATTGCCTCAGTAAGAGACATTAAAAACTAGAGAGAAATATCAGTCCCTGTGGCACAGTGGTAATACACTCACTTCACAAGTAATTTGGCTTGGGTTCGTATCCTGGCTGGGGAGGATTGACTAGGCGCCAGTCCTTAACTATACACCTCTGTTCACCCAGCAGTGAATGGGCACCTGGTCGTTTAACAATTTGGAGGGTCATATTCCAGGGAAAATTAAGATTAAGGGGCTTGCCTAAAACGCTATGCATGCTAGTTGCTTTACAAGAATGTAAGAACTCTTGTTTATATTAAAAAAACAAAAACAAAAATGTCTCGGTGACAGCTCCCCCATAGGAGCTGCTGAACTGCAGTACCCCAAGACACTCAGTGTTTTCAAAATATTTATAACTGAATTTTGAACATTTTAAATACAATGAAACAAAAATAGAGGTTTCATGCTGTATGATAGTGAATCTCCATTCTACTTTTTCACAAGATAACACTGATGTCTTCCAGTGTGCAATGGAAAACAACACACATTCAACAGTGATAAATAACAGCTACTGTACTAGGGAAAAAAATTTGTGACAAACTGGATACAGGATACATTATTTGATTGGATCTATTTAGAGAGCTAAACAAAGTAAGTGTGGCATCAGTGAACAAAAAAAAAAAACAGCTTTAATTATGAAACCTTCAAATCCTGGGAGACCAGAAAAATGCTCCTTTTCAAATCACTTTGTGCTTTCACACCCTGAATACAGTACTGCTCGATAATCACGTCCTGCTTTAAGGCAGGAGCAGTTTCCAAAATTGAAGGAGTGCAGAGAACATACATTTCACGCATAAATTCATGCTAAGAAAACTAAGGTGCCAATAAAATGTGCAAATAATCTTTACCAAACAGAGTTGTAGACAGAATAATTTAAATAAAAGGATGGCGTGTGTGTCAAAATCATTGGTACTGTAGTTTCAAAAAGTCATATAACAAAAATTGTAGGAAAATAGTCCTCATCCTGTAACTAAACTTGAGTAATTACATCCACAGAAATGGTAATGTTAAGGCTTTCATAATTTAACACCTATAAACAAAATTGCATAAAGTCAGGAGTTGATGAGCAGAACTAAAAAGTCAAAGTAGTGGTTTTACTTCAAGTAGCATACAGTATACTGTATCTTCCAGTGACATAGTTTTAAGAAATGTAAATTTCCATTTCCATTGCTCTGAAATATTTTTTATTATTACTGGACAGCGTAATATTTGGCTGCTCTTCTCTGTTCATTTGGTTGTGTCATCACAACACTACCACAATGTCAAGCTCTGGAAAATGAGTGCCCATGGATTTAGTGCAATGTGGAACCTGTCAATGCCTAAATAATTTATCTGTATTGAGTAAAAAATCTTCTTTGTTCAGGTTGGTACTTTGGATCAGCTAGTTGGTCTTAGTGATGACTTGGCTAAACTGGACACTTATGTAGAAACTGTGACTCGCAAGATGGCTGGCTATTTGGGAGAAGTACTTGAGGACCAACGAGATAAGCTTCAGGAAAATCTACTTGCCAATCAAAGTAAGGATTATAGGAGAATACAGTATATAAATACTATAATACCTAAATATTCCCTCTGCTTGATACCTGGTTGATGGGGTTCTGGGAGTTCTACTCCCCAAGCCCGGCCCGAGGCCAGGCTCGACTTGTGAGAGTTTGGTCCACCAAGCTGTTGCTTGGGTTTGTTTTCATGTACCGTACAGTACTTCCAGTGCATTATAATAGGTTTTGGATTTTTTTGTCAAAAATGTTGCTTTAAAACAAACTTCATTTGAATCTGCCCAAGAAATATTAGCTGTTTTCACTTGTTAAACTTAAACAATCACTTCAAATGTTTGCTGAAGTACTCTACATGCTAGTTTGGGTTATTCAGTACAGTACAGAGGAACCTCGCGTGACGAGCGGCTCCATCTACAAGCATTTTAGGTAACAAGTGACTTGCAGAAAATTGTCTCGATTGACGAGTTCCCACTCAGTTAACGAGAAACCATGTGGTGCTTACTAGCTTTCCTGCTGGTTCTTGCAAATTCTCAGATGCCTCCGACGATGTAAATCAGTGAAATTTAAAAAAAAAATGCTAATGGTGCTGGGATGTAAAGGGGTGACTGCTGTAATGTTGCAAAGCATTTTTGTTTTTTTTGTTTTTTTAGAAAAAAATGTGAAAAAAATGTCAAAAGGATTGTTCAGTGAATGTCAGGCAGGCTGCTCCATTTTCTATACAAAAAAGAACAAATGTCAAAAAGATTCGTTCAGTGTAATTACCTAATTGTACTCGCCTAATTGTGCTTGTGGGGGTTGAGCTCTGTTTCTTTGGTCCCACCTCTCCACTGTCAATCAACTGGTGTACAGATTCCTGAGTGTACTGGGGTCTATCATATCTACATTTGAAACTGTGTATGGAGTCAGCCTCCACCACATAACTGCCTAGTGCATTCCATTTATTAACTACTATGACACTGAAAAAATTCTTTCTAACGTCTTTGTGGCTCATCTGGGTACTAAGTTTCCACCTGTGTCCTCTTGTTCATGTCCCACCTGTGCTGAAGAGTTTGTCTTTGTCCACCCTGTTAATTCCCCTGAGAATTTTGTTGGTGGTTATCATGTGTCTCCTTACTCTTCTGTTTTCCAGGGACGTGAGGTTCAGCTCCTTTAGCCTTTCCTCGTAGCTCATTCCTCTGTTCCGGGACGAGCCTAGTGGCATACCGCTGAATCTTTTCTAACTTTGTCTTGTGTTTAACTAAGTATGGACTCCAGGCTGGAGCTGCATATTCCAGGATGGGTCTGACATAAGTGGTATACAGGGTCCTGAACGATTCCTTACACAAGGTTCTAAAGGGAGTTCTTATGTTGACCAGTGTGTGTGTAGCTGAACAAGTGGTTTTTATGATTATTCTTGTATATATGTGTATATGGATGGCTAGCTGTTGTGTGTGTACCTATCTCCTATTTTATTGTATATGATGAACTTTTTAATAAATTATTGAAGACAAAAGCCATGTTTTCTATTGCATCCATTCAGATATCATCTCTCCTGTTATTTCACATGTGTTTAACAATTTAAATAGCTTAATAAGCTGTGCACAGAATCCTTATACAGTATACAGACCTAGTTAATAATTAATTTCCCTCCCCCACTTTCTACATCACAGTGGACCTTGCTACCTACTTGACGAAGTTTCAGTGGGAGATGGCGAAGTTTCCAATCAAGCAATCATTACGGGGCATTGTGGATGCCATCAATAACCAGGTCACTCAAATTGAAAATGACCTCAAATCCAAATCTTCAAATTACAACAACCTGAAGTCAAATTTGGCCAACATGGAGAGGAAGCAAACGTATGTACATGTTGCAGTCTTGTTGGGCGATGATTAAATCATTTTAATTTTTGTTCCATAACATCCAGTCATTGACAGATATAGCATTGTTATTGCATAGGGGAGTTATGATAGTCTGTGTTGTGTAAATGCAAACATGACTAGCTTATTCTAATGTATATGAAGGTGACCATAAAAAGGACTTGCTTATTCCCATATTTCCTCTCTCTCTCTCTTTTTTTTTTTTCTTTCTTGTAAGAGCTAATGTATTTGTTGAAACTTTTAAGATGTTTGTGAATTTTATCTTTCTCAGTTTATAAGGTTTGAACAAGTTTGAAGGATGGATTACTGGTGAAATGTATTGGGTATTCATTTTATACGAAATTAGCACAAAAAATTTAAAAGGGGGGGTGCCATTTTTATCACAATATATTTTAATGCAATGATGTGGAATATAAATTAATATTTGTTTTTCAGTGGAAGCCTTCTGACAAGAAACCTCGGTGAATTGGTGAAGAAAGACGATTTTGTTCAAAATAGTGAATACCTTGTTACTCTGTTAGTCGTAGTGCCCAAGTAAGTTTAGATCTTTTTGCAAATAGTTTCATTTTTTCATAATCAGGAATTCAAAGTTTTTAGCCTGGTTATTTCATTGTATATATTTTCCAGTGGTTCTTAATTACTGAACAGTACTCTAACTTTGTTGACAGATCTACATGTCACCAATCTATAGGTGGAGTGAATATTTTTAGTTTTTAATAGTTGCAAATGGTGAAGAAAAGGCAATACTGTAACATGATTTTGTGTGCAGTGTGCACACAAGGACCAGAAGAAGACCAGTGGAACAGAGTAGGATATAAAGATAGGAAGTTAGAAAAGCTGTAAATAGGTTAGAGGCTCTTGGTATACTGTAGATGGAATAACTGCAGATATTTTAAGGTAAGGTAGTGATGTGATGGTGGACATAATGTTAGATATGTTAGATTGAGTGGCAGCAAGGTTAGGTGCCAGATAATTAGATAAAAGTTTATTGCAGTGTTAGATAAAATGGAAGTAAGGAAGGTGAAATATTAGAGAGTAATGAGTGGGAGAAGAGTGCTACGAGATGTGAATGACATAATATAAGAATGATATGGAGTACTGTAATTTTTCCAGAACTGACAATATGGAAGTAAACCTTGTGTGTGAAAATGAACAGCATATTCCAGAGGACAAATGAGGGATAAGAGTATTTTTAGAACAGCAGCTGTGTTAGTGTGTGAGATGGGTATTGTAATGGGGAATTATGAGATTTGTGTTGAGTAAAATAGGAGAGAGAAGGGAATTAAATGTGGAGTGCATGCAGTGCAATCAGTCAATCCTCCTAAAATGGTGATTATTGCAACTATTTGGTCAGACATGTAAAAATTGACTGTTTCAGCCAACAGCATTCATGTTTTGCACTATTAAGTTTGTAGAGGACACAAAATTTAAACTTTAACATTCCTAGGCCTAGAATAGCATAAATGTACAGTACTATATTAGGCCTAGAATTGCTTGGACAGGTTAGGTTTTTTAGTTTTCCAGTTTTTTGTATGACACTTGGGCTAATTCAGTAATACAAAACATGAATTTAGTTGAGCCTAATGGTCCATTTTTGTACATTTGATGTAATAGTTGCTATAAGTACTGTACTGGCATTACTGTAGGATGGGCCGAGTCCATTACACTTAGGTGGTATGGACATGTCAGTAGGATGCCAGAGAAATAATTTATCGAAGGCGTATGTGGGTGAAATAAGAATTATACAGTAAAGGTGGATGACCATCATCATTGAAGGAAAGGGTAGAACAATATATAAATGAAATTTTGATGGAAGGCTGTTAGAGCAGTGTTTCCTGCCTTTTTGGATTCATGGCACTAGTTTCTAATACTGTACTCTACAGACCTGCAACATCTGTGCCACACTTTCCTAATTAAAAACAAAAAGCATAATCAGGATACTTGCCACTTGTTGATTTTTGATGGTTCAGATCTACTAGTACAGTACTTGGAAATTAGTTGCTGCGACCCCACCAGAAAACATTTCACTACCCACCAGGCTGGAACGCTAGTCGGCCGAGCGGACAGCATGCTGGACTTGTGATCCTGGGTTCGATCCCAGGCGCCGGCGAGAAACAATGGGCAGAGTTTCTTTCACCCTATGCCCCTGTTACCTAGCAGTAAAATAGGTACCTGGGTGTTAGTCAGCTGACACGGGCTGCTTTCTGGGGGTGGAGACCTGGTCGAGGACCGGGCCGCGGGGACACTAAAAAGCCCCGAAATTATCTCAAGATAACAAGATAACTACTGGGTTAGATAGTATTTGAATAAGTGAGACTTGTGTGGTGATAGTGACTCCCAGAGCACCTTCTGTTTTGGGGCTACTCATGCTGGGGAGCTCTCAAGAGGGAGTGACGCATCAAGATTATACATAAATACTCTTCATTGAAATTTGTGCAGCAAATAAAAATATCCTTATGAAAATAAAACCATTATAATCCATTTGTATTTTATATTTGTGTATTGTCATGTATAAACCAAATATGGCCTTTGTTTTCTAGGATGTACTACCCAGACTGGCATGCAAAATATGAACACCTCGCTGATATGGTTGTGCCTCGGTCCTCCAAAATGATCTTCGAAGATAGTGATCATGGTCTGTTCACTGTCACACTCTTTTCAAAGGTGATTGATGAGTATAAACTCCATTCTCGAGAGAACAAGTAAGTAATGCTGTTTTTACTTTTGCAGTTATGAAGCAAGCTATAAATAATTGAAAAAAATATAAAACTTTTCCCATCTGCTATTTTTGTGTTAACAGTTTTGGCAGTGTGATTGGATTGATAATAATTGAATGGGAGAGGGGCTTGTAGTCAGAAGTGAGAGAATTATATGGGAAAAGCGCCAAGCCATTACGACTATATAGCCCTTGGAAGGGGCCAGGATAAGGATTTGGGATGGGATGGGGGGGGGGGGGAAGGAAAGGTGCCCAACCACTTGGACAGTTGGGGATTGAACCCCGACCTGCTTGAAGCGAGACTGTCGCTCTACCATCCAGCCCAAGTGTTCCCTAATCATGGTTGATAAAGTGTTGCTGGTTGTGAATCAGGGTCAAGAAACAGAAGATTCATAACATTGGAAACTGAAGTGGACATAAGGCACTCATACGAATGAGAAATATTAACACAGATTTTGCATGCATATGAAGCAAGCCATCCGACAGTCATCAATATCAAGAAAAGCCTAGACTTTTTGAATACTTGATAAGTTCAGTATCTATAAATTCAACCATAGTAACCAAAATGTGCAACGATATTATTGCTGACATGAAAAAGCTAAGGGTGTTACTTTCTACCTCATCTTTCAATAATTAAACCTCTCTAATTATTAAATCTAGTGAGCATACTCTAGTTTTTTCAATGCTTTTCCAGCATTGAAAGTAAATAAAAACTAGTATTTATTCAACATTATTCATAATTTCACGTTATTTATGTGTTAAAATCTCCCATTTATAGCATTGCATCTATGGAAAATAGTGTTCTGAGTTACAACTGATCAATTTATGATGGAAAATTAAGATAGTATCACCATTGTAAGTTGGGCATCCTCTGTAGTTAATAAAATTCTCATTTCAACGTATATGAATAAAATATAATAAACTGCACTATTTTACTTATCCATTTTTCCTCTTGCTATCCCAGCCCCCATCCCATTCACTCCACTCTCCTATTCACTCCTGCCTCTTATTCACTCCACACTCCCTCATCCATTCCTTGCCCTCTCTTGCCCTCCTCTCCCCTCTCTCACCTCCTCACTCACCTCTCAACATCAAGGTAACATCATCAACATCAACATCATCAACATAACATCAACATCAACATAAGACACTCGCCTGGCGTTTCGCGAGCGCTATGTCATGGGTTCGTATCCTGGCCGGGGAGGATTTACTGGGCGCAATTCCTTAACTGTAGCCTCTGTTTAACGCAACAGTAAAATGTGTACTTGGATGAAAAAACGATTCTTTGCGGCAGGGGATCGTATTCCAGGGACCTGCCCGAAACGCTACGCGTACTAGTGGCTGTACAAGAATGTAACAACTCTTGTATATATCTCCAAAAAAAAAATGTAAAATTTGTAGTAAAAAATTAAAGGCTTGTTTAATTTTGACAGAAAACAATAACATTTTTATTTCCTTTAATAAATGTTTCTACTTTTGTTCCCTGTTCAGGTTTATTGTCCGGGAGTTTACGTACAACGAAGAAGAACTTACAGCTGGGAAGAATGAACTATCAAAACTCATCAATGACAAGAAGAGGCATTTTGTAAGTCAAATTTTTCTTTCCCTCTGATATACAGTATTAGACGTTTTTTTTGGTTCGGTAAACATGGTTTTAAGGGGCCCAGTGCATGGACACCGAAACTTCCTCATACACACTCAATTTTTTTGTGCATAATCTTCGTGGTAAATGCTCCAACATTTCCTAATGGACCAACATCATACCATGAACAAAAAAAAAGTTAGAAAATAGAAAAAAGAAAAAAATTACAACTTCAAATTGCTATAAATATCTTATGTCACCAATTGTTATTTTATTCATTATGGTCTCAGAATGACATATAATGTTCAATTGCTAGTGAGAAAATTGTTGTTTTAAGAGTATAGTTTACTGTAAAACATTTTTTGAATGTGCCCATCCAAATATGTGCCAAATTTATATGCAAAATATTTATAACTCCAAACGTTATGGCTTTATGACTAATCGATTCACTAGGAACCATAGTACTATGAACTTTGCACATACGTAAAAATGGTGAGAATCGGTCAGAAACTAAATCTTTTAATAGGTCTCAAAGTTGAAAATGTTTTTCGTAGAGAAAAATGCATTTAAAGTTCTTGACATTGAATATAGTACTTTCATTTATGACATACCTTGTAAGTTATAATTAAGATTGCTTGGCATTTGTACTCGAATACGTGAAAGTTGGAGGTCAATATGTGTTGAAATGAAGTCAAGAAAAAATAACCCCAAAAAAACAATACTGTATAGGGATATGTTAGGGATAACTGAAAAACAGACACTGGGCCCCTTAACTGTCTAACAGTAGGTTAGACATGTATATGAATGAGATTGGGTCGATATAAATAGGAGCTGCCTTGTATGGGGCAATAGGCCTTCTGCAGTTAACTTCATTCTTATGTTCTTATACCGAAACATAAATATTGCAATAACTTTATTGCCCATTTATTAGTGATAAGGCCCTAATCTGGTCCTCATTCATCAATACAAGCTTAATAGACAAAGAAAATAGTGTTTGAACCCTGTAAATAAATCGACCCCCAAAAAAATAAGTCACAACTTCTGCCACCTGTGGCTGATTAACATGTTGACCAATTTCGTTCAAACTTCACATGCTTAGTGCCGGATGTGCATTCTCCAAGATGTAGAAGTCACAACAAAATCCGCATAGAAACAAAGGAGAGGAAAAAAATGGCTGTCAACTTTTTTGTACAAAGGAACAAAAGAAATATTTGCCATTGGGCAATGTATTTATATGATATATAATAGAATACAGCATAATAACATACTAACTCATTATTATGTGTGAAATCTGGCCCTCCAGGTGGCACCAGCGGCATATACACTTTGTGGACCCTCCTTACTACTAATCATCATATTTGTGCATCAGACAGGTGTTTGCATCTCTTTATTCCTGATTGCCAGTAAATTGGAGGTATTATAGTTATCAGTTCTGGTTGCTGCCCGTCACCGCACGTATTTATTTTTTAAAAATTTGTAAAAAAATCTATTTCTTAACATATTGTGATGAAATTTTCACAATGCCGATACCAAATAATGGGAGATTTGTTTGAACTTTTTCACTATTTTTCATATTTGGAAAAGTCTCCACATGCATTGGGCCCTTTAAGGCTGTGTTCACCATTAGTGGGAAGAGGAATGGATGGAAAATGTGTGACAGATGGGGGATAAGTGATTTGCATTTTGTTTGTGATGATTCACACGCCTTGTGAGTCCCAACTCAGCTGGGATACCACTGTGGAAATGTTGTGTATTTCATGTAGTGATAAATAATAGATTCACATGGTAGTATAGTATGTGGATGTAATTATGAAAAAAATCTTTTCTCATATTTACCTGTTGAGTTTCGGTATGTACTCGGTATTAATTTTATCTTGATTTATTTCTTTAAATTGTTCAGTTTTAAATTTGTTGCACATAATTTCTCCCCGAAGTACAGGGTTAGAAATCTGTTAGACAATTTGTAGAGTAGTGAGTTAAATTAAGTACTCAACCACAGAATGCCATTGAACTGCTTTTACAATGGCAAATTACGATACTAATCGGCATATATATATATAATTTTGCCTCTCCTACATTGACAGTTCATATATTGTAGTGAGTTATTGAACACTGAACCACATAGTGATTACCGTGTTTTTATATGTTCAACTTGTAAATGCATAACATATATTGATAATTGTTGCATTACATAGTAAATGTTGGGTACAGGTTAGGCATATCAAGAGTCTCAATATTCATGAGACTTACAGATTTCAGTATAACTCAACTAGAAGGATAGAAATCAGTCAACATGGGACATCCTGCAATATATTATTCATGCTTTCTCTTTAACAAAGTTGACACATTTATTTAAGATATAAGAGAATCAATTTGCACTCTAGTTACATAAGTGTATTTAAAATAATGTCCTGCATTGATCATCATGTCTTACAGGGTCCTCTAGTGCGTTGGCTGAAAGTAAATTTTAGCGAGTGCTTCATCTGCTGGATACACGTGAAGGCCATACGGGTCTTTGTAGAGTCGGTTCTCAGGTAAGTTTTTACCAATCACATTACTTCTTAATTGACACTCTGGCTCTTCCTTGGCATAATTCTTCCATGTCAGCTTGCATCATATGATGTATGTCTTACAGGGTCCTCTCAAGGTCCTGAAGTCATTGGTCACACCGTATGACGGTTTAAATTTGCATTCCAACGAGTGCATCATTCTTTGATTTCAGAGAACAATGGCACCTTCAGTATCTTACCAAGTTTCAGACTTACTCTAGTTTTGCAAATAATCCCTTTGCTGGAACATTTGACTCTTTTTGGCTATGTTGTACTGTACTCTATGATGTCAGTATGTACTCTTACTATGTAAGTCAGTATGTACTATGTATGTACTCTTACTATGCCCAGTAAGACCAAACTCTCACAAGTCAAGCCTAGCCTAGGCCCGGGCTTGGGAAGTAGAAGAACTCCCAGAACCCTATCAAGCAGGTATCAAGCAGGTCACCAAATGTATATGATTTTTCTGTTACCAAATGATAGAATGCATACTTCTGCTGATTTAAACATAGTTAATATATTGTTGCATCTTGAATATAAAAGTATTAAGTGGTAAACAAATTATTTACAGTACTTTGGTTTCAACACACTTTGCCTGCATATATGCAGCTATTGAACGAAATCTTAATCAACCTATCATATGACGGATATTTACCAATAGACCTTCCCTATTCAGAGTTTATATATTAATCTCAGTTTTCCATGATTAACCTTATTTTAACCTTGACCACACTTTTTATGTGATGAGCTTTTAACAGAAATAACAATTGTTCCAAGCTTTAGCTTTAGAAATAACCTTTTCATGCCTTCACATATAGAAAAATGGTCTAGAGAATTCTCTCGAATTTAAGCAAGCCCTCCAGGAGCAAATTGTGCACAAGTTTTCTTTCTAAAACTGGGAGGTGCATGGCTATAGTGATGATCAATTTTACCAATCTGACGTTTTGGTGAATGAGTTATTTGCTTATTCCCAATAGTTTTTACTTCATAATAATTTGTAATGTAAATTGGTAACATTTCACTTAATATAACTTAAGGTTAAACTACAGTAGTTTGACATTGTGGGAACCGACCTGTGAGATTTATATTTATTTAATTTATATGAATTTATAATTACGTTAATTTATATACTTCGATAGCAATTTGTATAATGTTAAGTGGACTGTATTTCTGCAATAATCTCATAATCTCACAAATCGATCCTCTACACATTAGGGGGGTTTATTAGTTTATATATATGCAGCCAATCAAACTACAGTAACTACATACATTGAAGAGGTTCCTTATCTTATAGTACAGCAGGTTAGTCCACCAGGTATAACTAGGGTGTAGACACCAAATTATCCTCTTTGAGGTAGCTTCTATCACCCAGTAACTGGTGCACATAATCTTGCATCCTCGTCTTGACCTGTCAAAAGTGCGCTAGCTGTGAAGCCAGAATCCTATATATGACAAGCTATATCAGAGAAAACACTATACAGTACATGGAACATTAAAGACCTGGCTTAATTACCTTTAGTATGAGGCGATTTCGCGTTCTAACCGGCTAACCCTATATCCTGACATTAATGGCCATAAATGAATGATAAACGGGTTTCGGATAGACACTTAACTTGTATTTGTAGACAGCGTGTTGACAATGGTACACCTTTGGGTTCCATAACACTACGTCCAAGTAAATTTAACAGGAGCCGAATTTGCTCCCGTGTGAGCCTCTGGTCTCATATAACAACAATGGCTGTTTAACACTCCATCCTATTGACGTTACTGGCCGACATTGTCCAGAATGATAGGAGCCGTTTGCTCCACACGTCTCGGAGGTGACACAACAATGGCTGCCCTCCTTCCTCACTCTGACGCCTGGCTTACATTGTCCAGATTTCAGAACGTGATAGAAGGGTCACATTTACTCTACTTTAATATTGATAATTAAGTTAATTTATATAAGATGTTTTTATGATGGTAAAGTCCAAAGACTAATGTATTTAAGAATAATTCCCAGCAGAATAGCTGGTGAATTATAATAGTATGTGGTGATGATATCCCGTTTTCTATAGACGGTAATTCCACTACAGGTTACGTTTTCTATGGGTAACTTGTTGGTAATACAGTTATTATCTGTATGATTATTAAATGGTGTCGGATTTTCCGACATAATTCCCCAGGGGGCTGCTCACGGGTCGAAGTCCTATTTAGAACAGACGAACACCGATACTCCTCCTTCGAATTATTACATTAATTTGATGTTAGTTGTTAGTAATCACACATTTGTGCGTCTGTTCGTACAGGACGGATGTCCCGTACTAGAGTTGCAGGGGTTAGAAGTCTAATGCGATTTCATTTCCCTGTCAACTCTTGAAAGGTTAATATTCAAGCCTTATTACATATTATTTAACCCAGAAGACTGGATGTGATCAAGTACTACAGTCAAGTATGATTCAGGGACTGCAGTGAGATCAGTGACATCAGATATAACTTGAAGTTTCTTCAGGTAACTGGTCACTGATATATAAACACTGAGGCCCATGGAATAAATCTTGATTAAATAATAAATGTATCAAATCAGTCATCAGATTTATTGGGGTTTAATTTAGTTAATTGATTCAGAAGATTGAATAGCTCATCATTAAAGTAAAGTATGGTTCTGAGACTGCAGTGGGTTCAGTGACATTGGTCGCAGTGACTTGTAGCTGTTTTAGGCTACTGTTCACTGATTTGCCACTGAGGCCTCATGAACTCATCTCCAGCTTTAAATGATGATACTAACATCAACCTCTGTTACTATAGTCAGCTGTAATCTCCTTAGTATAATGCTACTGGAGAAATATAATCAGCTGACAAATTTAGATTTCTACTGGTATTGTTTATCTGCAGGCATAGGTCTCCTCAGGCTTGATACTGGGCCTGAGAGTAATTTACCTCCTGCAGAGTTTAACATGGTTATACCCTGATATTTAGTAGGGCTACCAATGAATTGATGGTAGTAGTCTGTCCCCACAAGGACAGCCATTTGGCATTTGATTTGCTCAAATTTACCTGCAGCTGCTTGATAATAGCTTTCCAGGTCAGCATAATCAACTTGAGATTGTTGTGACAAATCTTCACATTTCTTGATCTGTCTTGTTAAGTGGCCTTTAAGACCTGCAAGGGTTCTTTTCATTCTCCCTGCATTATCCATACTGGCTCGTTGGTGAAGCCTTGTGGGGCTTGTACTTGGGCTGCTCATAATACTGAACAAACACTAATGGTAGCCTAGGGTAAATTCTGAACTCACTAGGCAATAATCCTACCTCTACTAGAGGTTAGCACTTAAAATTAATACACATTATATATATACAATCATACACACTAATGATTTGAGTGATAAACCAGTGTCACTGGAAGTACCTTTAGGTTAGCTCTTCTATATCACCCTAGGATGGTAGAGACACTAATTAATCACTCAAAGGTGTAATGATCATAAGTAAATTATTATATATACAACTCAACTCGAGTTGTTAAAAATTACACCCAAAATAGGGTCTGGACCATGCATTAATGGTGTTAGGTTGTTCAATATAGTACAACTGACTATTGTAATAATGGGACTAGGATGAACGATAATAGTTCAACTAGTCAATGGTTAATATCCTACCCTGTTGTGGGTTGGCAATTAGTAAATATTATATTGTGAACACTAGTGCAGTATATATTAAATGATTCTCTATTTTGGAGAAATAATATACACAATTATTGATAATAGCCTCTTAATTAGCCTCTATGAAACTTCTAATATTATCTAGAAGTATTAAATATTATTAGTGACCTCGCGAAATAAAGTCCACAAAATTCGTAGATAATCTCTCGCGAAATGTAACACCACGAAATCCGTGAACAATCTCGCGAAGACACAGTCACTAATTTGGCTGGATTCTATATTAGCGCTGTCATTTCACGAAATAACACGCCACCAAATATCTGTGGGTGTGCATGAAACCGCTGACGAAGCTGAACTGGGCTGAGGGAGGCTCCTGAGCTCCCTCGAGGCTACGCTGCCGTCTTGACTGGCTTTTGTTTAAATAACACTGCACTAGTATATTTAATGAATCCACTGGTTAACTGGTTCATCCGGTACTAAGATGACCAAATGTGGGTTCATAGGACCGAATAATCCGTCATCCGGTTCGAAGATGACCAAATAATGTGGGAACCGACCTGTGAGATTTATATTTATTTAATTTATATGAATTTATAATTACGTTAATTTATATACTTCGATAGCAATTTGTATAATGTTAAGTGGACTGTATTTCTGCAATAATCTCATAATCTCACAAATCGATCCTCTACACATTAGGGGGGTTTATTAGTTTATATATATGCAGCCAATCAAACTACAGTAACTACATACATTGAAGAGGTTCCTTATCTTATAGTACAGCAGGTTAGTCCACCAGGTATAACTAGGGTGTAGACACCAAATTATCCTCTTTGAGGTAGCTTCTATTGGTGCACATAATCTTGCATCCTCGTCTTGACCTGTCAAAAGTGCGCTAGCTGTGAAGCCAGAATCCTATATATGACAAGCTATATCAGAGAAAACACTATACAGTACATGGAACATTAAAGACCTGGCTTAATTACCTTTAGTATGAGGCGATTTCGCGTTCTAACCGGCTAACCCTATATCCTGACATTAATGGCCATAAATGAATGATAAACGGGTTTCGGATAGACACTTAACTTGTATTTGTAGACAGCGTGTTGACAATGGTACACCTTTGGGTTCCATAACACTACGTCCAAGTAAATTTAACAGGAGCCGAATTTGCTCCCGTGTGAGCCTCTGGTCTCATATAACAACAATGGCTGTTTAACACTCCATCCTATTGACGTTACTGGCCGACATTGTCCAGAATGATAGGAGCCGTTTGCTCCACACGTCTCGGAGGTGACACAACAATGGCTGCCCTCCTTCCTCACTCTGACGCCTGGCTTACATTGTCCAGATTTCAGAACGTGATAGAAGGGTCACATTTACTCTACTTTAATATTGATAATTAAGTTAATTTATATAAGATGTTTTTATGATGGTAAAGTCCAAAGACTAATGTATTTAAGAATAATTCCCAGCAGAATAGCTGGTGAATTATAATAGTATGTGGTGATGATATCCCGTTTTCTATAGACGGTAATTCCACTACAGGTTACGTTTTCTATGGGTAACTTGTTGGTAATACAGTTATTATCTGTATGATTATTAAATGGTGTCGGATTTTCCGACAGACATAATCATTTGATTATGAAATGTGATCAAGAAATACATTAGAAAACTGAGAAGATGTTCAATATTCTTTGCATCAAATAAACTAGTACAGTACAGTACAGTATTCTGCCACCAAATTCCACATTTATTTTTATTCACAAACTACTTGCAAGAAGTTGTATAAGGAATAACTAAAAAACCCACCACTTGTTATAATACTGTGGGTTGAGGTACAGTGTACCTCACTTAAATGTGAATAAAGATGTAAGTACAGTACAATGTTCTTTCAGTGAAAGCCTGCATTTGTTGTATAAATTAACAGGCTCAAAACAACAACAAAAGTTATTCAGACAGTTGTAAGTTCAATAGTACATGTAGGAAACTACATGTTTAAATCTCTGTAAAGTTTAAAAATGTGTTGTCATTATTTTTACAGATATGGATTACCTGTGAACTTCCAAGCTATGCTACTTCATCCCAGTAAGAAGAGTGTTAAAAGGCTACGTGATTTACTCAATCAACTGTATAGCCACCTGGACTCCTCTGCAACAGGAGGAGCAGGAGATGTGAGTAAAGATTAGTTCTTATACTTTACTTACTTTATTTTAGCAGATACTCTGTAAATGCTTACATATGTTAAACATTTTACACTGTCTGCTCTGGTGTCTGTTGTGGCGTTCAATCCCCGACTGTCCAATTGGTTGGGCACCAGTCCTTCCCTCTGCCCCATCCCTAATCCTTCCTGACCCTTTCCAAGGGCTATACGGTCGTAATGGCTTGGCACTTTCCCCTGATAATTCCCTTCTCTTCCTTGTGTAAAAGCTTCGCCTTCTTTTAGAGCAGTTATCTTGGCACTGGTACCACTGTTTTATCTCGTGATGGTATATACCAATGCTAAAACGCATTAAGATTTTACCCTTAAGTTTCAAAATAAATGATAGACAATGGAGCAGACTATTTTTAGTTATCTGTGCATCATTATATAGGTGCACTTAGCATGAATATTGTGTTTTATAGGGGTAGGACTCCTTACCTTCCCTCCATGTTAAGCATACTCATCACACATCTGTATAGTATGTGTTGGTAAAAAATTTTTGAAGATAAGTAAACTACTGTACAGTATAATCTCCAAAATCTAGATTAGGTTGTGCAGTTTATAGTTTCAATTAAACCTGATCTGGATTAAAAAATATTGATCTCTGGATACAGAGGGTCCTCAATATACGAATGGGTTGTATTCTGAAGAGCCATTTGCAAGTCAGTTGTTCGGAACTTGAAATCAAATTTCACTAGGACACAATGCTGTAAATGATGAATGTGATCCTGGTCCAAAAAAATACACACAAACCCAATTTTTGGAAACATAGTATAAGAAACACTTTGTTATTTATCTGAACGAAAGTTATCCTGCTTCGAAAAGTTTCACTCTAAAATTTGAGTGAAGAGATCTAATTTCATTAGTAGAGGTAAATATTGAATACAGCCCTTTGTAATTCATCACACGAATAAGCCCCTTGTCCTCCCATCACGAACCCTTGAATCCCACCCCACCACCCTTTCTTACCTCCCAGCTATCCCCCCAGCAGGGTGAACATGTAATGGTCCTGTTCCAGTCATGTGATTTCATTATATTCAACACAGGTTTTTTCCTTTTTTACATTTTCCATAATTGTAAAATATAATTGATTTTGAGATAAAAGTATTGGTGTGCTAAACATGCATGCATCATCATGATTTTAAGTTTTAAAATAAGGATTATATGTATTTTTTAATTTTTTTTCAGACTGTGGACATCCCTGGGTTGGGTTTCAACACAAGTGAATATTATCCATATGTATATTTTAAGATCAACACTGACATGATTGGTGACCATAGGCTTTAGAAAGTTTCCTAGCGCATTTGATGTAAACTGTTGATAATGTATGAACCCAAAATGAGGTGATATTTGGTCAGTCAAACAAATGTTTTGATTGAAAAAATTGTTATAAAGATTTTATTTAACCAAAATTTTTTTAATACTTGCAGCTGAAAACTATTAGAAAAGAAATTATATAAATGTTATTAGAGGCATGTTACTAAAATTGTTTATAATGGTGCACAAAACTAATGTATTCATAAATTCCTCTTGTAGATGTAAAGTTGTGAAAGTACAGTATATTCATATATATATATATGGATGCCTGACGTGAAGACATCTTTTTAATTTATTGATATTGAGGTCAGATAAAATGTAATATATTTCACTTGTACATTTTATTTTAAATACATAGTAGTTTAATTTGTTCATCTGGGTTTTGGTTTTTGGGAGAGTGTATTACATTCCTGATAGCCCTTTTCATTCCAACATTTATATTTAAATGTTAAAGTTTGAGTAATGAGTGATAATAGTTGTGTAAAATAGTTCATTCGTGAGATGCTTAGAACAAAATACCGACGCATTTACCAATACAAAAAAATTGTATACTGTGTGTGCATTTTATTGGAGGATAAGATTGTTCTTGATAGACTTCTAGTCCTTTAGGAACAAATGTCCATATTAGGTCAATGTTGTTATTTTTATTTTACCAGATCTCAAGATTTTATGGGCTATGTAAGACAATTTGGAATTAAGTTGCAAATTTCAATTCCTTTAGAATATGTATATTAGTATTGTAAATGGCTCCAAAAGTTAACATATAGCTGATAAGCCATATGTCATGTTCAAGAAATGTTGTGAATGTAAAGTAGAGCTCTTTGAATATGTATGGTGTAAAATTTGGCTATCTAGTTAGCATTTAATTGTATATTTTATGTATATTAAGCTTCCAGTGTCATACTTGCTGTTGGGTGACAGTGTCTGTTGACTGATGTACAGATTGGTAAATAATTTACATGTGAATAAATAGTACACATTCATGTTTTTTTAATGTGTCCAAATAAGATGAATGAAGCACAGGCTTTCTTGTCTGTATTACAAATGCAGATTGTAGCATGTGTTATGCTACATTTTCTGCAAATTCATTAATTGCTACTAATAGTTTTGTTTCCACATTTTCTAGTTCAGCTCCTAAGTTGACAAATTTTTGGCCTCCAAATTGAGCTGCTTTATGTATCAATCACGTATATCTAAAAATTATCCCAAACAATCCACTGCAAACATTTCACTGCTTCATTTGGCAGTAATGATAATCATTTTTTATTATGGTTGGGGTTTATAGAATTAACGGAGGCACTGATTGTCAACAAAAGATTTAACAAAAATTTTATGCAGTAAGTTTGCTACCTGTAGGGGCCTCGTAGCCTGGTGGATAGCGCGCAGGATTCGTAATTCTGTGGCGCGGGTTCGATTCCCGCACGAGGCAGAAACAAATGGGCAAAGTTTCTTTCACCCTGAATGCCCCTGTTACCTAGCAGTAAATAGGTACCTGGGTGTTAGTCAGCTGTCATGGGCTGCTTCCTGGGGGTGGAGGCCTGGTCGAGGACCGGGCCGCGGGGACACTAAAGCCCCGAAATCATCTCAAGATAACCTCAAGATAACCTGTCTTATGGTGGTATTTGCTCTTTCTGTGTCAGGTGCAAATTACAGTACATGCATTTTTTCTACAGATATCCACCCAATAAATATATTTAATAATTCTAGTTTCTTCAAACTGTTTATTTCATGTTTTATTTAAACACATGGTACTTTATCTCAAATTAGAAAATTTGTACTGGGCATTTACTACAGCATACAAATGTCCATTTGCATTTATAGTTTGCTATTTATACTGTATTTGCTTTTTATCAAATTTTCTTTAGGTATTCTTGTTAAACCAATAGAATGCAAATTTATATTTTAATAATGTAACTATTTTGTAATAACTTTCTTCATCCTGTAGCTCCATGATCAGTGCAATCAGTCTGCAACCGAAAGGTACCGGGTTTGATTCCCACAGCAAGATAGACCTTTAAGCATGATAACTTTTATCTAATGCCTCCGTTCACCTCAGTCAGTGGGAAACTAATGTGGTCTATAGCCAAGGTTAATTAGTAAAATCTTATTTTAATCCCCGTACCCACACAATCTGCACATAAGAGATTGCGTGTCTAAGGTTGGAGACCAGACTTGTGTGGTTAGCATCCTGCAACTTTCCACGGTGAATTATGATTGTATGGCAAGTGTCATAGGGTGGTTTGGGTCGATCCCGCATGCCTCTCTTTTAAGTAGCATTAGTTACTATTGTGACAGCCAACACTACCTACGAAGCTTGAAATGTGAGTTTGGTTGTTCATAGTGTTAACAATGGATTTTTCAGCGGTTATCAATGTTGAATCAAAGTTAATTCAGCATGTTTTGCCCACTGGGAGAGAGAACAGGAGGAAAGAGGAGAAAAGGTTGGGAGAGGGAGAGTCAGAGACCTGGGTTCCTTATCTTTAAAAGAGCCTTGTTTGTCTGTGGTTGGAAACCAGACTTGAGGCTAGCCTCCCATCTTTGCATGGTGATTGGTGATTTTTGGAGTGTCTCATAGGATGGCTGGGGTCGGCCCCTCTACCTACGTACAGTACTTGAAGGGGAACTGGCCTCTGCACCCCTTTACGAAGTCACTGGATATGAAATGTGCAACTAAAACTCCATAGAGTTTAGCATTTGTTTAAATTTTAGTGTATTCAGATGGTGAAATGCTAAACGAATGTAAAGATAAGATATGTATGTTCTTGACACAACCTGATTACAGTGATATAGTGTAGTGAAAATGATTACAGTGTAATGCATATCCTTGTAACATTTTTCCTCAATTTTAATTGAATATAGCTATGATTTTACTTGTTAACTGTTGCACACAGTATCCAGCAATTGCTTTTATTAACTCGGCATGCACTGCCACCACATGGATTATATGTTACTTAAGCTTCGAGGAAAGCTTAAGCTCTTGGGTTGAAGTTCTTATTTTCCCTGTGTCTGCACTGAGAGCAAGTGGATGTTAATTTCGGCTCCTGTCTGGTACTCGTCAACCCCTAGAGTTAAAAAGTACTGTACAATACTGTATATGGAATTTCACACTAGACATTCATGCAAGTGAATTTTCAACTGGAGGGATTCTGATAAATCTCGGTGAAAGGGGATTTGCCAATAAATTGTGAAGGCGATTAAACCCAATAAGGGATCAATAGCAAGAGTTCACTTGTACATACCATGATACAGGCTAAACCTTCCCTGTAAGACTCCTACTGTTAAAACTATAGGGAGAGTATGTGAGGGTGGGGGATAGGAAGGGTGCAAGTGGAGAGGGATATGGTGCAAAGTTTACAGTAATGAAGACTGTGTAGTGAAGAGGCGAGATGGGAAGGTGTGTGTGTGTATGTAAGGGATGGGGTAGTCTTGGGCACAGGGTAACCTGTGGGCTGCCAGGTATACCCCAAATGATGGCAATCTAGTGAATATATTGACCAAAAATTGTCTTTGAATGTAATGAAATGCCTCTTTCTGTCAGAGAGGCATTTTTTAACGAGCTCACTAGAGCCCGTGCTACATGGAAATTTTGTTCAGAGTAACTGAATCTATAACAACAACAGCCACTTTTTGGTAGAGTCCTGTGACTCCCTGAAGCAATCTCATAGAGATGGCTTCCCGTACCAAGTCACACAAGAGAGTACAATATGTGTATCAGGGACCAGAGCGAAAACCAGGCCACAGAGGCACAGGGTGATTGATTGATTGATGAAGATTAAGCCACCCAAAAAGTGGCATGGGCATGAATAGCCCGTAAGTGGTGGGCCTTTTGAGCCATTACCAGTATCAAGAGCTGATACTGGAGATCTGTGGAGGTGCGACTGCACCCTGCGTGACGGGAGATCTTCCCCGTGAGGCACAGGGAGCTGGGTATTATTGTTATAACCTACCCTAGGTAAGCATCCATAGTGCAGTGTAGTCTCACTATACTATGGCCACGGTTGCTATATGAAGCAGGATATTCATGTTTATTCAATGTTATTGAATAAATAAGTGTTTTTTATCTATCTTTAATTACTTGATCTCTGTACGTATACTTAAAGTATTTTGATCCATATACCTGAAATATACATTAGTAATATTCTTCATGAATTTTTAAATAAATAAACTAAATAAAACAATGATAGGCTTGTTTCAGCCTAATATAAGGCTAGTTAATAATTTTGTTACAGAACCGCTATAGATAAATTCTGTCCTTAGGTCAACAAGCTTTGGCTAATATACTGATTGTTCATCTTATATCTGAGATTTTTAAGAACGCCATATCACTTGAACTTGAACTTGAGCCATATCACTGAGGTAGATTATTGCCTTGATACTCTTATTGGCTGTCTTAAGCTACCCGTAAGTCGGTTTTGACATTCATACTTTTTAGGATGGAGTTTATGCACAGAATTTATATGCCTAGAATAAATAACCAAACTGAAACTCAGTTACAAATGTTGAGCAAAATTACGTTTGTCTACCTAAATTAATCATATATCTTAATAGATACTGTTTTCACATAGCTTTCATGTTAGTCTTAAGATTAGTATAAAAAACTGTTTAACGTATGTTTGATTCCATAAGTAAGCTTAGTTTTATAATAAATATTTCAGCAAAAAATATATAGGGTGGCCCAATATTTTATTAACAGAATCATATGCAAAAACAAATGAAAAATTAAATAATAACAAAGTTAATAAATATACATAAAGTTAAAAATTAAAACACAAATGCACTATTAAATAGAAACAATATATTTAATTGCACACAGTGTCCTCATATTTATCAGAACTATAACTTATTTTTACATGAATTAAATTAACCTCTGAAACTAATCGTAAAGAAAATATTCCAACATTGTGTGGAGAGCGCTGACTTGAGCAGGGTATATATGGTGGCTGAGGTCAAGTGCTGGTTCCTTCAGCCCCTACTACAGCCGCCTGTTGAGTCAATGGTGCTGACTTACCGTAGTGGCAATACAGTGGAAGGACTTACCGTAGTGGCAATACAGTGAAAGGACTTACCGTAGTGGCAATACAGTCAAGGACTTACCGTGGTGGCAATACAGTCAAGGACTTACCGTAGTGGCAATACAGTGGAAGGACTTAGCGTACTGGCAAATTAATACATTGGAAGGACTTGATGTACTCGCAATACAGTGACGTTGACTTGGCGTAGTGGCAATACAGTGGATGGACTTATAGCGTAGTGGCAATACAGTGGATGGACTTACAGCGTAGTGGCAATACAGTGGATGGACTTACAGCGTAGTGGCAATACAGTGGATGGACTTACAGCGTAGTGGCAATACAGTGGATGGACTTACAGCGTAGTGGCAATACAGTGGATGGACTTACAGCGTAGTGGCAATACAGTGGATGGACTTACAGCGTAGTGGCAATACAGTGGATGGACTTACAGCGTAGTGGCAATACAGTGGATGGACTTACAGCGTAGTGACAATAGAGAGGAAAGTCCCGGCGTGTATAGTGAAGGAGAGTCTGCGGCTGGACATTCTGCAAGAGGTAAGTATCCCAAATCAATCACCAGATTATAGACTTGTCAATACCGCGTAAGTTCTTATCAAACACAGGTAAGCCAAGTTTTATTTTTCCAACTGCCTTGAATTGAGGGGTTATCGGTTTGCTGGTGAACAAATTGATGTGTCGCCAACTTTCGTAGACTCGTGCAATCCGTCTTACAATGTAGTGTAACATTGCATTGTAATGTAACATTGCATTGTACCACCCATTGTATTGATTACAATACATTATATAACTCGCTGGAATACCCAAATGGTCGCTTTTGTAATCTCAAATGAATTTGTCAATTCACTGCCTTAGAAATGCGAGAGAATTCACCTAAATTGTAATCACCAATTGTACACAAATGGTGTGTGTAATTTAGGGCTTTGTAAAGGCTATCAATTCTAAATATGTACGCCAGTGCACCATGTATTTGCTGGACTTTGCAAATAAACATAGATTAAGTGATCGGTTATTAATTCTTTTCAGGATTTACAAGGTTGGCAAAAGACTTGCTACCCCATATTTTTAAATCAATGTTAATTTTTTTCAAGTTTTAGCTTTTTTTTATATTTAGGCTTATTGATGGTTATCAAAGTAATTGCTAGAAAAAGAACGCCTTTGTTGATTTAGGGGCAAAAACCCTTGTATGGTTTTACTTAGGCTACGTATGTGCGGGATTACACAAGTAGGCCTACATACATATTGCATAACTAAGTGCAGGCGAGGAGCCAGAATAACGTGGTTGAAGTATGTTGACCAGACCACACACTAGAAGGTGAAGGGACGACGACGTTTCGGTCCGTCCTGAACCATTCTCAAGTCGATTGGGTCTAGTGTGTGTGTGGTCTGGTCAACATACTGTATATCTAAGCTTGTTAATAAGGTAAAAATGAGTGGTTCAGATATAATTTAGTTTTTAAAAAGGGATCATTTCTTATTTCTTTACTCCAAAAAGGATAAATTTATTCATCACATAATCTCACGACGTATTTTCTCAATCCAGCAACGTGTGTTGTTGGATTGAGTTCTAGTAACAAAAGCACACAATTATTGCGACTAGAACCGTAAATACGGCATTTATTTACGTTCGTCAGCTGAGAGGCAACTCTTCTCAAAAATAAATTAATATTATTGTATATTAGCATATTGTGCATATTTAGGCACTGGTTAGGTTAGGTTAGGTGTTCAGGTTCTGTTGACGATTATTTGTATTTGTAGTACGTGGGTGAAGCATTTACAGCGTTGTGGCTCGAACAGAGTCGTCAGTGAAGCACTTGTTCTGGTAGTGTTCGGACGTCATCAGTTGTGAGTCGTGCAGCCCGTCCTCCAAACAAGGACACAAAGTCCATTCCATGCACCCGCCAAACCCCCTGTTTATGAAAGAAAAACGGTTTACACACAACCCGTCCTCGACTCAAGTCCATTACATCCAGAGGTCGACCGCACAAATGCATTAATGAATTTTAACATGCTGTTCATTCAAAACGGGAATTTTCTCAAATATAAATTAATATTATAATGTTGATTAAACCACACACTTTAAAGTGAAGGGAAGACGACGTTTCGGTCCGTCCTGGACCATTCTCAAGTCGATTGTCTTGAATATAATATTATAATATATTAGCATATTGTGCATATATAGGCATAGGTTAGGTTAGGTGTTTACGTTCTGTTGGCGATTATTTGTATTTGTAGTACGTGGGTGAAGCATTTACAGTGTTGTGGTTCGAACAAAATTCGTCAGTGAAGCACTTGTTCCGGAAGTGTTCGAACGAAATCAGTTGTGAGTCGTGTGTAAACCGTTTTTCATTCATAAACAGGGGGTTTGGCGGGTGCATGGAATCACTTTTGGGTCTTCGTTTGGAGGACGGGCTGCACGATTCACAACTGCAGCCCGTCCTCCAAACAAAGTTGAAATCTTAATGGGTTTGTAATTCTGCACTGTGTTAGATAATGTTCCAGTGGTCTGTCGGTCATTTCTCCACAGTGCTGACATTTCCTCTCATCTTCCGGAACCTGTAAGCCTATTTCCTATGCACATGGGTATCCAAGCCTGATGCGATGTAAGTGTAATTCTGTTGTTCTACTGCTCCCTTTCATCAAAATAAGTGGTTCGTAGTTCGTAGAATTTAACTTATTCTAACTGTAGAGTACCGAGTATCCACCCCCAAAAAAACAAAATCTCTTAGAAATGTGCCTAAACTTTTCTTAAGCATACTTGTTGTATGCTTAAGATATGCATACTTTTTCTTAAGCATACTTGAACATATACAGTATATATGTTCAGTATATATATGTACACAAGTGTACTTAAAATAAAAGGTTCAGTATAATTTTTAATGTTATGTAATATAGGTTGGATGTGCAGAAATAAATGTTCTCCCTGCAACTAAAGGCAAACATTGCAATATGAATGCAATAAATATACAGTTAAACAGCGACACAATATTTTCGGCACTCAATACTTTGTAATCAATGCTCATTACGCCTCTAGAAATCGTAACATTTATAAATTTAGCTAATGCCATCTCGTAGGTTTTCATTCAGAAGTTTTTAATACCATTGTAACTTTATTCACTCAATCGTTCTTGATTATATATCCTCATAATGCACCCAAAGTTTGCCAGTGCAGGCTGCTGATTACATGAACCTGTAATCTGCTTTCATGCAGCTATCCTAGACTATATGACGGATTACTAAACATGTGTGTGTGTGTGTGTGTGTGTGTGTGTGTAAAGAACTAGCTATGTGATGCTAAAAGGTCCCAAACTCGCAGGTTAGTCATACGACTAACTAACCTGCGAGTCTGGGGCCTTTTAGCATTACATAGCTAGTTCTTTACACACACACACACATGCTTTGTAACCCGTCATATAGTCTAGGATAGCTGCATGAAAGCAGATGCACCAAAGTATGTTAATATATAAAAATAAGTCATCCTGTCACTTGTACCCAGACGCAGCTAGAGTTGTTCAACTTTGCCCCCTTCTTCATAAAACAAACATGCTTACCAGCTTGTTATTTTCCTTCTTCAAAATTGAAAAAGAATGGATGGTAGAAGTTCCGAAAAATAAGTCGGTATTTTTAATTCTGGTTAAAAAAAATGTTCATTAGGCGTTCCTGCAATTTATTTAAACAAACGGATAATTTGAACAGTTCATTTTTACTGTACAAACTAATTTACAGTCTTGGAGAATTATTTGTATAATCTAATCTATTGAAATATGTTAGTCTTTTTCCACGTATACATATATGTATGTCTAATGTTCCCAGGTAAAATGTGTATATAATGCGTATATCTATGGTGAATCTATATTTAATTCTATATAACTAGAAGGCGACTAGTATTCCTATCAGATTCGCGAGTGACAATTTTTTTATGCTGTCGAGATGTTTTTTTCCTTGAGAGATTTATATAGTAATTACAAGTTGCCTTGAGGCAAATAGTTCAATTACCCTCACTTCCGTTCCCGGGCAAATTGAGATCATATTTCCTTAAAAGGTCAAATGTGGAAGGGCTCCTGCCTGCCTTCATCAACCTTTCACAAGACAGAGGTAATTTTAGTTATGCACTGCATTATTATTTTTTAATTTTCTGAAAGACAAAAGTTAACCGAAACATTCCTTTGCGTCCGACTTTAACGGTATTTTTAATTTGATTGTTTATTATTTTCGAAGATTTTAATAACGATTATTTCTCTTCTGTGTCCACGACTAATTCTGTGGCTGTGTAATAAACTTTGTCGTGGGGATCATGTCCCACGTATCATGCTGCTCCATATCTGGGTTGTATTTCCCTCCACTGTCGTACACTAGGTTTTGTGTGTGACAGACCAGACTCCTCGTCACTGGCTGTTGCCGCCGCCAATGACGCCTAGTATATTACGCAACACCCCCTATACGTCGTACAGTTACAGCCCCGCTCCTGTGCCAGATAAGTCAACTACGGGCTCACCATAGCCCGTGCTACTTGGAACGTTTTGTTCCCAGTAGCTGAATCTTAAACAACAACATATACGTCGTACTCTTCATGCGAGGACAGTGGTGAGTGGTTCCTTGTAACCTGTGCATGTTTCCTAGTGTTATGTGTGCTAGAGCGTGTTATCTTAATCTAGTTAAATGTCATATATTAAAAACGTGGTACAGTTTTCAGTTGTTCGATATAACGATAGGCTACTTATTCCTTGTTATTCTTTCGAAGGCACGTCCTAAGCTGTTACTGCCTGCGTCCAGTAACTTTTCAAGTGACCAAAATATGGGTTAGGTTAGGTTATAATGTTATTAACATGGACCCCAGTGGTGAGCATTATAGTTGTAAACTATGTGAACACGAGCCTGGATACACTCGCAGACACTATGTATGATAGTCCTATTATCAATGACCACACCAAATGGCATAAGGCAATTGAGCTCTGTAACTACTTGACACACTCACGAATAATTTGATGATATTTTTGTGTTTTAACCATAATTTGCTAGTGCAGGTTAGTAGACCTGCATCTCATGTTTTCTCCTGGTTCCATGTACGGGTAACCATCCTATGAGGTTGGGTATTAGATGAACACATGACTCGCTTTTGATCAATACTCTACAATCTTCCATTTATAATTGGAGTAGCAGCAAAATCACGTGTGTATTTAAGCTTGTTAATAAAAAAATACAAATTGCTATAATTGTGGTTGGAATGAAGAAGTGCAAAACAGTTAGTTTAGTTAATTCATAATGCACCCCATACCCATCCTGTGGGTGGTAGTGAAAAGGGTTACAGAGGCACATAAGGGGGGGGGGGGAGGGGGTAGAAATAGCCTAAGCTACTCTATCCCTTTGAGATATATTTCTTTCTTGTCTCAATAAACATACTTGAACTTGAACTTGAGGCACATAATGGGCTCAGGGACTGAACCCCACAATTCATTTAGCTAAGCAAGATAGTCTTGATGAGCTAGTTACAATTGATATGTTTGTCCTGCACACCTCCCCCCATCCAGTGGGCAGCG